GCTGGAAAATAGATTTATTAACAATGAAATCCGAATCGAATCGGCCAGACTCAGTTTGAGTCAACTCGATTCGGCAGAAATCGCATTCGAATCTTAACAATCGGGCAAACAAAAAACAAAGTAATTATTCGGGATTTTATTTTTGTTTTTTGCGGCACTTATTTTGACAGTCGAAGGTGGCTGAATCACAGAAGATTATATCAAATTTAAGCAAAAAGAATAATTAATAAAATCCCCTTTATCAGAAACATCTCTATCCCAGTATCGCCCCCATCTCATTCTGCCTTGGTAGCCAGCGAAACCTGAACCTGAACCGATTGCTTCCTACCGGTTCTAACCGGTACGATTTGCCTTGCAGTCGCAGTTGATGTTGTTACCACATTTCCATTCCACTACCAACAAACAAGTCAACAACAACGCCGCATCCACAACACAAGTCACTGCAAATTGAATTAAAATAATTTCTAGTTTTACAGGCACGCAAGACGTCTTAATATCATTTGGTTATTTTCACAGTATTTTTGGGGATTTGTTTTGATTTTGTGATTTGTCCAAAACAGTTTAGTTTGATCGGTCATTGTATAAATTTGAATACCCAATTCTGAATTTCTGAGGAGTTAATAGGGAGGTGTGTTTCAAGGCAATACAAACATTGTTTTGATAAACTTAAACTTAAGCACGAGCTTAACAAACAAGTTATATATTTTGTATTTTATTTCATGTTCTGTTAAAAAAATATATGTATTTGTAAAATCTGTGTATCTGGATCAGACCATTTTAAATATATTATATTTTCTGATAAAAACTGAAAGATTAATCAATAAGCTAAAAGTATATATTCCCGACCACATTATACAATTCATTACAACACAATTTTGATAAATATAATATCAATTTGAATTTTTATATAATAAATAGGTTACAAATAATGAATAACTTCCTATTTTCAAACAGTTCTAGAAAGAGCTTTAAGATACATGTATGAATGTATGAACAAGCTGTGTTCTCAAATGCGTACTTATTAAAAGAAAAAATTACCTTTTTAAATCCGAAATAATAACAAAAAACCGAGCTATACATATAAAAAAGTAACCCGACCGCCTTTCAAAAAAAAATCAAGTGGAATTACTTCCTACTATTTGCTCACAATAAAATATTTTGTTTTGTTGACACCCAATGCCCCACATTCTTTTTTTTCAAGGGCTCTACAAAATTATGTGGTTCTGTTGTTGTTTATTTTCGTCATCGAGAAAAGCGAAAACAAAACAGAAAAAATTATTCACATCATAAAACATACATACCATAGCTCACGCACACAGGCAGAGACAAAAAATGTGTTTTGATAAAAAATGTTTGTGGATATTCATTAGCTGACAAAACAAAAGTTTGGGAACTAAAAACAAAAAATATCAAAAAAATTTACCAAACAGCAGAGAGAACACTTGTTGATTTGAGTGAATACCTGTGAAACGCTTGCCAAAACACCAAGATCTAATATATGAACATATGACTTCGACGGCCAACGCTTCTAACCGGATTTGTGAATATAAATGCTATCGCCAGATCTTGTAAACGGACCATTAAAATACACTTTCAGTTAGGTAAACAATTTTTTTTTTCTAACCCCTTGATAACAGAACCCCGGCGATAAGGATGGCGAAACCATCGATAAAGTTAAGTAGGCAAAATTGGCATTTAAAAACACATTTTGTAAAGTTCTTCCACCTGCTCTACAAGTGCCTCTCTATCTCTCTCAGTGTTTTTTTTCGTCGACAGCGACGCCGGCAGAATCGGCAGCAGAGGGTTAAGCGAGAGCAGCTGCTTCAGTTTAAAGATCGGCAAAGTTAGTTAGTCTGCAATCGCCGGGACTCGCAGTCGAGTCGTCGGGCTGCGTTTTAAAATATCGAGAAGCAAAAACTCTTTCAAATCCAAATTCCAAACAGATTAAAATCAAATAATAAAACGGAACAACACGTTCGCTTTTTATTGTGTCCCAATATTCGTCGGCTATCGCAGAATTCGTTTTTCGGTTGATAATCGCGAGGTGCGTGTGTGAAATTATTGTACAAACAGGAAAAAAAAGCTCCAGTTTTTCAATCGCTATTTTCGGCGATAAGGTGATGGCCAATAATAATGAGTACATAGAACTGTAAGTAGCCAGTGTGATTCATCATTAACGATTGCTGGAAAGTGTCACTGGAAAAAATCAGCGTAAAACATATCAAAGCTCAACGTATAGGCTTATCACCCGGGCTTCGATTCAGCTCTGAAAACTGTTATTGTTGTGGGTTTATCTTTCTTGCACAAGGGCAAGCTGCATAAAGGAAGGCAAGATCGAGAGTTTACATACTCTAACCACTTGAAATAGAGGATTTTAAAAATTAAAAGCATAACAAAAATTTAATGGTTTCTTAATAATCTAGAATTTATGTAATAGTTTTCTTACACAAATTTGTAAACATTTATTTTACCATAGCTCATTTTTTTGTAAACCATAAAGCTTTTATTCAATCGACCAATCGATTTTGTAAAACAAAAATGAGTTGATAAAGTGCAAATTTATTTTATAAAAATGTTGTTTACAATCTGTGTTATTTTAAGACAAAAGACCTTAAAGTATTAGACGAAAACTGATACGCAATCACTATCACTAAAAAATAATAGAAATTAATCTTCTAAATTAATTAGATTTAATGAAAAGCTACAATACAATACCCAAATAAAACCGGCGGTTTGAAAGAGTTTATAAGTGTAATTATAAATAAGAGTCCGAGTTATTTTACTAAATATATTATTGAAATGTTATTAATAAAAAACACATCTTCAAAGCTTAGGCTATAAATAAAATACGCCTTCGCCAGTACTTCAACAATAAATTTATTAAAAAAGCAAACAACAGAACCTGCTATATCAACCAGATAAGCCTTCGACTGCGCGAATTTTTTGGGTACTAAAGCCAACTCACTTCGTTTCTTTGCTTTAACACCGAAAGACCGCCTAATTAAACAAAGCCAAGTGCAAATTGTCTAGTAATGTTCGTTGTCTTGTTGACACAATATACAACATCGGTTATTAAGTTAATATAGGACCACAAATTAATGTTTGTTGTTGTGACTCAGGTGCTGATAAAGCAATCAAAATGCATGAAGACGGGATGGTAGAGGGAAGTACTATATTTAGTAAACCCTGGCTAGACCCAGTTTAGACCGGCAATTGGCAGACAGCCTGGAGTGTCCGTCTTTCCGACTGTCAGTCTTGTCTTGTCTATATATTCAAGCACAATATAGATTATACACTTCACTGACTGATAAGGCAACGCGCAGCGACAACGACTCGAGATGATAGGCTATATAGAAATAAACCTTTATGCAATGCAAATTTTTCCACCATAATACTGTCTGATCTTGGAAATAACTAAAATTACCCGGTTCGTGCAAACAACAAAGAAATGTCTTTGTTTCGCTGGATGATACATAGTTTAAATATATTTCATACAAATTCATATCAACCTGGGAAATTTATAAATAGTTTGCTTCTAAATTTAATTATTGTTAACGGGCTGCGTCTGAAAATTGTTAGGTATGTCCCTGTAATTTTCAATCGTAAAAAAAACCTCAACTAACAATATCTATAAATCGTATATTTTATCGAAACCGCATTTCAAAATTTACAACCTGCGTCTAATAAAAGTCTTTGCGAATACGAATTGTACATAAAGAATGTATATATAAATCATGTTTATTAAAGCCCTTTTTTAATTTTGTTTGATATTAACAAAGATAATTTATTAGCATACGAAATATATTTGTAATTGGCTAATTTCTGGGCTTATTATAAATTAAGTAAAATGAATTAATTACGTAAGAACCATAACCACGCCTAAGATTAGATCAGAATAAGATATCCTCCCTCTTATCGGGCACGTCGCACAAATTAAAAAGCAATTCCATTACAAAGCAGAAAACAAATGCAAACAAATAATAACAATAAGTTCTAATGAATTCATTTGCAATAAAAGTTGGGCAATATCGCCATTAATTTATATGGCACTTAATAAACTGAAGCACGTGTGTTCAGTAATAGAGTGCAACGGAAAATATATTAATAGTGAAATCAACTTACTGTTTAAGGCTTATTAAAATTAAAATTTGCATGAAATTAAAACCCATCAGCAGTCGAGCCATAAACATTTACCAACTGGGAAGTGCAGCTAAAAATTCTGAGTACTTCAATGACAATTTTTCTATGAATATGACAAGTGTTCTGAAGGGGTGAATCGACTATGAAACTAAATGCAACTGTGACAATGACACTCGATTTGAAATCATTGGCATTTTGTCAGCACTTTGGTTTGTTTACACTCTTTAAAAGTGTTTCTACTAAATTACAAAGTTAAGCCATTTATTAATGTTTCAAAAGTGGTGTAAAGTTAAATTATTTTGTAATCATTTATTTGGCTTAATTCCTTTTAATTTATTAGATAAGTGATAAAACTTTAATTGCTTTTGATTATATTAATTTTCTCAAACTTCTGCCGAAAAGTGTAAACACTTTGTATTGTCAATGTTTCGACATATTTCTTATTAAAATAATAGAGTATAATATCTTCACTATCTTTAACATTTACTATTTGCCTTAATTTATGACAATTTTCATACGAAGTGCTCAGTTAAATGAGAGGTTTGTGTTGGTGTTTCAGCTTATATACCAAAAGCGCATTTCAATTAGGCGATTGACAACGCATTTGCAAATGCAGCTCAGGTCCGCGTTTATATTTTGAAGGCGAGGCACTGGGATTAAGGTTGTTTAAGGTGAGGTAACCAGACAGAGGTCCCAATTAGCGATAAACTTAAATGAAGTGTAACAAGATGCACCATTACGAGGGGTTATTTTATACAATTTTATAAGAGAAAAGATTGGGTGGGACTTTCCGTGACCTTGCTCACTGCTTAATTATCCTGAACAAATATTTTCAACTACACTTTTTTATCCCTTTTCAGACCTTGGACCATGAACTCCTCAAGTGGCGATGATGAGGCGCCAAAGGATCCGCGCACTGGCGGCGAGGATTTTACGCAACAATTTACAGAGAACGATTTCGAGGGTGAGTCGAACTCCACTTCTTTCTTAAAACAGTACTCCTTAATTGCTCACTGAATACTGATAAGTAAAACCTGAATAAAAAAATAATGCGTCCACGCGTGTACCAAAATTAATGCTGACTTGTAAAACCAGCCAAGTGACAAGTTTATGGACAAACAAGAAATTTGCGTCGTGTTAATTGCAAGTTGACAACTTTAGGCACGCAACGAAACTAATGCTAAGATGGACTACAAATTCTATACAAAAATCATTTTTGGAGCAGAAAAACTAGCTTTATCTGGAAATGTAAATTAAAGATGAGGGTCATACAATTTAGTTAATCTGTGCATTTAAAAAATCATATAAATACTACGTAAGTCTCATTTTACATATTTTCCGGTTTTGGTCCTTCATATGCTTTATTTCATTGAATATATACCATTTTCATGCTTAATTAATGTATTTTTAATATACAAAATAACATTTCCAAGTAAGTTTTGATGTATCTACTTTAAAATGTAAAGTGCATTTAACAACCATTTGTTGTTGTCGCTGAATGCAACGCCCACAAATTTAATGCTTTTAAGACCTAATCGCGTGACTTAGCGAAAAGTGGAAAAAAATTCAGCTAGAAGATGTGCTCTGTATAATTAATTTAAATTTATGAAAAACTACTGATGCAAGTACATAGCGGATGATATCACAATTAGTCAACTGACTGAGCGCAATTTGAACAAAGGCTTTGAGCTTTGAAAATTGAAACTGGGAAATTGCTCAAAACCGGGCATCAAATTCAGGGAAATAGTAATTAACATAAATTTATTTGTAGTCACTAAGACGACAACAAACAAAGCCGGGAATTTGATTAAAACGGGCCTGACTATAAGATTTGGTTTGATTTGGGTTCGTAGATGATTCAACAACGTTTACGTAATTGGTGTTAAAATTAATATAGGCTGATGGCAGGCACGAGCCTTATCACCAAAATGAACTCAATTTAAAGTGAACTATTAGCTGCTGATTATTTACGTTGTATAGACCAAAATACATTTCAAAATATTTGAGACTTAAAACCAAAGATATATTATTTGAGGTATTCAAAATTTTATAAATTAAATCGTTTAAATATGGTCATTTCTAAATTAACTCTTATTAGAGTTGTTATGATAATAAAATTATAATAATAAATAGATTTCTGAAACGGAAACCTTTTCTATCGCGATTGTGTTATATGACCAATGCCTACGTTTATTCGCATTTATTATTATTTTTCATAGATCGTCAATAAATTTAATTTTACTCATTTTAACAAACAACCTTTAAAGAAACACATTAAAAAAGTATAAGAAATCAAAGCAGTCAAGACTTAAAAATGCTATTTTAATAAAAATGAAAAATTACTTATTAATTATCAAATTGAGTGGCGTATAAAATAGCGACCAGGAAGAAGCTCTTGAGATTTCAGGAAAATGACGCATTAAGGAAAACAAACGGAGACTGAAATAAAGCATTCTAAGCTAATAGAATTATGTAACGCAATTGCAAATAATAAACAACGTCGCACTCAATTTGGACTTTTCCCCGGCACCCCTACCTCTCCCACCCCCTTACCCAGCATCTGTCTCCATGTGACATTTACCAGCATTTTTCCTGCAGGACATCGGGCGCACACCGTTTATGTGGGCGTCCATGTGCCAGGAGGACGACGCCACTCGCAGAGGCGCCGCAAGCACCACCACAGTGGCCCCGGAGGGGGAGGCACGGGGCCTAGTGGCGGAGGTGGCTCCATCGGCGGATCCGGAAGTGTGGGCGGTGGTGCGGGCAAGGACAACATCAGCGAGAAGCAACAGGAAGTGGAGCGACCAGGTGCGTCCAGGTTTCTCGGGTTTCCTTCTGCACCATATAATTGCGATGTATAGCCTTAGCCAATTTGAAATGAAATGCCAGTAAATGTGGCCAATCAGTTTCGGCCAGACCGAGAATTGTGGTAAATTACAGGAACCCAAAGGGGGGGACATTTGCACAAATTACATCCCTCTTCTGAGATATCTCACTCATTAGAGGGATAATGAAAATGACAGATGATTGGCTTACAGTTTGCCGTCAACAAGAAGTTTTGATTGTAATGGGGAGAAACAGCACAAAGAATGACATTGAATTAGGATAATATGATTGTCTTGTGACAAAAATAGAGAAATCTGCAAGGTAGAGAACGCACTTTAACTTTGCTTTATAATTTTTAAGAGAGTATTGTTGCAAACACTAACGACACACAATGTTATCATAATCTAACATTGACATTATAGCAAGACATATCGAAATTCATTAGCTTAATTCTACCACTTGTTTTACTGCTTACCATATATATTTGTATACGTATTCTAGCCCAACCTATCCCAACAACGCCTTCTAAGCTTATTTGCATACATAACCCGACCTATCCACTTTATTTACTGTAATGTAGTGTTATTGCATTTCACTCTGCTTTTCGTATTCCTATTCACACTTAATACCTATTCTTAATTTAATCAGGTAAATGTAATTGAATCGTATAAATCGTATCTTAATTCTCCACCCAAGACAATTAATCTTAGAACCTAATTACCCTTTTTGCAAACATACCCCCAATTAACTAGGGATTTTATAATTTGTTTTCATTATAAACCCCAAAAAAAGTTTACATAACTTCATTTTCACTTTATTTTCTACAAAAAAAAAAGAAACAATCATCCTCTAAACGTCCTCAGTAGTATAAACAAACATTACGCAATACCAAAAAGAAACACACACAAACTTTAATAGGACTAAACAGGACATATGGTGGGCAATGGTCAGTGGCGAATTCCCAGCACAGATCTGGACCAAATTATTACGCCAATTAACTTTAGCACGCATCCACCAGAGTCCAAGGATACAGATGATTGTTATGAACGGGGTGGCAATGGCAGGAAGATGTTCCGGCCAAGTCATAAATGTTGATTAGGCTAATGAAAGTTTGCACAGTAGAAAAAGGACTTACACAAATTGGGGAGAAATTTCTTTGTAATAGGACCACTTGAATTGATTATTTTAATTAAATATGCTTTGTAGAGGTTGTTTTCTTTGCTTTAAAAGTTTATTTTAATTTTAAATTTATTAGTATGGTTAATTTTTTTTTTGGAATTATAGGTATTTGAAAATTTTTTTTGTTTATATTTTTTTAAACGCCTGATAAATATATTTCCTATTTGAAGACCACATGTATTTCATACTGTATTGTTCAAATTATAGTGACTCCCCCGGCTCAGCGAGTTCAATTCATACTCGGCGAAGATGTGGACGATGGCACGCATGTATCCCATCCCCTGTTTTCCGAAATGGGAATGCTGGTGAAGGAGGGCGACGAGATCGAGTGGAAGGAGACGGCGCGATGGATCAAATTCGAGGAGGATGTGGAGGAGGGTGGCAATCGGTGGTCGAAGCCCCACGTGGCCACCCTCTCCCTTCACTCCCTTTTCGAGCTGCGCCGGCTGCTGGTCAATGGCAGTGTAATGCTGGACATGGAGGCCCACAATCTGGAGGTGATGGCCGATCTGGTCTGCGATCACATGGTCAGCGCGGGAACCTTGCCACCGGGGGTCAAGGATAAGGTCAAGGATGCCCTCCTGCGACGCCATCGTCATCAACACGAGATTGCCAAAAAGTCGCGACTTCCAATTATTCGATCCCTGGCCGATATGCGTAATCATTCTTCATCGAAAAGTGAGTATGGGGCTATCATCCTTACATCCCTAAGTTATTCCAAGCTCATCTCGTTCGTATGGTGTGATTCCAACTGCGAGTTTGATGCTGTCACCCGGCTCAGTTCATTTAGGATCATACACTCAAGTGTCTAAAACTCTCATTCGATCCGAACTAATACTAATGACTCAGACCTGGGCAAGAGCACTCCACTGCACTCACTGCATGGCTCAGCGGCTGGCCTGGATCTGACTGGAAATTACCAGACACCCCTCTATGTGTCGAGTAAGGATCAGCGTGGTTGTTATCTCGCTGTTCCCACAGGTATAGCCTTAGAACTACCAAATCCCCCCTCTCTTTTAAGCAAACTCTGTAAAGCCGAAAGCCAAAGTCGTAAACATTTTTCAGTTGCCTTGCACCTAACAAAAAGCACCCAGAAACTAGCCAATTAAAACCAAAAGCTAATTAAAGTTGGAATAAAGGGGGTCCCTTAGAGAAAATCTAGTTCTGTAAATTTTTCAAAACCCAAGCCAATAAAATCCTAAAAACGAGACATACTTTCTGAACTTTAAATGTTCAAAGTACTCAGAAAAAAAACCCAACCTTATTGACACTTTCGTAAATGAGAATACCCTTCGTGATTCATCATTCATAAATCACTCACTTTCATAAGCTAGTAAAATTGGGGTAGCCGCTAAAGAATCAAGAAATAAACTCGCGTTATTCCTTCACCCGAAAAGCTGACACTTCAACGCACCTGGGGGCCATCGGGGTCACCACCTGGTTCCATGCCGGGGCATCGCCCCAACATCAAGCCCATAATCAGGTTCAAAAACAAGGACGACAATCAATGCCAAGTAATAGCCCATCAATGGTTTTCACTGTACTTAGCTGTACCTATCAAGAGCACGCTGTGTATTTCGATGATTATCTCTTGCGACTCTTCTATTTACTCTACTCCTTGAACTTATTAATCTAATCACTATAAATTATAACCTTCAAGAGCTCGTTAGCCCCTTTCTATCATGATATCCCCAACTTATTGTGCTGTCTATTTACACGATTTAATGAGTTAAATTATATTTTTAAGCAATACAATTTATAGAAAATAAAGTTCAATAATTTGAACTACTACTTAGTTTTCTCTCGAACTCCTCTTCACTTCTTTAATACCCAATCGATTATAAGTCCCATTCTTTTTCTCTATCAGCCATATAAAGCCCTGTAAACCACATGAATTCTTCTATATTCTGAAACCTTAAACTTTATTCGACTTTTGAAACCCTACTTGATTATGATTTCTATTTACATTTACTATTTATTAACACTTGGTTGAACTCTCAAAAATCACACATAATGGGAAATATTAATAGAGATTGAAGAAACTAAGCCCATTCTGTAAGGATCCTTAGGAATATTTAACCTTTACGTAAAAGATATCCAATAATCAAATCTGCTGCTGTAGTGATAAATAAACGAAACCAGCTCGAGATACTTAGGAATACAGAATATCCTCGACATAATAATCACCTAAAAAACCAAAAACCCCAAAACATTTTCCAGTTGAAGAGCACTCTGGCAACCTATTGGGGGCCACAACGCCAATTTCCCTAACGGCCAGCGAACCGGGACCGCCCGGATCTAATGGAAATCCAAATCTAAGCACCGCTGCCGGCGGAATGGGGCGTTTTCTAACGGTGCCCAGTGGAAAACCCAGCAACAGAACGCTCGGTAAAGAAACCAAGTTAAAGAAACCATTATTAAAAACCAACTCAAGATTTGACCGTCTTCGTTATCGTTTACCGTTTACCGTTTGATTTTGCGTGTCTGTTAATTGTTTAAATGGTCCTGAAAAAAATACATTTTGGTAGTTCGCAGTATTGTAAATTACAAATTGGTTAAACAAAGGATATAAAAAGGTGGCGAAATTTGCATGAAGGTTGTATCGAGTTGAATTGGAAAAGCAGGAAATGGTTTTGTAGAGAAAAACTAGAAAAAAAGAAATCAACAATCCACACACATCTGCACGCTTATCACATAACACAATTTCTGAACTTACCAATTTCCAATATCTTTCGCATGCTTCATTATCTGTATTTGAAACTAATTAAAATCTATTCCAGCACACTTAGATGAATCCGATTTTAATCCAATATATCTCTTTTGCACTTCTTTTTTCGTATGTTTTTATGTTGTTCCGTTGTAACGTGTTTACCTACATGTTGTTGTTGTTATTATTATTCTTGTAATACCTACCAACGCACGTAAAATATATAAAAATATATATATATATAATCACAACACCAAAAACCTGCACCCCGTGAACCCGTAAATGAAAATCCGCGACTAATGCAGAGAAAAAATCTAATTCTAAACACTCGCGGCCCGCACAAAACCTGCCGTCGATCACAGAGGACATGGTCAAGAGTCCCAGCAACCAATCGATGGCCAGGCCAGGAAGTGCCACCGAGTTGAGTGAGCAGCAGCACAAGGGCAACACCCACTTCATGCGCAAGATCCCGCCGGGAGCGGAGGCCAGCAACATCCTGGTCGGCGAGGTGGACTTCCTGGAGCGAACCCTGTCCTGCTTCGTCCGCCTCAGCCAGGCGGTCGTCCTGGGCGATCTCACCGAGGTGCCCGTGCCCACGAGGTAGGTCTAGCCCATCTCTCGAGCACCCTTTTGATTGACCCCTTGAAAATAACACACTTTTCTAAGGATATTTGAGACTAATTAAATGATGATTTATGTGATCATTTTCATTTTCTGAATTTAATAAATAAAATATTCAGATAATTTTAAAATTAATCTGGATCAGCTTATCAGTTAATCATATCACATAGTTTTATATTTTGTATAGTCATCCAGATCGTTCTTTCGTTAATCGAAAAAGGTTTCGTTTTAAAATTGGCTAAATATAAACTTAATTTTTAGCCACAAAAAAAATTGTATTACTCACAAGTACGAGTATGTTTGAATGAATTTCTAGAAAATTGTTTCTGCAGATAAGTCTAAAATTAAATTATTCACCAAATAGGAGGGCTGTATTTTAATCAGTTTATTGCTCATAACAAAGGTCTTTTATTTTAAAAGTTGACGAATTAGAAGTAACTCTTTAATGAAATTTAATAAAATATAAACAGGAAAGTAAGTAGTAATGTTCTAAGGTTTTTCAAAAATAAATTTAATATAAATTGTGTATACTATACTAATAACTGATATTACTTACAGATTTGTATTTATCCTGCTCGGTCCGCCTGGCAGTCAGAGCAACTTCCACGAGATCGGCCGGGCGATGGCCACCCTGATGTCCGACGAGATCTTCCACGAGGTGGCCTACCGAGCCCGTAAGCGGGATCACTTGCTGTCCGGGGTGGACGAGTTCCTGGATGCGGTCACCGTTCTGCCGCCCGGCGAGTGGGATCCCACCATTCGGATTGAGCCACCGGCGGCCATTCCCTCGCAGGAGGTGCGCAAGCGTCCGCCCGAGTTGCCCAAGGAGGAGGTGGACGAGGAGGAGGAGGAGGCGCGTCTGAGGGAGGAGAACGGGCTGTCCAGGACGGGCCGACTCTTTGGAGGCCTGATCAACGACATTAAGAGGAAGGCTCCCTGGTACATTAGCGACTACAAGGACGCCCTGTCCATGCAGTGTGTCGCCTCCTGGATCTTCCTCTACTTCGCCTGCCTCTCCCCAATCATCACATTCGGCGGTCTGCTGTCGGAGGCCACCGGCAAACACATGGCTGCCATGGAGTCTCTGGTGTCCGGGTTCGTTTGTGGCATGGGCTATGGCTTCTTTTCGGGTCAGCCGCTGACAATTCTCGGGTCCACCGGTCCAGTCCTGGTCTTCGAGTCAATTATCTACGAGTTCTGTTTGAAGATGGGCTGGGAGTATATGACGTTCCGGTTCTGGATCGGCATGTGGGTCGCCGGCATTTGTATCGTCCTGACCGCGATTGATGCCAGTGCCCTGGTCTGCTACATCACCCGCTTCACCGAGGAGAACTTCGCCACCCTGATCGCGTTCATCTTTATCTACAAGGCCATTGAGAATGTGATGGTCATCGGAAAGAACTTCCCGGTAAATCAGGGGATATACGACTGTATCTGTACACCGCCACTTGGGAGCAATGCCAGTGTGATCGATTATGCCAAATACAACTGGAATTATTGTGAGGTAGGAACATAGGTTAAATTATATATTTAAATTTATACATATAGTCGTTGTTGAATTTAATAATTGAATCGTTATTTTCTAGTCTTACAATGGCACTTTGGTTGGCAAAGATTGCGGCAAACCGCCCACCGAGAATGTTTTCCTGATGTCGGTGGTACTCTGCACCGGCACCTTCATCATATCCACCGTGCTGAAGGATTTCAAGAACGCCCTTTTCTTCCCCTCGATCGTTCGCCAGTACATCAGCGACTTTTCGGTGTTGATCGCGATTTTTGCAATGAGTTTCTTCGATTATTCCCTTGGAGTTCCCACCCAGAAACTGGAGGTGCCCAACGAGCTAAAGCCCACGCTGAGTACCAGAGGCTGGCTCATCCCGCCGTTCTCCGAGAAGAACCCCTGGTGGTCGCCAATCATTGCCGTATTCCCCGCCCTGCTTGGCACTATTCTGATCTTCATGGATCAACAGATCACCGCTGTCATCGTGAATCGCAAGGAGAACAAACTGAAGAAGGGCTGTGGCTACCATCTGGATCTGTTCATCCTCTCCATTCTGATTGCCATTTGCAGCTTAATGGGTCTGCCTTGGTGAGTTTCTAGCCAATTCTTATAATATCTAAGGATATCACTTCGGTACCTCTATTAAATCCCGAATTTTTATTTAAATTAGATAAAAACGAAAAAAAAAGAATGAACAAAATAAGAGTAATAAAAATAACGAAATAAAAGGACAAATTGAGAAATGCAAAGTTTTGTATTAATTTGTATAATGGAAATGTTGCAAATTTTACCGCGTTTTTAAATTTGTGGATTTCTTATTCTATTTTTCCGATTTTTCTGAATCTCCTTGTTACTTTCACATTTTTTTTTATTTCCAAATTTGTATGTTTTTAATTTTTATATTTTTATACCCTTGCAGAGGGTATTATAATTTCAGTCAAAAGTTTGCAACGCAGTGAAGGAGACATTTCCGACCCTATAAAGTATATATATTCTTGATCAGCATCACCAGGAGAGTCGATCAAGCCATGTCCGTCTGTCCGTCTGTCCGTCCGTCTGTCCGTCTGTCCGTCTGTCCGTCTGTCCGTCCGTCCGTTTCTACGCAAACTAGTCCCTCAGTTTTAAAGCTATCCGCTTGAAACTTTCCCAAAAGTTGTCTTTCTATTGCAGGTAGTATATAAGTCGGAACGAGCCGGATCGGGCTACTATATCATATAGCTGCCATATAACTGAACGATCGGAAATGCCATAACTTTGGTGTTTTTCAAGTTAGCAAGTTAGGAAGTTCTATGGGTTTTATTTTTGGCTAATCAGTCTAACTTACAAAATTTCATAAGGATCGGACGACTATATCCTATAGCTGCCATATAACTGATTGATCGGAAATGCCATAACTTTGGTGTTTGTAAAGTTAGGAAGTTGGGATTATCTATGGGTTTTATTTTTGGCCAATCAATCCGACCTGCCAAATTTCATAAGGATCGGCCGACTATATCCTATAGCTGCCATATAACTGAACGATGGGAAATGACATAACTTTGGTGTTTTTAAAGTTAGGAAGTTGGGATTTTTTATGAGTATTAAGAATGCATCATATAAATAATTTTGGAGAATATAATGCAAGGGTATATCAACTTCGGCTCCGCCCGAAGTTAGCTTTCCTTTCTTGTTCATTTTATTATTAATTTTTTTTTATTTTTAAGTTCGCATAGGAAATCGTTTTACTATTCTTACTGGGAAAAATCACCCAATGTTCCCTGGCTTTACTTTTACAAATATTCAATTTAATAGTATATATTTATATCTATCCCCAGGTTCGTGGCTGCCACCGTGCTGAGCATCAACCATGTGAACTCGCTGAAACTAGAATCGGAGTGCTCGGCCCCTGGCGAGAAGCCACAGTTCCTGGGAGTGCGCGAGCAGCGGGTGACCCACATCCTGATCTTCCTGACCATCGGCGGCTCTGTGCTGCTGACCCCGCTGCTCGGTCACATACCCATGCCGGTCCTGTTCGGCGTCTTTCTTTATATGGGCGTGGCCTCGCTCAAGGGCCTGCAGTTCTTCGATCGCATACTGATTATGTTCATGCCAGCCAAGTACCAGCCGGACTATATGTTCCTGCGCCAGGTGAGTTTAAACTTTTAAAAAGCAACCTAAGGTACTTTTTAAAAAATATGGAATTTATTGTAAATAGTTATAAAATTTACATTTCTCTAGAATTACTTTCTAAACAGCTTTAATACAATTGTAGGTCTTCTTATTTTTGGAGAGGCGTTTTATTTAAATGAAAATAAAATCTTCTTAAAAATTTGATTTTCATTACAATTATTACGGAATATTAAATTGTATATTTTTGGTGAGTTGTCGTTTTATGACAACTTTAACATGAAATCCTAGGCCAATTTTCATGTTAATTTAGACAGGAATTTTTCAAAAACTTTCATATCCCTTCAATTATCGTTATAATCCACATAATTTTTTTTCTATGGTATTATCAGTTGATTCCGTTTCGTTTCAATCAGATCTCAGTAAAATAATCAGTAGAACTCTCTGTAGAAGGAGCATCAGTAGAAGTTTCAGTAGTACTTAGTTTAGCTTTCAAAGGGTCTTTAATAGAACTTTCAGTGGTAGTACTTTCAGTTTCATCATAAGAACCCGTTCTCTTAGCCTTCTCCCTTATTTCTTTTATTTTAGCTAGGTCTTTTTTGATATCCTCCAATCGATTTACGATCGTGTTACTTTTATCAGTATTTTTTTCAATCTCTTTTGACTTCTCGAATCTACTTCCTGTTTCACATGTCGTAATACTCTCTCTCTCTTCGATCCTTGCATCGAATATCTCCAAAAAGTTATCGACTATATTTCTTACTCGAGACCCATAATCAAACGACGGGGAGCCTCCATTTCGAACTGAACATTTCTTTGAGCATTCCGATTGGGTCAGTCGATTTTCCAAGCTCATCAATCTCTCGTGCAAGGTTTCACCAAATGAGCTAAGCCGATTCTCCAGAATCTTGTTTATTTGGTCCAAGGGAACAGTGCACTCAGAAATTGGCTCATCCTTGAACAATAATATATATACGTCGTGCACTTCACATTGGAAACTATTAACTCACGGTTAAACTGGCGACAGTGGTCCCGTACAGGGCTAACCCGCATAAAAAGATTAAATTGAATCGCATTTTATCCTCAATAAAGAACTTTAATCCAGCAGTGCAAACACTAGACTGTGAAGTATTTCCAAGGGTGGCTACATTAAAAACCATTAAGTTCAAGATTTCAGCTGAGTAACGCATTTTATCACATCCGGCGGATGAGGAGACTGGTAATTTCTTATTAAATTTGGTAACCAAGCAAAGCAAAAAAGTATTAGTCATAAATAAAATATACAATTTCAGTATTCTTTGTATATATACATATTTAGAGATTTAAGATAAAGAAAACGAGGGCAATCTTTAGAAAACTATTTTCTTGACATTAGGTTTTTCTATGTGCAATATTTTTAGTACTTGTTTTAATTGTTGTTTTATATTACAGGTTCCCATTAAGCGCGTCCACCTGTTCACCATCATTCAGCTGGCCTGTCTCATTATTCTTTGGCTGATCAAGTCCTTCTCGAACACCTCCATCCTGTTTCCCCTGATGCTGGTGGTTATGATCGGCATACGAAAGGCCCTGGATCTGGTATTCACCCGTCGAGAGCTGAAGATACTGGACGACATTATGCCAGAGATGACGAAGCGGGCGGCGGCAGATGATCTGCATAAACTGGACGCTGAGGTGGGCTTATTGGCGCGAATTTTCCCCTGGGGAAGGGGTAGTCGGGGCAGGGTGGTGACCAAGCCGCCGGGCCTCGATGGTGGCCTCGCTGGGGAGGCCGTTGGTCCTGGTCCTGGCCTCATCAGCTGCACCACCTCAAATGCAAATGAGAAGGAGTTCGAGGCACAGAGCAGTCTGCTTAAAAAGTAGAAAGCATTGAACACCCTCACACACGCACACGCACACTACCACGCCCACGCCAAAACAAAATAACAACAAAAACGCAACAAAACCCCACGGACCAGTGCTGCCCATTTCATTTGCGTTTGCAGTGCTGCCCAGTCCACCGCACAAAACCAACGATTAGCGATAGTCGCTTCGATGGTTCCGATATCGATAAACTCAATTATTGATAGAATTTTTGAATAATTTGCATTTTGTCGGTCTTGATACGTCTTATTCAACTACTAAAGTTATCTATATCCATGTAAATGCATACTTCTCTGTTATATACGTTTTTATCATGTCTTTAACAGTATTTTGTAAATGTTTTCCCCCTACCCCATTTTAGTTTTATAACATGGCATGCAGCAATTTTGCATTTTGTTTTTATACGATAATTTTTTGATAAACTTGTTTAAACCTTCTTTTGATTATATGCTTAAAAAACGCTTTTAAAACACCTGTATATGCCAAACCTACAAAAAATATAAAATTTAATTTTTCGTAGTGCAAAAATGTGTTATCTATCCGAACCTACTCTAAAACTACTCTTACCCTATATATACAAATATGATATTTATAAATGTAAATGAAATTCTAGCTTAAGTCATAATTAGTCGAGCGTTTACACTGTACAACAAGTACCTAAATGTATTAAATGGAACCTGTTATGTTATTTTATAGTCATCGGGTCTAGAGTTCCAGTAACTAACCAGAGACATACACGCACATGTAATTGTAGCGAAAATTGATGTACAAATTTCATGGGCAAAATTCAAAATTGCAACACAAAAATAAACTAAACAAATGGAAATAAAACAACAATTCGGCATAAATTAAAAATTGAACACACTTCACCTAATTGGATTTGACACAAGTTCACCAATTTAAACAATCACCATTTTATTTGGCGATATCTATTTCTCTTCTCCTTTCACCTATGCAAGTTTAGACCAGATATGCTATACCTTTTTTCTACTCATTCTTTGCTACCTTCCCGAGAGATGTTTTTTGCTCCCAAAAACTATGCAAAATATGCCAATTTTATATTGAAGGATAATCACCATCAGCATCATCCGGTGACTGGTTCCGGGCCGAACTATAATGCCGATAAGGCGGGTCCCACCACCATTCACATTCCCCTATCGGGAAACAAGGCCGGCAACAATGGACCCACAGTGAACATTCCCCCAGAGGCTGTTAATCGCACCACGGTCTGGCAGCAGATCAACAAGGATGGCAACGGGATCTCGGAGCAACTGATCATCCCGGTCACCGTCAAAGTTCGTCAGATCAATGGCAACCAGTAAGTGTTCCAAATGGAATGTCCCTCGGGGTCCAGTCCTGAATCAGATCATCAGATCAGATCACACTTAATCATCTCATGAGCTGCTAGAACTTTATCTCGCTCTATTGTATATAAACGATTTATCTCTCATTTTCTACGCTTAACCACTGATATAGAATTCGCCCTTAAAATTAAAGTAAAAAAAATTAATAAAAATATAGTGCCTTATATAAATAAGTCTTATTAACAGGGTTTTCTTTTCGCTATACATTTTGTTTTGAATTAAACATCTAAATTTATGCTACACCTTGGATTTTACGGTATAGCGGGAAACTTCAATTACACAAACCACACATGCATTATTAGGTTTTTCCTTAAAGACGTATTACAAGTTGTATAAGATTTTGATTTGGGATCATTATAAATAATTATAAATTAGTCGTTCGATTTTGTGGATCAATGAAGTCAATCTTGTAAAAATATTTTTTAAATTAGGGCCTGTACAATTTAATGGAATAAAATAACAAATTTTCTTAAATTCGATATAAAATTAATAAACTTAATCACTTTCAACAAAAATTAAAACACACTTTTCTTTCTCTTATTCTTAAATTTCTATAATTAATTTATTAAACTTATATTTTAAACTTCAAACAATTAAAGAATTGTGAAAAATATTGATGTACACGTATACTATCAAGATAAATGAAAGGAGTAGTATTGCCTTTGATATAAGTAAACTTAATAATATTTTTTTCAAATTATATACAAAAATGGGCGAATTCGAATTGGATTCTTTTGAGTGTATCGACTACTTAATCATTCATGCTCGTCTTCGCATTCCCCATATGCCTCCCCCTCTCTGCAGTTCCTCCCCGAGTGCCGCCCTCTCGCCACGCCTCTCGCCGATGCACGAGGTTGATGAGTACAGTGAAGCTGGGACAAACAGTCCGGGGAATCCCACGGGAGTTCAGCAGCAGCAGCAACAGCATCTGCAACAGCAACCTCAGCAAATCAGCAACTGCAAGGCTGCCAAAATCGAGGGATCGTCCCTGCCCAATTGCCAGATCAGTCCGGCCAACATAACACCCGTCTAAAGATCCCGAAAACTATATCGATTTAAAGCGAACAAAGCACAAAAAGACTCCCCAAACACACATCCATGTATTTCTAGTTGTTCATTCACAGCCGTATCATAATCTCTATTTACTATATATCGCAGTAGTTATCCCAAGGGACGATTTTTAGGTACAGATTTTTAGCTGCGCCAGTAGTAAGAAAAAACTTTCATTTGGGGCTCAGGTACAAGTTATACAAGTATTACTTATATGATAAAAAATACGATATTCCGTAGACAAAAAATACATTCCAAATATACACTTTTGAAACGAATTTTATAAAGTCAATTCCAATAAGGAGGCGAAGAACAGAAAAAAAACATCGGTGGGCCGATGTTTACCCAATTTTCATACTGTCCACTTTGACTTGGTTAGCTAAAGCGAATTGTGGGTTATAATGGGGCTTTTTTATCGAACTGTGATCTGGAGGTTATATCTTGGGGGTGGGTTGTATAAGAAGCGTATCATTTAGCCTAGCCAAGACAAAGCTGTAAACAATTGTATTATATTTTATGCCTTACACTAAGTTCTACACAAAGAAACAAGCATCCTACCCGACACACCCCAAACATATATAATAAAAAAAAACATAGACAACTATAAATATTGAATAAAAGTGGCGAACCATTAATTAGCCACAAGCAAACTGCGAAAAACAACAATGTATCTTTCATTTCGTTATTTTTGGTCTGCATCGTTCGTTTTCAGTGTATTTTGTGCATAGTTGTGAGTGTGGCACCTACTGCTCCCAAAATCTATATCTCTGAACATTCATACATAGCACCTGATCGAGTTCTGCCTGTCTTCCATTAAATTCATCAATATTGCGAACCAGAGTTTGTGGAATTCTCACAAATAAATAGCTATAAGCTTAAAAGCCCAGTGAACAGATAATGTTATTCCTATAAGAACTCAATAAACCCACTGAAATCTCCATTAAAATTTAAAAAAAATGTTTGTATATTTAAGTTATGATAGAAATGGTTATAATATTTTTGATCATCTTCAAACTCTGTTTCCAACAATCAATCCATCAAAGCTCCATTAGCATCGTGTTTGATGTCTGTATGTGTATCTTCTATAACATAAATTCTTTGATCTTAAATGTATTCGTAAAATAGATGAGCTAGTCTAGGTTGTTCTTTGTACTTACACCCCTGGTTCACGGTAATTAATATCAAATTTCATTATTGCAGAACCCAAAATTTAATACGTCGAAGCAATTGTGGCGTGGATATCTTACACCAACAGAAACATCCGTTTGAGTCAATGATTTAACTCTGTTTTAGCGTATATCTGTGTACCTGTATAACAATTATGTGTGTCTATAATCGGTCAAATACCACCTACCGTCCCTTTTTGCGTATATGTATCCCAAAGTGCGATTTGGCACAAATTAATTGTCTGGCAACATATCAAGCGACAACTCGTAAACCAATCTTATACAATCCACACTAAATATATTTGTTGAAATAAATGTATAAAATAAATTATTTTGAATGGGAAAGGTATATTTATATTAATTGCATTATGGGTGAGTGTCATAAATCTTTTTACTCAGAGAAAGATCCAGAAAATATTTTCGAACTTTATTTAACATGGAGTACATTTTGGCGATTAAAACTATTAAATAAGTCCGTAAGCGTTCAGTTTAAAACTTATATTAAAACTTTAACAGCGTTTTACAAACTATTATATTTTATATTAAAATAAAAATTAAAAAATTAATATTTGTAAAATAAATATTAGTGTGTTTATACACATAATGATTCAAATCCCATAACAAGTTTTTTTATATATTAATGATTTTTTTAATTTGAATAAAAAATATATATTTACTTTCATTTATTTTTTTTAAAGCTAGTTTTTTTAAACAGTTTTTAAAAATAATTATTTTTAATTGGTTCTCTGTGGTATATTTGGTAACTATTTTGTTCGGTATTTGTTTTGCACGAATGGTATAATTAAGCGGTCCTGCCACGGTCACACTGGGTTGGTTGGGTTTCCACGAGAGAGCGCGTGTTTTTTTATTTAAAACGATAATTATTAATTAAAACCTAGCCAGGATGTCGTTAATTTGTCGTTTGCTGACGGGGAACAACCCTATGCGCCTGCGGGCATTGGACGCTTTGGGCAGGGTGAGTTAAGAATGCAGAAATATACAAAAAATCATGGGCTCGTTATGTAATTGTTGTAAGGAATTTACTTTATTGATAAACCATAACTTTACAGGCCGGCTACAGTTCGCATGCCAAGTTTTCGGAACACAAACCCATCGAAAAGATCCGGAACATAGGAATCTCGGCGCATATAGACAGTGGAAAGACAACATTGACGGAGAGAATTCTCTTCTACACCGGAAGGATTGCGGAAATGCATGAAGTTAGGGGAAAGGATAATGTGGGGGCCACCATGGATAGCATGGAACTGGAGAGACAGCGTGGAATCACCATCCAATCGGCAGCTACTTATACCCTGTGGAAGGAAACCAATATCAATATTATTGATACCCCGGGACATGTGGACTTCACCGTGGAGGTGGAGCGTGCTCTTCGAGTTTTGGATGGTGCCGTTCTGGTCTTGTGTGCCGTGGGCGGAGTTCAGAGTCAAACGTTGACGGTCAACCGACAGATGAAGCGGTATAATGTTCCTTGTCTGGCCTTCATCAACAAACTGGATCGCCTGGGCTCGAATCCTTATAGGGTTCTATCCCAAATGAGGTCCAAAATGAACCATAATGCTGCTTTCATTCAACTGCCCATTGGTGTAGAGAGCAATTGCAAAGGCATTGTGGATTTGGTGAGGGAAAGAGCCATATATTTCGAGGGCGAACATGGAATGGATCTGAGGCTAGACGAGATCCCACAGGATATGCGAGTGGAAAGCCAGGAAAGAAGGCAGGAACTCATCGAACACTTATCGAATGCAGACGACACCTTTGGAGAGATTTTTCTGGAAGAAAAGCCCTTTACAGAAGATGATTTGAAGGCTGCCCTGAGAAGAACTTGCATAAATAGAACCTTCACACCTGTTTTGGTGGGGACAGCACTAAAAAACAAGGGTGTCCAGCCCCTGCTAGATGCAGTAATTGAATACCTACCCAACCCCGGGGAAGTGGAGAACTTGGGCTTCATAGAGAAAGAAGGACAGGAGCCAGAGAAAATTGTTTTAAATCCTGCTCGCGATGGCAAGGATTCTTTCGTGGGTTTGGCTTTCAAATTGGAGGCTGGACGCTTTGGTCAACTAACCTACCTCAGATGCTACCAAGGAGTTCTTCGGAAAGGGGACAACATCTTCAACGCCCGCACCAATAAGAAAGTAAGAATCGCTCGCTTGGTAAGACTGCATTCAAGTCAAATGGAGGATGTCAACGAGGTCTATGCCGGTGATATATTCGCTTTGTTCGGAGTTGATTGCGCCTCTGGAGACACATTTACCACCAATCCCAAGAACAATCTGGCCATGGAGTCCATCTTTGTACCCGAGCCCGTTGTTTCAATGGCTATAAAGCCTAATAACACCAAGGATAGAGATAATTTCTCAAAGGCCATTGCCAGATTCACCAAAGAAGATCCTACATTCCACTTCTTTTTTGACAATGATGTAAAGGAAACACTGGTTTCGGGAATGGGTGAATTGCATTTGGAGATCTACGCCCAGAGGATGGAGAGGGAATATGGCTGCCCAGTGACGCTGGGAAAGCCAAAAGTAGCATTTAGGGAAACCTTGGTTGGCCCCTGCGAATTCGATTACCTGCACAAGAAACAATCAGGAGGATCAGGTCAATATGCCAGGATTATAGGAGTCATGGAACCACTGCCGCCCAATCAAAATACCTTGCTGGAGTTTGTGGACGAAACAGTGGGCACTAATGTGCCAAAACAGTTTATTCCTGGAGTCGAAAAGGGTAACTCAAATTATTATTTATTCACATAATTGTAACTCATGTTTTAAATAATAACTTAATGTACGCATAGGTTACAGAGAAATGGCGGAGAAGGGTATGCTCTCCGGCCACAAGTTATCCGGCATTCGATTCCGCCTGATAGATGGTGGTCATCACATCGTGGACTCTAGTGAGCTGGCCTTTATGCTGGCTGCCCATGGTGCCATCAAAGAGGTTTTTCAGAGCGGCAGTTGGCAGATCCTAGAGCCCATTATGCTGGTTGAGGTTACCGCGCCCGAGGAATTCCAGGGTGCTGTAATGGGACACCTAAGCAAACGGCATGGTATTATCACCGGAACTGAGGGAACCGAGGGCTGGTTCACTGTGTATGCCGAGGTTCCCCTTAACGACATGTTCGGATATGCGGGAGAGCTGAGGCAAGTTCAATAACCAATGGAAACTGTCAAGTGTACTTAAAATTTTTATACCTTCAGATCAAGCACCCAGGGCAAGGGTGAATTCACCATGGAGTACTCGAGGTACTCGCCATGCCTTCCTGATGTCCAGGATCAGATTGTTCGCCAGTACCAGGACTCACAGGGATTGGCTCAGCCCGACAAGAAGAAAAAGAAAAACTAATTAATATTGGCTCCTAGCTCTCTAAACCATCTCTAACAAATCGACATGTTATTGTATCATTTTTATTTTTGCTTAGCTAAATGTTATTTTATAAAACCATCTTCAGTTTTTACTGTGATAAATTAAACTTGTACAGTTTTTCGTATGATAAAAGAAGACAAAAAAAATTGTAACCAAAAAAAAGTTTTGTTTATTAATGGACCAAGAATGCCTTTTTGGAAAAAGTTTTCAAAAAATTTGTTATATCTTAGGAGTTTTTCGGGCATTTTTGTGGTGTTAAAGAAAAGCTCTCAAGAAATTGCAACCAGTGGCTTGGGTCTTTTTTTTTTTCATTTTATTTTTTACACTTGTTTAATCGGTGGCTAATTAGCTTAAATCTGCTGAGTATATCTACAAATTTCTCAGAAGAGGCGGTAAATCCGCCGAAAGAATTGTGGAATTACGGATTTGCTGATACGGAATTTTATAAATTTGACCTATTTAATCTCCTAAATAATCTTGTCTTGAAAAATATGCAAATAAAATAAAACAATGACACTTCCATATCGCCACTTTTTTTGGCGTAACAACCATTTTATAAAGTCCAGCGCCCTAAAGGCTATCAATTTAGTCATTGCAGTAACATGAATATCATCGCATCGGGAATTACGGTATTAGCCTGCCTACTGCTTGGGGCTAACGAAGGAGGGGCCTTCTTGCTTGACGAGAATTGTGGAACAACAAAGGAGTTTCCGAGTATTAGCCGGGGAGTGGCATTATGTGCTGATACACGCATATATTCGAATCCATGGAATGTTCTTGTGCTCTGTGGGCAGAATAAAATCTGTAGCGGCTCGCTTATTACCTCTCGTAAGTAGTTTAGTTTTAAATTATTATATGTATATTATTTAAAATGTCATTATTTTTTGCAGGCTTTGTCCTGTCAGCAGCGCGTTGCACTTGGCAGTTATTTGGAGAATCATCTTTTAACTGCGGAAAGGTACGCCTAGGCGAAAATGGCTTCGAAGATAGCCTGAATACCCAAGAAATTGATGTCGACAGAAAGATATTTCATCCACAATTCAAATTTGATTCTTCTAATAATGACATATCTCTGCTTCGATTGGCGCAAGAAGTTCAGTTTTCAGGTAATTAACTAGAATAGTAAACCATGATTTCTCAACTAAAACCATTTTCCGTAGACTACATCAGACCGATCTGCCTTCCCATCCATCAACTAGGGAGACAAACTATTCCATCATTTGAGGTCACCGGTTGGGCAAAAACTGAAGGTGGGCTCAAAATACTACACACAGCCACTCTAAGCAATCTTGGTATTGAGCACTGCAACAACTTATTTTTGATGGATTTCAGTAAAGAATCCCAGATATGTGCCGGCGTTGCGAACGCCGACTATTGTAGACAAGTTTTGGGAGCTCCGTTGAGCGCAGTGGCTAGTTACAAGGGAAGAATTCGGGTTTTCCAGTTAGGTATTTCCAGTCTCTGGACACCTACTTGTAGTGGTGTCAGTGTTTACACAAATGTTTTGCACTACATAGACTGGATCAAGGTTAAAATTGACGAAAATTCAGATTTCAGTAACTGATCCGGATTTGTCTTCCAGATCTAACGAAATCATTTCATCGTATAATAAACCAAGATTAATCGAGCATATTTATATCAAGTTTATATTATTGGAGTTCGTTCATCGATAATTATAACTAAAATGAGTACCAAACGCTAACTGCTTAACAATTTGGATAATATCAAACAAAACATATATCTGCTGATACTGATGTCATTGAACATGTTGTCATTTCTTAATAACTCCTGAAATAATTATTTAATTTGCTAAATTAGAATTATTTTGCTAATTGAAAAAAAGCAAAGGCAATGAATAAAGTCACACGAGCTTTTATTTTATTTATTAACTATTATTAAAGTAAAGTCATATTTAAGATTTTCATTTGCTTTAGTATTTATTCAGTAATATGTTGCATAAACATATATTATTTCTACATACTTTGTAATTCGTATATTTATTCCCTTACATGTTAAATGTCTTTTTCTTTGCGTGTTTGTTAAAGAGGTTGGGTAAGTGTTCGCTGAGCATTGGTCCAATTAAATTCGTTAGGCAATGTCACAATGTTTGAATGCTATTTTATATATTCCGTCTAACCCTTTAATCCGAGTCGGATGAGATATTGGTGCAGGAATCGTGAGTTATGCGTTTGTTTATGGGATTATAGATTCCATTGAGCGGATACGGACCGCGGTAGCTGATGATGTTCTTTGGTGTCTCGTGGATTTTTACCTCGTACAGCAGTTCGGGTTTCTTCAGCTGCAGACGGATGTTGTCCCAAATATAAACAGCCAAATTCTCTGTGGTACTGGGCTAAGGGTTAAAAGGAAACAATTATTAGCATAGCAAGCAAGGTGTGTCTTAAGGTAATTTACTGTATCAGCAAAGTATTCCACATCCTTGTCAAGATTCTTGTGATCCAAACGCTTCATAATCACTGTCTCGATCGCCTCCTTAAGCTCGGTGATGTTCACCACCATTCCAGTTCGCCGATCGATGGGACCACGAACGGTTATTTCGACTAAAATGGATTTAAATTCATTGTATCTCTATTTTATTGAAAGTTTGTGGCTTAATAATCTTTCGAAAAATTATTGTTTTTCCTTGACACCTTTTTGAAAATGAAATATCTGAAATTCTGAGTCTTTACATGAAAAGCGTTTTAAGGCGTTTTACAATTACGCTTTAATTTGTTTGATCTTATCCATCTTATATTATATCTTATTATCTTATCCAAGCCTTCATAAAGGACACATTTAAAAACTCTATTAAAAAATTTAATTGCAATCACGCCGTGTCAGAGTTCAATTAAAAATGTAAAATAGGTATTGAAATCTTAAACAAGGAAACAAACAAAGAACGATTTGATTTTTTTAGATTTCATTTGATGGAAACTACAAACATTCCTAATCCCTAATCAGCTCGGTATAGGGACCACAATATGCTCGTTTGAAGCTGTTCATTATCAATTCTCGGTCGCCAGTCTACAGATATGATTACACCTTTGAGCGTTGAACTTGAATATGGTTTTGATAGCGAGCTTGTCGGCCAAGGTTTGCTATTATGGTTAAGCATTTTTCAGTCTCGAATTACCAATTGCTGGGGGTTACGCCTGATAGAGCCTGGGTTAGACGATATGTCTCCCATTTGCAGGTAATCAGGCATTTAAATGGGTGCTGTATTTCGTGAGTATGGGCTATTTTCTTTTCACCTGTGTAATTATGTCCATGGCCGTGGAAATTGTTGCATTTGCCGAAGACTTCCAGATTCTCTGCATCGCTCAACTGGGGACTGCGAAAAAAAAGAGTCAGAAAGTCAACGTTAATCAAACTGAATTGGTTTGCAAGCTCGTGATTGAATCAAGCAATAGGATCGATTCAATTTGGTTCAATTCAATTACCTATGAAGACGATGACAAGCGCTGAAAGTTTCGCGACGAGTTAGGAAGGCAACAGGTTGCTGCGACATTCTAGTCCGATTTATACTATATCTTTATTGTCTAGATCTCGACTTATTGGCACACGTCTTAGCACTGTTTTACAATGAATGCAAAACCTGCTTTCGTTTTGCGCCTATTTATATGGATTGGGGGAACAAGGAAATTATTGGCCACAAACGCGGCGACTGCGGAATCACAACACGTTCGGAACTAGTTTATTCAGAATTGCTTAAATCTGATCTGCCTAATTGCAGCTGATTGATTAGTGATTCCTAATCGTTAATCTCTGATTTATATTTGATTAATTGTTATAAGCTGTAACGAAAGTCAGTTGTAACATTAAACCATATTTACTTTCCCAATACGAAAAGTTCTTACCTTTACTTTGATGCGCATTAAATAATAATATTTACTTTTGCCTACGTTGCTCGTCACAGTCAGTGTTGACAAAACTTTGAAGAAAAAAGCTGCATTTGACGAGATAGATTGTAAAATAAAAGATGCAAAACTGGAAGCAATAACGATAAATCTTTTATTTTTCTAATACATTTTAAACAATTTGGAATTTTATATGTATATTTGTATTTATGGCACGTATTCATCAACTTCAAGGGTTTTTTCTAAAACTTATTTAAATCCAGATTTGACGGGAAAAGACGAAATTGGCAACACTCGTTACAGCTGATAACGAATCGTCATTAACGATAACAAGGTGCTATCGGTTATCAGATAGAAATGAGCCATTTACACTTATCATCACTGTGACTTAAGTTGGCGAATAACTTAGCCTGTTCTTAGTGATTTAAATTGGAACTTCAATAAGTTCCGCTAATGTTCAATTTAACTAGAAAATGCAAATTAAAAAATAATTTTTAAAGATAATATTTATAAATGAATATTATTTAAATATACATATTTTTATAAATTACATATTGTTGTGATAATACAATAATTAACTAGGTGTGTTGCACCATATAAAAAATAATTAAACCTAAGAAGTAAAAATACATAATTCAGTTTAAAGAGATCGTTAAAAATTAAATATTCTTTAATACATTTTACCCGTCTCCAGTAACTGTCGGCGTTGCCAGACCCTGATATCAACCCTGCTTTGTTATCGGCAGACGCCCGTCACTACGAAAATCAACAAACAACGACGCCGCGCAATAATTCGAAACTTCTTGGAACTATTGATTAACTAAGGAAAAAGGAATACATAATTCTGAAAAAGATGAGCAACAAGAGCACTCCAGTGCGCCAACGCATCCAGCAGTTCCAGACACGTGGTCCGCACAAATCGACGCCGGCGTCGGTTGGCAGTGGTCTGCGGAAAAAAGTGCTGATGACGCGAACGGAGGAGCGGGATCGGGATCGTCCGGATCAGCTAAATACGGCCTTCAATGGAGGCACTCCGCAACCGAAACCCAAGCCCACGGCCCTAAATGCCTGCTACACACCCTCGTCGCTCTACAGGAATAGCAACACTCCCGGGAGAACCAAGACTCCCGGCACCGGAAAATCTAGTTGCAGCCGGGTTAAGGAACGCGACTCCCTGATGGAGTCCTGCCTCAGCGTTTCCGAGGATAGCAACATGATTGTGGCGGTTCGGGTACGGCCACTAAACGCCCTGGAGTGCACACGTGGTCAGGTCACCAATGTGGTCCAAGTCAATGGCAATAGCAACGAGTTGACGGTTCAGGCCGGCAGCAGTGCCGATTCTTCGGCCGGCGTGACGCACTTCTTCAGCTACGACCAGGTCTATTACTCCTGCGATCCGGAGAGGAAGAACTACGCCTGCCAGGCTAAGGTTTTTGAGGGCACAGCTCGTCCGTTGATCGACACCGCCTTTGAGGGCTACAATGCCTGTTTGTTTGCCTACGGGCAGACGGGTTCGGGCAAGTCCTACAGCATGATGGGCATCGAGGCGCTGGACGATGCCGCTCTGGATGGTGGACCGCCGCACGATGAGGCGGGCATTATTCCCCGTTTCTGCCACGAGCTATTCCGGAGAATAGAGGCGGTGAAAAGGCAGGAGCAGCTGCAAGTAGAGGTGGAGGTTAGCTACTTCGAGATTTACAACGAAAAGATCCACGATTTGCTGAGTGTCCAGCATGCTACCGCTGCATCCGGGGAATCCACTCCTGTCCAGCAACAACTGCAGCGACCGGCTTTGAAGGTGCGTGAGCACCCCATCTTTGGACCCTATGTTGTCGATCTGAGTGCCCATTCGGTGGACTCGTATTCGGCGCTCCGCAACTGGCTGGCAGTGGGCAACTCGCAGCGAGCCACTGCCTCTACGGCAATGAACGACAAGAGCTCTCGCTCGCACTCCATCTTTAACATCGTCCTGAACCTCACCGACCTGAGCAGCGATGATGGTCTGTCCTCGGACACGGATTCCGGCACGGTATCCTCACTCCGGCAGACGCGGCGCAGCAAGATCAGTCTGGTTGATCTGGCGGGCAGCGAACGCATCAGTGTCTCGGGATCTAATGGCGAGAGGATCCGCGAGGGCGTCAGCATAAACAAGAGTCTGCTGACGCTAGGGAAAGTCATTGCTGCTCTAGCTGATTCCCGCAAAGCTGGCGGGAATGGACCCCTGGGATCCGGAACACCCAGCACGTTTGTCCCTTATCGGGAAAGCGTGCTCACCTGGCTTCTGAGGGTGAGTGCAATTACTTTTTCTTGTACTTATCAATTGGGTTAGTAGGTTGGACTACTTTTAACTGTTGATAATTCTTTATTCTCTTGAACGCCGAAATCGAAATGTTCCTACATCGATTAAAAAGTATATGCCCTATCTTAATCAAAGGAAGGCTATTAAAACAAATGTGGGATTCAATGATAATTAGTACGAAGGGTTTTGCGGGTCTATTTGAAAATGCATATTATATTTGATAAATATTTATTTTAGTAAAAAAGAAAAATAATTTGTATTCCTTTTTTTTGATTATGGGATATTATTCAAAATGTATTAATTTTTTAGATTAGTATATATGAAACTAAATGGGGTTCTTTAAATGCACTAATCATTAATAAATAAGTTATTATATTTAGGACTCTTGAAATACCTTTGAAATTATTATTATTAATTAAGGAAATGTAGTACGTGCTCAGCCATAAGACGAACTATTTTAATCGTCTTTGAAAATGTAAACTCCATTTGAGGGTATTGTTCTTTACTTTTGAAATTGCATAGAAATACTTTCACTACACATACATAAAGGCATTTCTTGGCAAAATTTTCCGTACTTTTTCCATTTCCAACGGACAGATCAGTTATCAACGCTTTGATTAGCCGGTGGACCAAGAAATGAGGTCTCCGCACAATCAGTAATTACCCGGAAAACAATCAGTCCCAAGAACTGCACTGGAAATGCATCCAACTCGTTGATCTCGTGAAAAATTTTAAACAGACAAACATTTACATACCCAATGATGGCTACCGATTCAATAATACAAATTTGATATTTGGGTTTCAATGGATGTTGTGACGCTCCAGCTCACTCTTTGTCTCCATGCCCATTGTTTATAGAGATTTGATCTCGTGATGATGTGTCGTCGCCCTGTCTTTCAGACACGCGAATTTGCTTTTATGATGTCTGAAATTCGGCAAAAATACCCATGACAGATTGTTGTTTGGCCATATAATCTAATATTATGCTAATTGCTTCAATTAAAATAAATGTATGTACAAAATTGTATGAAAAACAGGAAAATGGAAAAAATTTGCTTAAGATTAGATTGGGTTTATCACGGGCTTAAAGAATAAAATATGAGATGTTTTTAATCCATTTGACATAATTTGAAATTTGAACTCAGCTATTATTTGTTCGTTTATTTTTTATAGAAATCCATAGCCCAGTTTCTTATTTATTATTGTCTTATCACATTTGATAGTGCAACTTTTTATCGTGGCCTTAAAGTTAAATCAAAGACCTCCCCGCACCTCAATCAATTGTGTGATTAAAGCCTTCTTATCATATCTATTTAAACTCTTGCCGTGCTTTTTTTATTTGCTTATAAAATATATGACCTGATATAAATGCACGTGTAAGCGTTCTACCAAATTATAAAAAAAAAGATTTGAAAACAAGAGAAAATATGGCAGAGGCTTTATTTACCTTTTTGATTTTACTGACTCAAATTTTGTTCGTTCTTATCATGAAAGAATGTGCAATTGTAAATATCTCGAAGAAGCTTAAGGCTTCATTAACACATACATAGATAAAACTATGTTTGTAAACTCTGTAATTTCACTAAGATTACGAAGTTAAAGCTTCTTCTTCATTAAATTACAAAATTATCATGTGCCAAGATTACATAAACCTTTTAACCTTATTTTCAAATTAATAATTATTTGCTTCACGATTTGTACTAATTGTTTGAATTGAGTAATGGTTTTAAGTTTTCATAGTACATATATCACATGCTTTTGTTTATACTTCGAGTTAACAACTGCTTTTAAAGGAAAATCACAAGCTTTTGTCCACTTTAGTAATATCTTGATTGTAGAATTATTACAAGGTTTAGTCAATCCATAAGCGAGAGCTTTATATAATAGTAGTCTGCGTCTAAAAAAAGGAACACTTAACTTTTTACGACGTAATTTACAATCATTCTCTTTATTCGATGAGTAATTACAGGGCGCTAGAGTGAAAGGCTCTTGATTGAAGGTATTACAAAGTCCGCACACTTGACTTTTTTCCCGAAACCTGTTCCACTGACTGTTGTTTATTGTCTAGCCACCTTTATTTAAGTTACGGTAGTACGCCCTTGAGAATCCCTAACTAGTTTTAGTTTAATATATGGGCTTTGCAATGAAATGTGAAGACAAATACTTGCTAGAATGGCGTCGTTGCCATTTTCGTTACCAAATCAACAGGAACCCCTTGGGATCTTTGTAAGGAAAAAGCCAACATTGTTGGCCAACCTGAAAGACCAAGCAACCTTGTCCGAGTCCATTAGGGATTTCAGTTTTTGCTTTCCATTGTTTCTATGACTGACTATCTTTTAAGTACTTTTCCTATCTATGCATAATAAACACAAGTTCCATGTACATCTCTTTGCCACCCCAGCGATTTAAAAATACTTTTGAAGATAAAGTTCCTTTTTATTGTATTTTATTTTTTCTGGTGTACTCTGGTACTAAAACAATAAACCACTTGATACGTTATCGCGTCTTCTAAGTTGCGACACCAACAATTTTATGTGTTGCTGTCGTTGTCGCCTTTTTCCACATTTACAGGCCGTAGGCTCGCATTTACAATTGCCCTTGCTCAACTTTTTCCCATCCTTAAGACCTGTAATAACAATTTGAACACAATATGAATAATGTATATAGATACTGAATTGATGACAACTGCAAATTTACACATTGTTGAAATGCAGTACACGTAAAATACTTAAATAAACCAAATTCAAATCAGTAATTATAAACAAAGTAAGATAATTTCGAATGCCCAGTAAAATAAGTTATTGATTGCAATCTTTTAGTTTCATCTATCAGCCTTTGTAGTTAGTCTATAATTATTTTTAAGTATTTCATATATTTTAAGTTATAAACGAGTTCTAAACTAGTTTTCAACTTAAATGACATTCCATTTATAATTGGATATAAACTCTGCTTTAAATATTTAAATTAATAAAAGTTTGAAAGTCTTCCAACCGTTTCTGTTTATGACAACAAACATCATATACAAATTCGGACTATTGTAAACAGTCCATTATCTAAAGATTTTAATAACTCGTTAAAAAAAAAATATGTGAGCTATTAAGTACTATTTTTAATTTGTGAAAGTAAAAACTGCTATTAGGTGGCATTTAAATTTAAATTTGGTTCCTTTACTAAAATGTTCTGCCAAAAAGTAATTTTCTAGTTTTTTCGTTAGCCAACTGGATAAAATTAGGCATTGAATGTGTGTATAATTTTAAATTAGTTTGGATTTTGTTTGTCACATTTTTTTTTAAATATTTAGTGAAAATCACCTTGGGACTTTACTCCCTTAGAAACTCTCAATTTTTTTAGCAGGCGACTCAGCATTTTAAATGTTTTTTTTGAGAAATATCCTTTTAGTTATGTTCTTAATTTTTTTGTAAGAATTTTTTTTTTTTTAACTCGGTATGACCTTCACATGACTGTAAGAACTTTAGAACTGCAAGTGTCGAACCCCAAGCAAGCTTTCTAAATAAATTCCCAGCAAACTTGTTCGTGTGCAAAGCCCCTAGAAACCGCAGTGAATTTTTAATCAACATTTCCCGAACTCTCTACGGTTGCCCACAAACATTGTGTAGATTATGGGTGGATTTTGGTTTTCAAATATAATCCAGAAACATCGAATTGAATGCAAATGGAGTACAGTTCACACGATTTAAATATGAGTTGATCTGACGGGTTCAATACGTGTTTAATACACAAAGCGTGCCACTAGGGGCTACGTCATTTTATTATTTTCATAATTAGCAACAGTTGGGGTCTGTCTGTGTGCATTTTCAAATAGGCCACGTTTGTAGTTAACAAATTAACGATAATTAACCGGATCAATACAACCCGACATTTAAAGAAAAATAAAGCCATATAATAATTTTAATAATGCCAGGAAAGCTTTGAAACGATTTCTGTTGCTAATTGAACAAAACTCATAATTGTATATTGGAGGCATGTCAGTTGGCATTTAAATAATGAATTAATATGGATTAAAATAGTGAAGAAAAATAAATATGGAAAAGGGAAAGTTAAGTACAAATTTGTTGTTACCTATTTAACGTTGAACACGTTTGCATTATATAATAGAACGTGTCGTTTCGGTTAATTTTCCCACATAACAACAATTGTAACTCAAGCTAGCTTAGAATACTATAAATCGCTCTTTCACCCCCAGTTCGTTATATTCCCTGAGCGAAGTGGTTAACATTGAATATAAAACAAGAGAGAATGCTATAGTCGGGTGCCCCGACTATCAGATACCCGTTACTCAGGTAAAGGGAGTGCGAGGGAGATGGAGATAGAAACTTTGATCACGCATAACTTTTTAACGAATGGTCCGATTTGAAAAATTTCTTCTACATTTCGATAGGTATTGATAAACACAATAAAACTGCATTTTTACTTTTCCGAAATATTTAAATTTTTAAAATCGTATATAAGCGATTGTGGGCGTTAAAGGGGGCGTGGCACCATTTTGAAACAAACTTGCGCTGCGTAGGAACTTCTAAAATCTACATGCAAAATATCAATCTTCTAGCTTTTATAGTTTCCGAGATCTCAGCGTTCATACGGACAGACAGACGGACAGACGGACAGACGGACAGACGGACAGACAGACGGACAGACGGACATGGCTAGATCGACTCGGCTAGTGATCCTGATCAAGAATATATATACTTTATAGGGTCGGAAACGCTTCCTTCTAGCTGTTACATACTTTTGCACGAATACAATATACCCTTTTACTCTACGAGTAACGGGTATAATGAATCGAATTCATTGTATAAACAACAAAATATATGGCTTCCCTCCATGAGTGGTTTTTCTCAAAACCCGCTTTCCCCGTATACCCCATTGCAAATGCCGATGCATACTCATTCGTACAGATATGTACATAGATATATGGCGTATGGGGCAATTCACAATTTGATCACCCTATCTGGAAACAAGGAGAAAGAGCAATTTAAGTTTTTATTCGCTGCTGTTCTTGACTTTTATGATTAAAGCACCGACCAACTGATCTCATCAACGCATGTCAAATGTTCATTGCTCTAATTCAAATCAGTTTAGTTGAGTGGGAAATAATTTAAGTGAGGTTATGTTTGAACAAACCTAGATTGTTTAAACGACAGATCTAGGAAACAAGTAGATCACTTTTGCATGGTCAAGTTCCAGGTCGGTTTATTATGATTCGAGGATTTTTTTCTGGGTCAAATACAGTTCCCAGGGTAATCTCTTAATCACTGACCTTAGCCATCAAGTATTTGCCTAATTTGATATTTAACTTTTATTTAACCTGAGGAATATTTTTCGATTAGTCTACAAAAGACATATTAACTTCAATTAGTAAATTGGTGCGAGACGGAAAGATTTCCGTAAAGATTTGCATAAAAAATTAAGGAATTTTTTCGGAAAACGAAACCAGTTTAAGTCGGTGGTCTGAACTGACCCACCCCAATGTAACTGGAACAGATGTCTACTACTAAAGGCAAATGGTAATATGAAATCATAGTTTAAGGCCGTTTTCCCGATAAAATCTTGACTTGATTTTAGAAATCGTATCAAAGACACATATTTTTTCTCCGCTTTCTCTTTTTTAAAGTTAAAAGAAAACAAAAATTTCAAAGTTATATATTTTTTTTAAATTTATATTTTTATTGAATTATATATAATTTAAATTTAACATTAATATATAATATTTATGATAAATAACATTGTATAAATTGAAAATTTTCTCGGTACCTGCAAGCAAATTTCTTTACAAATTAATACATTTTTTGATCAATTACTTAAATGACTAATGCAAAAGTTAAATCGTTTTTATATCATTGCTGTCTTTCTTTTTGCACAGTTCAGCTTGACACCAAATGGCCTAAAATTATTTTCAGTTAACAAAATTTAACTTGGCATAAACTTTAAAAACATGTTCAACTTTTAAATATGTATATAGCAGTATTACGATTAATTTTGACACCTGCTCGGACTGTGCAATGATCAGTTGGTATTACAATAAATATAAGGGAAATGTCTAATATAGACAAGGATACAATAAAAATCGGGGTCCAAAGTATACGTAGCTACACATATATCGAAAAAATAATATTTATAAACCTTAGTTTGCGCCAATGAAGCATTTTTCTTGTTAGTTCTCCTTATTTTTTGTTCGTTAATATGGTATACCTGTAACTGATCCAATTAGGTCAAAAAAAACTAACGAAAAAACACAATTTTAGCTTAACAATTTTCTACTGCAGTTTACTCAGTCTCGTTCGCAAAATAGAAAATTCAGTTTTTCTGCTATTTTTGCATCCCTTGTTGTTTTTTTGTATATATATTTTTTTTGTTTTTTTTTTAAGCTTTTTTCATGATGTTCTCGTTTGCCTAAGATCAAAAAAATGCGTTGGTCAAGCGGGGCAGGTTTTCGTTATTTGATTTTTTCATCGTGCGCTGTTTGTTTGTCGGTAAACAAATTACTGTTTATAGTTGTACATAACTGCGAAGTTGGCTCAAAACGAAATTGTAGTAGATAATGGGTAAGGGGAATTGTAAATTGGTATCAAGTTGTTCTTGCTGTTGTAAATGGTAGTGTATTCGCGATGCGGAAATGCTGGGGCAACCATTAAAAAAAGGGTACAGTCGCCTTGGATTATTGTTGCAATCATCGTCTTTAACAGCTTTTTTCTCTTTTCTCCTCTGGTTTTTCTTTGTTTTTGTTGTAACTTTTTCAGGTTTTTTCATCTTTTCAGGTTTTCTTTCCTTTCTTCTGGTTATATATTTATATATATGGCATTTCGCGAATGTCTGTGGGAATCAACTGTAGTAGAGTCGTCCCGCTTCCTCTCACACCTTGCAGCTTTGGGGGGCCGCAAGGACGGAGGACACCACATCGTGGCTGTGACTGTGGGCGTGCTCCAGCTCATGTTCGTGCATCTCCTCCTCGTCCTCGCAGATGCTGTCATGGTGCTTGCGCTGCTCCCGCTTGCGCATGTAATTAATGAGCGGCCGCTTCTTGTGCTCCTTGCAGAAAGGACAATCCTTCCTCATCTGCTTCTCGGTTTTTATCTGCTTACATTTTTCTGTAATAGAAAGGATAGGATAGGGCCATGATTAGTTAAGATCGCATTATCTGTTTGCCCTCGTCTGTATCTCCACTGTGTTTTGGCCTACGTGCCCACTTGAACGCCCTTCTGGGCCAAACAGCTGATTTTTGACTACGTGACGTCGTTGATTTTACGCTCGCGACGTCACGTCGACATCTATCTCCCCTTTTTTCGATTCCGTTTTATAAATGCGTGACCCTGTGACACAAACAACTGTGTTCAAAATATTAGACTATTAGCATGTTCTTATAAAGATTAAAAATTTGAATTCATGTACAGATTTCATTTTACGCAAGAAATATTTTTATAATTTTAACTTTAGTAGGTTTTTCTAAAGCTACCACTACATTTATTTTGAACACAGCCGCATGAACACTCAAAGTGCTTAGGCGACCTGCCCTTATGGATTCAACTATTTCTATGATTGCTCAATTGACCATGTTAAATGCTAAACGGTTATTATTAAAGGCCATGCCGATCCATTTGGAAAGATTCTATTCATAGCCAGTGATAAGCGACCTTGCATAATCTATAATTGTACTCTACACTGAACAAAATAGCGATCTATTGGTTCACAAATGTTTTCTTACAAAAATGATTGTGAATGTTATATAAAACTTTTATTTGACTTGCAAATTAAAAACTATTTAATTTGTTGTGTTATCTCTAAAGTAAAAAGCTGTGGTTCAACATTTTGTTTATGTTTATGTTTAAAATTCAAAATAATATATTTTTTGTCCTGTGTACCTGATAATGCAGTGGGCATAATTAGTCATATACTACTCGGATATAAGCAACAACAAAAGTTTACCTTTCGCACACCTCAGTTTTGTTATTGCGCTTTAATTTTGGCACACAAACACAATGAAGCCCTGCTTTATTCGTCTTCCACCAAAAAGAATCCATTGTCCGACCACCTGCTCACCTTTTTGTGAGCCAATTCTAGAGGTACAGTCAGGTTTGGATGTCTGTCTATTTAATTATCGTATAAAGATCGAATGCGGAGGGTCTTTTAATGGACTCGACTGACCTCCATAAGATTGAGTTTAATCACCTTTAAAATAATCATACAAAGTATATTTTTTATTGCATTTTACGATTTTCCTCGAGTTACGATATAGTCGTTTGTATACGTTTATATCTTAATTGCGCTTTAACTTTGAAATACCGGAAATTTTTGACTGAACCTTGTCTACGTGTTTTTGTTGCTATATGTATGAAATAAAGCGCCAATATCTTACAGCACGTGGATTTAAGCCGTAAATATGAGGGGGGAGTTGATAAGGCAAGTTGGGCCGAGAAACTTTAGGCACCCTGTGTTTGTGCGCAAAAAATTAAGGCGTGTTCGCCGCACACATACACATGCGGCCAAGAAATCAGGCTGGCTATTTATAAACTCTTGCAAAAACAACAAACACCACACGCAATTCACAAATACAACTACGGAACGTGCTTTTCTTTATCTCTTGTTTTTTCCCCAGTGCATTTGAGGGTATGCGACAGTAGTTTAACCGCTATCTCCATTTACAGATGCTATCCACAAAAATTACCTTGCACTCGACTGTAGCAATCCTTGACCGCATGAGGGGATGTGGTGGATTCGAGGGTTCCGTAGGGAAACTGCTCGTAATCCCGGTAATATCCATGGCGCATCGAACCGCCATATGCCATCGTAGTATCGCTAACGCAGAATCCCCAAACATCCATTTTGGTTGTTTTATTCTTCTTCTTTTTTTCCCCTTGTAAGGAGCGTTGCAATGCTATTGATTGGGATGTGGGTGTGTTTTTTCTCTCTTTTTGCGCGCGTTGTGCGAGGTCGTTTACTCTGTCTCTCTGATTTCTTGGGGGTCCAATGAACTCTGTTTGAATCACTTGCTTCTTTTTCTTCTGAATAACGCGTATTTTTAAATGCACTTTTTGTGGAATACCAAGTCAAGGTATCGGTATCTGCTATCTTATTTAGTGGATTTTCTTTGATATTTCACCGACATTCGATGTACTCTGGTGGAAGTCTCTCATGAAACTGAAAGCCGAATGCTAGAGTTACTGCATTTTTGTAGCTCTCGTTCGTTCGGCTCTTGTTTTTCTGCCGACTTCGGGTCTCCACCATATTTACTGCTGTGCCTACGTGTGGATGTTTAAGCACACTCAAGGGCATAATAATGGAACATTGTAAGTTGGGTTAAAAAAAAAACCTATTTTTAAAGAAGTTTTTGGGAGTTTTTTCAACACAGATTCCCAAAAAAAGTTTCACTGCAGTAATTTACTATTTTCTAAATAGTTTGATTTTGGGCTTTGACTATAACATGTAAATACAAAAAATGGTTAGTTTGGAAATCCAGAAACAAATCTTTTTACTTAAAAGGGTCTTCAAAAGTCCTTTGATATTAATTTTCTTACAGTCACATTTATTAAGCTTATAAATAAAATACAACGAGCTTCTGTGATACCTTTAGGCGTTTCTGCTTTATTTACTTATTATCAGGAAATAAATTTACATTTTGATATATTGTGTTGATAGTATTGTGCCTACCATTGTACTATAATATGTGTATGCCTGTTTTTATACACGTATGTATGGCATTGTGTTTTGTTATGTTTTCGCGTCTCGTGCTTTTGTTGAAGCTTACCCTTCCAACCAAACCCGCCCCTTCGAGTGTTTCCACAGTGGTTACAGCTCTCACATGAGACACAGTGGGACGAATCTGTTTAAGTTCGTACATTTTTAAAATCAACCATTTTCCAAATGATTCACCTCGTGTTAGTTTGATAATTTTTAATAAATGTTAATTACCTGGAGGCATGAACAATACTCTTGGAAGTTTTACTTATTAGCGACCAATTGCTAATACCGAAAAGATGACGAAAAACGGTAGTCATGAGAGTGATCTGATGGATGTTCGCCGGCTGATCATCTGTGGAATTGGATATATCTTTATAAGGTTCGCTAATAACAGTCTAGACCTCCGATTTATCCTGATTTGTTAAAAGAAATTCGGTTGCCAAGTGGGGTTTCATTGGGGACTTGAAGTGCTGAAATTTCGGGTCTGTTTTATAAACTTTCCATGGTGAAAATATAAATTATTTTAAATGGAGACTGAAAAATCGCACAAAACATGTAAAACCACAAGCTGCATTTTTTGCACTTGGCTAGAGGTTAAGTGTTTTCGAATATTTTTGTAAATTTGCGTAAATCTAGTGTTAATAAATGGTCTACGTCATTTTATCCGGTTCTGATCAAGGTTTTTGTTGTATTTTCTTTATAGTACGTACCGCCGCTATTAGCAGGTTTCTGCGGTTTTAGTTCGGTACACGCGAATTTCGGTCATTATGGAAGATCGTGACAAATTTCCAAAGTGGGAGGACGTTCAAATCTATATTTAGTTAAAAATGTTGTTGTATGGTACGTTTTGGTACGCGAATGACTAACAGCGATTCCCGTCATTGATTAAATCAATTTGCGGGTAATGGACCCAGTTTCAGACAATCAGGCGGCCACGACAGGCCCCTTGAGGTCGCTAAAAGTTTTGATAATTATTTTTAATGGGATGTCAATGTAAATTCGACCACTGTGAACAGCTACGTCGCTGCTGCTGCGCAGTTTGTGCAATCATCTCTCCTCTTTCCGATTCGTTCTCTTGTCCTGCTCACGGTGCTGACCTGCTTAATCAAACAAGTGTCACTTACGCACACTGCCAAGTATGTGTACTAAATACTTAATACAAACCTCTATTTATATATGTATGTACATATCTATAAAATATAGATCACAGTCATAAAAAGAGATTCAAAGGAGCTTCTCAATTAGATATTTACATTTTTCGTCTACCAAACATTGGCTCATATACATATGTATGTGAGTTACCATACTCAAAATTTGTTATATATTTGATTCTAAAATAAAATACATTTTCAAAATCAATTTGGAATGTGGTATTATATTAAGTTGACATTTTCTGACCTTTTTTAAGTTTCTATGAAAATTCATAAGATTTTTAATCATTTCATATACATTTTTTTTCTGTGTAAGCACATGCAAATGTATTTTGTTGGCACAACAACTTGTCTATTGCTATCTCCCTCCTCGCACTGCAGTTTCTGATAAGTAAAGCGATAATGATCATCAGTGGGTGCCTTTGTCACGGTAGTTTTACGCAAACAGATGGACGGAGCCGTATCATTTGCCCGGCCTTACCGCGCCAAGTCCACAATCGAAAACACATACTCAAAGGTTAGATTGTCTATTTTCCATTCCTTGAGATTTTAACGCATCTGTTGTGAGTGCTTTGAAGTGCCTTACAGTCGCCATGGGTTTAATGTTTACACCTCACATACAGGGGTATATCGCTTTTCGTAAAGTAAAGAAAAAACTACCTTTATCAATTTGGTATGGTTTCAGTTCTTTGAATTGCCTGATAAGACGCGTCAAATATATATTTATTGGTAATCATATTTATTTTATTTTATTCAGACTGTATGTGAAACCATCCTTATCACATCGAACTTAAATGGACCATATTCAATAACAATATAAGAACCATTCAAATTATACAAACAGTTTTTAATGATTCTTTATTCATTTTTGTTGTTTATACAATTTTGTTCGTAGCGGGATGTTTAAAGATTTATCGCTGATCTGGGTTCCATTTGAAATCGAACATTTAGAACACGAATTTCTTTATTTCTATTAACATTTTCATTATCCGAACAATATTTTATTCATCAAATTTTTGTTAATTTTTATTTATACAGATAATGTATATTCAAAATGGCGTATCTCCCCCAAAAGCTGCTCTTTTAAAATACATATGTAGATATATGATGCAGCCCACAAAAGTCCTTTTGTTAAAAAGGCACTTAAAATGAAATAGCGACTACTTAAAATCAAAAAAGCTTTATTCAAGTGGTTTTTGGCTTTACTGGGCGTAATTTAATTGGCTTCAATTTAAACCATTAAGTTTTATGATCGGTTCATGCCACATATTACATTCACTGAAATTAGTGATATATGTATGTATATTCGTTGATTCAGTTGTTTTGTATTTGTTCTAAGTAGATGTTAAAAAAGTATATTGTATATTGACACCTATGAGTAACGCTATATAAATGGAAAGCAATGAAGGCAATACCCAGATTTTTATGCCATATTGAACCAGCAAATAAATAACTTGATTTACCTTAGAGATTAACATCAAAACAATACAATTAGTCACCCAAATACAAGATGCATCCCAGAGGTCTGAATATTTTTGTTGCTGTCTCCTCTTTCCAGGAAAACCTCGGTGGGAATTCGAAGACAGTCATGTTGGCCACCATATCGCCGGCCAGCCTGCACGCAGATGAGACCCTGGCCACTTTACGGTACGCCTGTAAGGCGCGTTCCATCGTCAACCGGGTGAAGGTGAACGAATCGCCACATGACAAGATCATCCGGGATCTGCGCGCCGAAGTGGATCGCCTGAAGTCGCTGAGGAATGAGTACGAACGCCAGCGGCGTTTATCCGGCAATAATAACAACCCAGTGCCACGAAAGATCATTATCGAAACATCGGTGGATGACACTGAGGTGGAGGCACTGCGTCAACAGCTGGCTGAGCGGGAAAGGGAACTTAATCGGGCTCAGAAGTCCTGGATGGAGAAACTCAAGGAGGCGGAAGATCAGCGCAAGTCGGAGCTGCGAGTCCTGAAACGTCGAGGTTTGGCTCTGGAACTTACCGCCGAGCAGAAGCAGGCCTGTCTGGTGAATCTAACCGCAGACCCTATACTGAGCGGCACGTTGTTCTACCTTCTGCCGCAAGGACTCGTCCGCATAGGTCGAGGTCGTCTGCCAGGAGGAGGTGCCAACTCACAGCCGGATATAGTACTGGATGGTCCACTTGTGGCTCTGCAGCACTGCAGCATCGAGCACGAACGTGGTGGCAAGTTATATGTCATTCCCGGCAGCGAGGACTTTGAAACCTACGTAAACGGAGAACTCCTGCAGGATCGCCGTCAGCTGTTCCATGGTGATCGTCTGGTTATCGGTGGCTCACATTATTTCCGCATATCCAATCCCTTTTGCTCGCAAAGAAGCAAGGCGGAGCACCCGGTGGACTTCCAGTTGGCACACCAGGAGATCCTGCAAAAGCAGGAGCAGCAGTTGCGATTGGAATTGGAGGCGGAAAAGCGAGCTGCTCTGACTCGCATCGAACAGGAGCGGGCTCAGCATGCCCGGGACTTTGAGGAGCGGCTGCAGTGCCTCGAACTGGAGCAGTTCAAGTACAAGTGCAACAGCGAGATGTTAGAAACAGAGCGCCAAGCTTTGGCATTGGCCCAGCAGCAAGAGCATACGCCTCTTAGGCAGGAGGACGCAGAATCGACGCCAGCCCAAAAATCCACCATCCTAGAGGACATCCAACGCATCATGCTGAATCCCTCGGAGGAAAGTCTTCACAAAACACAGCTCATGGTAAAGGAGGCCACCCAACGCTGTCGCCAGTTAGACCTGTCTTTGGAGTTCCGACAAACGCAGACACCTGATGAATTTGGCCTCCTGCGCACGGTAATCCTGATCCTGGACAAGCAGCGTGGCCTCAAAGCCGAGTGGCCCACTGCCAGATTGGGTGTGTGGTTGGATTTGGTCAGAGATAATGCAGAGCAGCCGGAGAAACTTAATGCCAAGACCATTTTTCAGAGTGTCGAGGTTGACTGGGAGCCACTGGATGTGGAACTCAACGATACCTTAAGCGACACCCATAACTCTAGTCGCATCGCCTTAAACTTGAGCGCCATGAAGGATGTGCTGTTGAATAAACCGCTGAAGAGGCTACTAAATGTGTCCAGCAGCAGCAATACACCTTCGCCGGGCAGCCAGCTGGTGCAGTACACCAAACGCCTGCTGACGTACGATCCCGAGGAGACGCCGGGCAACCAGAATAGTTTCACCGCACTCGTCCACCATGAGCTGCAGATGATGCAGCGATCCGCCCAACGCCTGCAGAGGCACTGCGAGAGAGCACTTCATGAACGGGAGAATCAACAGGACAGCGGTGCCCTAGCCGTCAGCATGCAGGAGGCACTGTCTCAACTGGACATCGTGTTAAACGGAATGCACACTTCATTGGCTCGAGCGGAGGCCACTGCAAATGTCACCTCGCCAACGAAAACACAGAAGGCAGTGCGCTTTCTTATCGATTGACGGATGATTAGTTCGCACCTTGAACTAGATTTTATGCTGCAATGTGCTTTGTGTTTGTTTTTATGTTTTTAAATATATATATATTTTGTATATTGGTTTTTAAAAATAAAATATTGATAGCACCAACAGGGATAACTGGTTTGCGCAATGATTTACAAGGCTATAAACATTTTACATTACTTTTTAAAGGCAAAGCATCTTATCCGGCATTAGCTTTTAAATAAATCACTGTTAACTTAAATTACATTTTGAAAAATATTTGTACATGGTTGTTTTTTATAGACATTTGAGGTAAATTTATCTTCAATATAACCGGTTTATATACCAATTGCCTCTACAAAAGTTTATCACGATTTTTCAATTTGTATCAAAAGATATATCTTTGAGATATAGTTTGCTCTTCATATTAAATATTTGATTTTAGTATCCACATACTCGTGCGTAAAAAACTGAGTTCTTTCAAAATAAATGGGTTTAAAAAAACAAAAAATTGGCTGCGATCTGATATATCTAACTCCATATCCTGATTCAGGTTCTTCGCTCTTGCTACTTGACTTCAAGGTCAAGAAACCAATCCATGGACCCTCCCTCGGCCCATTTTCAAGTAGATTTCTGGTCCGGATCAGCCATTCGCTCCTGCAACTTTGTGTTGAGTTCCAGTACCCAGTGGCAGAACTGTCCCTCCTTGAGGTTTACGAAATCGGCAAGGAAAACATTGACTTTGGGCTCCTCAGTCGGCTCGAAGGGACCCGGGATCTGCTCCTGAATCCAGGGCTGCAGCTTCTTGTCCACCCGCTTGGCTGTACTCTTTAGGGTGAAGAAGACCCGAAGGGCAATATAGCGACCTGTTGGCGTGATGAGGCACTGAGAGACATATCCCTGCTGTGGTTGTCGCGACAGCAACGAGTCCTCTAGGAAGGATTGCAGCTTCTTGACACTCGCTTTATTCGGCCACGGTGTGGGCCAAGAATAACTGGGCCAGAATCTCAGGGGCAGCGGAATGGGGCACCTCCTATAGATGATTACCAAGTTACGTTGCATCTCCAAACATCTATTCAAGGTGCAATCATTGAGAGAACCATCTGCAGTGGAGTACAGACGATGGCCGAAGAACTGTATCAGATCCTTGTGCAATTGCTGGTGATGAGTCACTGTCAAGGCGTAAAAGTGCTGCATATCCAGAATGACCACCTCCTCGGGATGGGAGTCCACAAAATGGCGAATTTCCAAGAGGGGCTCAAAAATCTCCATAGCAAACAGGCCGTGGCAGTAGTAGAACTTGTCATCCTTCTGAGCTATCCTCAGATCAAAGTACCGCACTCCCAGTTGCAGTTGCTCTAATGTCCCGGAGGATTGGGTCTTGCTCCAGCGTCGCACGAAGCAGGGAAAGAAGCGATGCCATCGTTTCACGGATGTTTCCGCATCTGGCGATAGTTTGGACTTACTATTTATGCCATAAGTCATCGAGTTGTGGGAACCTATACTAGATTGGCGACGCTTTAATTAATTCCAATTGTGGGGTGATCTCATCCATACCTGGAATGGCCAAATTAATGATCGAAAGACCACGCAATTCCGCGGGTAGATCCCGCATCCAATGCTCCCTGGACATGGTGTGGTATATTCCTTGTTAATGTCGTAGGCACTTATAATAAAATCACCGCGACAAACCGTTAAAGTTGTGTTGATACTACGGCTCACCATAAATAATCCAGGGGCTCTCAAAGGGGGTTTTAGTATTTTTGGTAGGGCTGCGTACATTGCTAGTATTTATTGGCCCCCAAGTAAACAAAAACAGCTGATTGAGCCCCGCCAAAAATGAATGCTTTAAAATAAAAATAAAGTACTGCCGAACCTTTATAGCTTAGTTCACTTCTTCACAGTAAAATAAGAAGAATGTTTAAATTGTAGTCGGAACTAAATATGTTAAAATAAATTTATATTTATATAATACAAATATAATAATTTGTATAATATCAAAACAATATGTTAAATCTTTTTTATTCAACCAAACTTTAACACTCAGGTTTTACTGTATTGTTTTGATATCAGCTGTTCAGACTGCCGTTAGTGAATCAGCTTCCCTATTTCGTGATTTACCCACATTATTATTTTTACCTGACGATGCCGCGGGATTGCGAATTCCTGGTGGTCGGTGGCGGCATCGCTGGCGTCAGCTGCGCCGAGTCCTTGGCCATCTGCCGACCCACTGCCTCCGTCCTCCTGCTCACGGAATCAAGCATTGTTAAGAGTGTCACGAATCTAGTGCCGGTGGCTCGTTATCTCCACAAATTCGATGTGCGGGAACAGGATGTCTCCGAAATGGGGGCCACTATCGAAACGCTGGTGGACCAACTGGATCACATCAACAGCATTGAGCACTGGATCCGCACTAGAAAGGGTGTGGTGGTCAAGTATCGCTATATCTGCTTGTGTACTGGCGGAGCACCCAAACTATTCAGTTCTGGTGAAGCAGTAGAACCCCGCATTATTGGCATTCGGGACACAGACTCTGTGCTTGAACTGCAGCGGAGATTGGCGGCAGCCAAGGATGTTATGATCCTTGGAAATGGAGGCATTGCCAGTGAGTTAGCCTACGAGCTAAAGGATGTCAATGTCCATTGGGTGGTGAAAGATGCACACATATCGGCAACCTTTGTAGATCCGGGAGCAGCGGAGTTCTTTCAGCTGGCCAGAAATGAAGTGGATACAAAGGATTCCTCTCCGGTAACGGCTATTAAACGAATGCGTTATGGTGAACTACTGTCCAAGGAGCAGGATATCAAACATGGAGCCGCTTTGGGTCCGGACTGGCACCGCACCTTCGATTTGAGTGGGGCAGCTGGAAAGCAAGATAAACGCCTGCCAAAGATCTACTACAAATCTCACATAGAGTCCTATAAGGAACTTGCCGAGGAAGCAGGCCTTAAAATCCAGTTAAGCCACGAGGACGGGAGCTCCGAGCAGCTTACCTGTGATTTCATCGTTTCCGCCACGGGTGTCCTGCCGCGGCACGAGTACACCTGCGATTGCCCATTGAAGTTTTCCGAGGATGGTGGCATTTCCGTGGATGAAATGATGCGTACCAATCTTAAGGATGTTTATGCTGCCGGTGATGTATGCACGGCCAGCTGGTCACCGGCGATGCACTGGTTCCAGATGCGCCTGTGGACTCAGGCCCGGCAAATGGGCTCCATGGCGGGCAGGAGTATGGCAGCCGCTAGTGAGGATGAAACCGTGTACCAGGACTTTTGCTTCGAGCTCTTTGGCCACGTTACCAAGCTATTTGGCTATCCTGTCGTCTTGCTGGGGCGCTTCAATGGCCAGGACCTGGACAGGAACTACGAAATCTTGGTGCGCTGCACTCGCAATAAGGAGTACATTAAATTTGTGCTGCAGAATGGCAGACTGCGAGGTGCTATCCTCATCGGTGACACCGATCTTGCCGAAACCTGCGAGAACCTCATCCTAAACGGCATTGATTTGGAGCCCTACGGCGATGATATACTCAATCCCGACATAGACATCGAAGACTATTTTGATTAGTTTATTAAGGGCTAGCTTAAAGTATTAAAACATTTAGAACAGTTCGTTTGCTGAAGCTTACTACTAGGATTGGCTTGTTCCTGGATTTGGCGGTGCTTTTTTGAGCCGCTGTCATTTCAGCTTGCCCTCGGTGCCTGGAAAATAAAGGTGTAATATCTAGATCTTAGGGGATCTGTGCCAATACTCACCCACATACTTGATCTCATCGAAGGCCTTGCGCGCCTTTTTGAGCTCCTCGTTCATTGTCAGCAAGTCCTTGACCCTGGCGTATTTGCGTTGATCCTTGCGAACCAGGAAGATAATGTCCTCCACTTGAACACGACCTGTTCGCCCGATTTCCATAGCCCGGTGTGTGGTCTCCGCTATATATTCTATGACCAGATCCTCCAGCAGATCTACGGTTTCGGTGTACGGATTTTTATCGTCTCCAAAACCAAACATCATGCAACGCAGCTCCTTGCTGAAAAGTCGCTTTCGTCCCGAATTCGTGGACACAAACTGGTCATCATCCGCATCGTCATCAAAGTTAAACTAAAGGAAAAAAACAAATGATCGGGAACTTGGACATATATTTTTTCTACTTTCTTACATCACCGCCTTCAAAACTCTCCTCCGGCATATTATTTGAGGCCATTTTCCTTTAATTTTTACTAAATGTTGTTTACACGAAAAACACCGCTTTGAATGATTACCATAAACATATGTTGGTATCGATACTTGCAGTAGTGCTGCCAGCAGTCCATTCAGAAAAGTAGCTAATAGCTAAATCTAGCTAACAGGAGCTAACAATAAAATCTAAAACTATGTTATATTGTTAAAAGGTTAAAGTGTTTTTTTAATTATAATATATAAGCAAAAACGTCTTGACTTACAGGGAAACCATATTTCTTTCTGGATTTGCGTGTTCAGATTAAAAAAAACAGAGTAATAATTTAAAGCAGGATTCTGTTGAAAAAATAGCTAAACATTTTTATCGAATGGTTGCACTATGCGATAATTCCTCCCGATATATCGTTATCGAAGCCGTCAGTCTGCACACGCATTTCAAATATCTTTAAACGCCTTTAAACTTGTCCCCCAAATCTGCGAAAATGGAAGTGTTTACCTTTGAGAAATCCTTTCTGGAGCGCCTGAAGGAAGCGGAGGCGGTACTTAAGTGGGAGGGAGCCGTGATGCCCGCCTCCCAAGTGCGATCCGAGTGGAAATCCTACGTAGAACTGCAGATTGAGCCTGCAGGTAAGCCACCCACACTGATGCAAAAGACAAAGACGAACCAATTTCTTACACTTTATATTATATTTATATATACCAAAGGATGGCAGGCGATTTGGAAAATACCGCGAGTTATTTGCGAGGATCTGAAACTGCGTTATCCCACCATAGTTTACGGTTACGTGGAACAGGCGATCTTCGAGGAGTTAAAAGCGGTCTTTGTGGTCACCGCCGTGCAGGACAGCGATGTCCACCTGCCGGAGAGCAACGAGGTGTCCCTGGTGGAGCTGTGGCCTACGGTGGAGCAGGAGAACTCCGCCCTCAATGTAGACACCACAGCGGACTGTATCGATCGGCTGAGGTTCTTCTATACACATGTGTGGATGCCTTGGGACAAGGACTACGATGATGATCGCGACTGGGTGCAGCAGCATCTGCAGGCTCGTATTCAGCTGGTCTGCGATCTCAGCAAGAATCGGCTACCCCGACCACTAGCCGTGCACATGCGCACCCTTCTGACCGAAGCAAGTTACATCCAGCAGCGCTTGGACTACCTGGAACTGGATCTCAGCGATGCCGAGAGTGATGACGAGGCCGTCGAACTAAATGACAATGCGACGGAGCCGGCCAGGAAACAGGCCAAATCAGGTAATGCCAATGGCAGTCTCAATGCGTCCAGTCTACCAGTGACGGATCTGATGTGCCTGCACCTGCGCATGGCCATCATCAGGAGCGAGTTCGAGATCCTTGAAAACCCTGAGATGAGGAGGGCATACAGTGAGCTGCAGTCGAACAGCTTGAAGCGACTTCGCAGCTCGTCAGGGACAACCAAACAATCGGAGGATCTCCTGGTGGAGCGGGCTCCCATTAGCCATGTGGTTACCGTGCCGGGGAAACTGCAGCAGCAGCTGGATCTGCTGAAGCTGGCCCAGTCGCTGGTCCCTCCTGAAACGCAGGTGCAGTTGGCCAATACGCTGCAGGATGTGCTCAGCATCTGCCAGAGCAACGATCATATACTCCTCTCGCCGGGCGAGCACACGATCAAGTTCTTGGAGCACCTTAACGACAATGGCAGTCTAAGTGGCCTGGTCCAGCCGGAAGCTATACTCACTCCGGTTCCAGACCTCTTTAAGCTACCTGTGGTGTCCTCCAGTGATGAGGACAGCACCCTGCTGGTAATTGATGGCGACTATACCCTGTCGCAACTGGTCTTAAACTGCCGTCATGTCCGTCGAGGAATTCTGCTGCGCAATGGCACCTTGACAATGCAAGGATGTCGTCTGATGGGCGATGGCAACTCTAGTACCCAGGAGGGTATCGTCTGCATGCCAGGCGCCAGCGTGGAACTCAAAAGCTGCCTTATTGAGGACTTTGCCGTGGGTATTTCGTTGCGTCCCAGATCCAGTGCCGAGCTGGGCAGTGTTCAGTTAAAAAACTGTAAGACAGGACTGGAACTGCTGGAGAAAACGGCATCCTTGAATCTACAGGGAAGCAAGTGCAGCTTCGACGGATGTAAGTTGGGAATCTTGGCAGATGGCTTGGCCCTGGGCGAAAGGAGGACGGAAAAGAACCTAGTTCTTAAACAATTCAGCGAACTGCAGCGGTAACCATAATATTATATGTTGAGCTTCAATCTTTAAAACTTCTTTACTTTTCTTACCCAGATATAATAATGAAAATTTGCTTGGTAATTGCACCTTTAACCATTGCGCGAGAAATGTGCGAGTTTTTAGCGAATCCGATCAACTCCTGGCTCAACGCTCGCATCAGCGACTTCTGGAGGAGGAACTCGTTGGCGAAAACAAGGAGAACATTCAAATGGTCTAGGGGTGTCATATGCATATTAACAATTAACTTAGTTTTCCCTTTAATAAGCACCAACTTGATAAATAAATATAAAATAGGCGGTAACCGAAATAATAGATCAAGTGGCTTAATAAATTTCTGTAGTTTCTTTTATTTTTTGCAAATTTAGAAAAGGTTTTTTTTTTTAAATTTGTATTTTTTTTGTTCTGGCTTAAACTTGTAAAAAGTCTCTGCTTCACTATAATGAAACTTGTCTAACTCAAATGGATTTAGGCCGTATCATCATTTCAACAAACGTAAGGGAGATTGTGTAGTCGTATTCTTTCCAAGTACCCCAAGTAATTCCGTAACTTTCTTGGTATGGTTTTTTACCGTCCTTATAATATTTTCCATTGAGTGAGCTGCAAATTTAAATGTTTTGATTTAACAATTCAAATAAGTATTTTTAAATTTATATATGTATACCTTTGAAAACATGTTTTAAACCACCAACCTCCATTGTGACTCCTTGCGCAGTGAGAATCATTATCCCGATCCTGTGTGCTGAACATTGAATTTTCATGGTATTTTAGGGAGTCACCTGCTGTACCAGAATATTTCCCTATCGTTGTCAGCTCATATCCCTCCATCTCACTCCCAACTTTGAAATTATCGTACTTTGCGTAGCGGCTCGTTCCATTTATATCCCTTAGGTTGATGTAAAGTTCGTATGGTTGTGCCTCCGTCATGAGATGCAACTTTTCGAGCCCGATAAAGAACTCTCGTTTAACGTCCCCAAATCCTTTTTTATAATCATCCCAGTTTCGGTTGAAGTTCTCTGATCCGTCCATACGCCTCTGAATTGTCATCCAACCAGTTGAATTGCAGGGAACTTCAAAGGCATTTATTCCGCGTATTACCATGTTGTAAATGCCAGTTGGACCTTCACTTGGACAATCCATTCGGCTGCACCTCGAAACCAGGTCAGTTTTCTCAGTTAGCTTTTCCGAGATGGACTTTATTTGGTTCGTTAACTCATCGATTTGTTTAGCTTTGTTCATATTGTCGGCACTTTGGTCATTGATTTGAGTAATTTTATTATTTATATTTTTATCTTTGTCCTTTATTTGTTGTTCCTTTAGTTGTATGAGTTCTTCTTTGTTTTTAATCTCTTCACTTTTGTCTTTAATTTGATCTTCTTTTATATGAATTAGATTATCTTTATTTTCGATTTGTATTTTAGCGATTGCAAGCTGGCTCTGCAAGTTTGAAATAGTTTCTTCTTTGTTCTTGAGCAGATCAGATTGGTTATTAATCTTATCATCTTTGACTTTATGTTGTTGGTTCATCTCCCTTATTTGTTCATCCTTGTCCTTAAGTTGTTTACTTATCTGCTTAATTTGTTCATCTTTAAAATTAATAAGTAATTTACTGTTCTTGTCTAGACCTTCGGCATTTGATAGCTGGATCTGCAAGTCCTTGTTAGAGAGTTCCAACGTATTTATTTTTTCCTTTAGTTCATTGCTGGTGTTGGCTGCTTGTTTTAACTCAACGAAATGGTCGAGAACGGGTTTGAAAATTAAAAAACAATATGAATTGCACTGATCTTCGCTGTCTTGATTTTTAATTTCTTGTTGATCCTTAACAGGATCTGCAACTGAAAAAGTTGGCTCTACCAAAAGCAAATATGACAAAAACAGCACTAAAGCACTCGACTTCATTCTGTTGAACAAGTAAATGTTTCACAATCTACCCAAGACTAAACTGAGTTCAAAAGTTTTTTTGCTTTTTATACATATGTATATATACTTTAATATTTTAGTGATAACAAATAGATTGAAAAATTATAAAGCGTTTCAATGTGTGAGATGTTACATAAATAAAATATTCTATATAAAGTGAGCTCCAGTCGAGCAGATATAAGCGGCTTCGCTGTTAATAAGGGAGAACCAAACAATCAGAGGATTCCATGGTGGAGCGGGCTTCCATTGTCCATCTGGTTATCGTACCGGGGAAACTGCAGCAGCAGCTGGATCTGCTGAAGCTGACCCAGTCGCTGGTCCATCCTGAAACGCAGGTGCAGTTGGCCTATACGCTTCCGGATGTGTGGATCATCACTTGCTGAATCTGAAGATAAGCTAATGCAGCTTCGACGGCTGTTAGCTGGAAATCTTCGGCTTGGGCCGGGGCGAAAAGAGGACGGAAACGAACCTGGTTCTTAAACAATTCACCGAACTGCAGCGGTAACCAAAATATTATACACTGTTTTACTTTTTCAACCAGATACAACGATGAAAATATGCTTGGCGAATCCGATTAACTTCTGGCTCAACGCTCGCATCAGCGACTTCTGGAGGAGGAACTTGTTGGCGAAAACAAGGAGAACATTCAAATGGTCTAGGGGTGTCATATGCATATTAAAATTAACTCAGTTTTCCCTTTAATAAGCAACAACTTGATAAAAAAAAATAAAAAATAGGCGGTAACCGAAATAATAGATCGAGTGGCTTGATGAATTTCAGGATTTATTTATAATCTCTTTGTAATTTTGATCTGGCTTAAATTTGTTAAAAGTCTCTGCTTCAGTATGGTGCAACTTTTCTAGCTCAATTGGATTTGGGTCTAATCATCATTTCAACAAAAATAAGCGAAATTGTGTAGTCAAATTTTTTCCAATCGCCCCACACAATTCCGTATTTTCCTTGGCCTTCCTTCTTACCATTTTTATAATAATTTCCATTGAGCGAACTGCAAATTTTAAAGTTTTGAATTAACAAATTCAAAAAGTGATTGTTAAATATAATATATACATATACATATATACATACCTGTAAGCACATTTGTTAAACCACCAACCTCCATTGTGACTCTTTGCGCAGTTTCCACCGTGAAAGTCATTATCCCGATCATGTGTACTGAACTTTGATTTCTCGTGGTATTTTAGGGAGTCACCTGCTGTACCAGAATATTTCCCTATCGTTGTCAGCTCATATCCCTCCATCTCACTCCCAACTTTGAAATTATCGTACTTTGCGTAGCGGCTGGTTCCATTTATATCCCTAAGAGTGATGTAAAGTTCGTATGGTTGTGCCTCCGTCATGAGATGCAACTTTTCGAGTCCGATAAAGAACTCTCGTTTAACGTCCCCAAATCCGTTTTTATAATCAACCCAGTTTCGATTGAAATCCTGTGATCCGTCCATACGCCTCTGAATTGTCATCCAACCAGTTGAATTGCAGGGAACTTTAAAGGCATTTATTCCGCGCATTTTCATGTTGTAAATGCCAGTTGGACCTTCACTGGGACATTGGTCAAATTCACTACATGTCGAAAGCAGGTAAGTTTTCTCAGTTACTTGGTTCGTTAACTCATAGATTTGTTTAGCTTTTTTCATATTTTCCGCACTTTGGTCATTGATTTGAGTAATTTTAATGTTTATATTTTCATCTTTTTCCTTTATTTGTTGTTCCTTTTGTTGTATGAAATATTCTTGTTTTTTTATATGATCAGTTTTGTCTTTAATTTGATCTTCTTTTATATGAATTAGATTATCTTTATTTTCGATTTGTATTTTACCGATTGCAAGCTGGCTCTGCAAGTTTAAAATAGTTTCTTCTTTGTTCTTGAGCAGATCAGATTGGTTTTTAATCTTATCATCTTTGACTTCATGTTGTTGATTCATCTCCCTTATTTGTTCATCCTTGTCCTTAAGTTGTTTACTTATCTCCTTAATTTGTTCATCCTTGTCCTTGAGTTGTTTACTTATCTCCTTAATTTGTTCATCTTTAAAATTAATTAGTAATTTACTGTTCTTGTCTAGACCTTCGGCATTTGATAACTGGATCTGAAAGTCCTTGTTAGAGAGTTCCAATGTAGTTATTTTTTCTCTTAGTTCATCGCTGCTATTGGCTGCTTGTTTTAACTCAGTTAAATGATCGAGAAAGGGCTTGAAAACAATGAAACAATACGAATTGCACTGATTGTCGCTTTCTTGAGTTTTAGTTTGTTGTTGATAATTCTCAACAGAGTCTGCAATTGAAAAATTTGACTCCTCTAAAAGCAAATATGACAAAAACAGCACTAAAGCAACCGACTTCATTCTGCACAAGTGAAATGATTCACAATTGATTCAAGACTGAACTAAAAATTATAAACAGATGCAATGTATAAATTGAATAATTAAATTTAATGATTGCGCAAATTTCTTATCGCGTTATTAAAATTTTGGGACAAATCGGTGACTTTATGTTTATAATGAAAAATATGTTTATAATGAACCACAATCTCCAAGGTAGGTCATGGGTCAGAACTTCTTTTTTGGCTTTTGCTGTGGGCCCAGCAACCAAAAACAATTTTTTTTTAAGAAAGACATTATTTTTTATATTTTGAATTTATTTGAAAAGGAATTAATGCTAAGCGGGGAAATCATCAAGATATCCCTTACCAATCCGACTCGGCAAATCTTCGAATTTCTCAAAACTGATCAAATTACTCATTATAAACATAAAAAAACTCTAGCTTAGGTTTTGGGTGGTGCTGTTATTCTGTAATACATCAATCAATAGGCACTTTTACTTAATTTACTATAATTTCTTTTCACTCATTTAATAAACAACAAGACCATTTACATACATATGTACTCAATTAGTGTTTACGCTTTCTGCTTCTGTTCCTGGCCGTAGTACTCGCTGTAATCGTACTCCCTGAAAGGCACATCGTAGGTCAGGTATCCGGAATCGCGAGCCTGCTGCACGGCCACCATTAGACGCAAATGGGTCTTCTGGCACAGGCCCGTCTTTGAGTAGCTGAGCACGTCTCCGCTATGGGGCGAGATGAACTGCTCAAGGAGTTCCGTGTTGCGGTAATCCAACACCAGGTATTCATCCCGGCAAATGGGGCATGGATTCCCGGTGGATATACGGTTCTGGCGGATGCACGTCTTGCGGGTTTTGCGTGGCGCATACATGCCCTTGTGGTTGCGCCTGAAAGGGAGTGTGGGAATGGTCAGAAAATATGGCGAATTTGGATGACTTCCCTCCTGATATAAGTGGCTTTTATTGGACCTACCGATATTGTGTCCAAACAAAGTCCTCGCCATAGGTTTGTTTGTAGGCGGCGCTCTTTAGGTACCGCATCGATGTCTCTACGGGGATAACCTTGCTGCGATCCTTAGGATCTGGTGCGGAGCTGCTGGAGTTATCCTCGCCATCGGCTTCAGGGGATTCCGCATCCGCAGTGGAAGTCTCCGCCTTGCAGCGGAATGCACTGGCCGTGTGAAGAGCTCCTCGACTATTCCGAGTTATGTTGACTAGGCCACCATAAATTCCGCGTGCAATGGGCAACATTTTAATTGAAAAATCGCAATTTGTTTTCCAAAAAACGCAGGAGACGACGTAACAAATTGCGTGCAGCCGGTGGATCAGCTGATTTCCAACAGCCTGGCAACGCTGCCCAAATACCGATGTTTGTTATCGATATATTCAGGGATGGAAGATAACTTCTAGTGGTATTCGAATTCATTACTTAGGTAATCAGGATACGGTTAATGCTTTCTAGATCCTATCCAAACAAGCGGGTAGGTTTGAGTAAATCATTTTTTTTATCGCGACAAATATTAATAAATAATAATAATTTTATATTTTACTTAGGCACCTTTTTATTTATGTTCGGAACCAGATCCAAAACAACCAATCAGCATTTGCACTCGTTTAACTGTCAATACTAAACATTTTTACCCTCGAAAGGACTTTGGAACTACAAACTTTGGCGCTTGGAACCGCTGAAATAAACCGTGAGTGTTGCAACATGGTCAAAACTAACGTAACGGTAAAGAGAGACACCCACAAACAGGCACTCACACTCGCTCCGACACACATGCAAAATCGGGGCATGAATGAAAATGGCTGCGACGTACGATTCGTTTCCGCCGTTAGTTTAGTTTCTTTCGGAATTTACTGGTGCAAAGTAGCGGTACTCTTACTGCGCTCGTGTGTGTGTGTGGGAGAGTGCGCGGTGTGCGTACGCGTGTGTGTGTGCGGTGGGGCAGCCTTTAATCACGTGCATACTAAAAAAAGGCATTTATTTACGTTTGAATACCGTTATAAAAAAAAAATAGAGGACGCCGACGCCTAGGTTCGCTGTTATTCAAAGTTAGTAATAGCTCACCAAAATCTCTTGCGTGCATAAGTTTTTTGGTTCTAATCAATACTTGGCAGACGGTCATTTAGTTTTAATTGTTGCAAGAAATACATGAACTTCGGAGTAACAACAATAACACCTGCGACAAAGGTGAGTCAATTTTCGCTTGCCTTTATAAATAGAGCCGCACTGAGAATTTCTTATCAATTGCAAAAAGTCGCCGCAACAATAAACAGTGCTATAAATACCGCTTTGCCAACTGCAAATATTTAAAATAAAACGAGAGCGCATTTGGCAACCGATCAAAAGCTGATAGTTTTGTCACCAAAGAAAAAACATGAAAAGGGTGTACATGAACCCTTTTTCTGAAATCTTTCTGCTCGAAAATGCCCGGCCCACGAAAAAAACTTTTCCATTTTTGGAGTGTCTTCGCGCATTTCGTGTAATAAATTGCTATTTTCCTACGGCGCCACCACCAAAATCGTGGTAACTTTGTGCCAAATTAATACCTGTTGGCTGTGCGCCCCCCTTTTTTATGCCTTTCGCGAGCAAACAAATAATTAGTTAGGTATGCAACTCGAAGGTTGAAATTCTCTCTAGTTGTGTTAAATTTAATATAAATATAAATATTTTTCCTAATTTAGATATATAAAATAATACTGAATTATTAATAAGTAACAATAAATGTATAATATATCATTCATTTGACAATGCTTCGAGTTATAGAATAATGCTTATACTTCTAATGCTTTAACCAACTTTATTCCATTTTCTTATTTTAAACTTATTTATGTCAGACTTCTTAATGTCGTGATAAGCTTTCCCATTTGGCAATCCTTTAAAATTAGTAAACATAATTACACATAAAATGACACGATGCGCACTTTAAAATTTTGTATTAAATAATTCTATAAAATAGGAGAAACCAAAAGAGAAATAAAGAAGGTGCTTATAGAACAATTATCATATTAGGTATTTTTAGCATGTATTCATCGACATAATATTATTTGGGGTAGTATTATGGGTTTTTAATTGTTGTTACAAAAATAAAGGTAGTAACTGTTTATCCGTACAAATGCTTTTAAAAGTCTTTGATTATTTTCGTGGACTTTAGATTAATAGATTTAAGTGGATGATCTACAGATCATACCCACTGAATGCAGAGTATCCAGGACAGGCGTGGGCGTCATTCAAGTCGGCGCCAAAGAATTTAGTTGTCGACATTCTCACATTCATTTGGGTTTCTCGGTTTACTACTCCCCACTACCCAATGCCCACCACCCAGTATCCGGAATTGCCCCATTTGCGCCCACAACTCCAACAGTTCGCATTTATTTTTGAAATTTGAATCAGGACTCTACTGGTGTTCATTCCGTCCGTCTTTTGTTTATCCTGCCCGGTGCACGTCACACGGAAATGTTTGCGTTTGCCAGGGGACGTCAGATTATGGGTCCTTTCTGGCGTGTCCTTCGAGACTCCTGGGTTCGGTAACTTTAGTGGCTTTATGTGTGCCCACGCGTGTTTTCGTCCGGGCCCTTTGGTGGTGCTTTATCAATAGGTTGTTGCCAGTTTTGATTAATGTGCTTTCACCATTAGTTCCCCTAATGACAGATCGCCCATAGAACTTCGGAACAGTTAATTTGTGTAATATTTCCAAAGTCGAATGGACTAATTAGTGTAATTGCGAACGCATTTGCCCATTTGTATTCCCTATTGGTTTTTGGTATCCTTAATTGATAAAAAAATCTACTGCAATTAATGAAATGTTGATTTTCATTGAATTTGAGAAGTCCAAATTACTTAAATTATTGTTTATTCTGGAAATATATAATGGGGGTTAGGTTTATGGATGTTATGCATTTATTACCAACAATATAGACTGTCTTTGATAGTCCTTATCAAAATGTTGATACCTTTAGATTGGTATACCTTTCGGTATAAAAGGCAAGGGTGCCAATATCATTGCGGTTTACCATGAATAACATTATTCTGCATTTGTTTTAAGCTCAAACGAGACTTTGTTATACAGTTTTCGCGCCCACATTTCGTGATAAAGCTCATTTATCACCAAGGAGTAACCCATCGAATATAAAGAACCGAATAACAAAGAAACAAATAAGCTGCTAAAAATATAATCCTTTTGCCCCTTGCGTTTTCCAACCTACCCCGAAAAGAGATAGCGTTCACAACAATTTAAATACCAATTTGCCTAATTAAGGCACCTCTAGACCGCGCCTCCGCCACTGACAACTCAACTCATTCGGTAGAGTTAGCTTCTGGGTCCCCACAGACCAGTCGTAAGTCCAAAATATTGCGTGACCCGTCGAATGGTCGAGTGGGTTCGGGAAGAAGGGCAGTCGGTGCAGCTGGTGGTAATGACATCAACGCCGCAACATGGTGGGGATCCCTGTCCAGAGGTCATTGGTTGGAGCTACGCGACGGTACGTCCTTTGGTTACGCTTGTTTTTCTCAACTTGTTAAAAAATAATCATTTAAATATATATTTTATAAATGTACCAACCCACCTGGTTGGCCTCGCAATCGTTAATTATGTAGAGGGGACCAATTGATCCAGATGCCCGAGTTCACAGGCAATCGAATCGGTCGCCTGACATTGAATTCAGGCATTGCATTGTCAATCAGTCAGGAACCGTCATCAAGTCCTTCAAGTTGTTTATTTGACCAGTTTTGAGACTCCAGCTTTTCTTCTACTCAACCCTCAGACGATGACAGCCAAGAGCGATAAGGATATTCTGGCCAACTCCATGTACGAGGATGACCCCAATGGAAACTCAGCGCCCGCCACCACGAAGGACCAGGAATCGGATAAGCCCGAGGAGGTACTGAAGGTCACCACTGGCGCCACATCAGCATCTAATACCGCGACGACAACTTCTCCGCGCTGGGGACCGCAAAATAAAGGGGCCCAGGAACTGGCTTCGTTATACAGTCCAGGTGAATAAATTCCCACACTACAATACGCAAAAAAAAAAAATATTATTTGATTTTTTACCTCAGTTGTCAATATCAGAAAATGTATTCTTTAGCTATATGTGTATATAAAATAATTACTAGTCAAGGAAGGCTATTATTAGCATTTTTAGTCAGTCAAACAAAGCCTTATAATTAAATTTAAATGTAAATTTATTGAGCTGTTGCTTAATTCATTCAATAGTCTATACTAGGGTATTGTAATTTTAGTCTATAGTTTGCAACGACCAATAGGAATAAGTAGAAAAACAAGAAAGGAAAGCTAACTTCGGGCGGAGCCGAAGTTGATATACCCTTGCAGAATACTCTGTAAATTATATTCTCCAAAATTATTCATATGATGCATTCTTAATACTCATAAAAAATCCCAACTTCCTAACTTTAAAAACACCAAAGTTATGGCATTTCCAATCGTTCAGTTATATGGCAGCTATAAGATATAGTCGGCCGATCCTTATGAAATTTGGTATGTCGGATTGATTGGCCAAAAATAAAACCCATAGAAAATCCCAACTTCTTAACTTTACAAACACCAAAGTTATGGCACTTCCGATCAATCAGTTATATGGCAGCTATAAGATATAGTCAGCCGATCCTTATGAAATTCGGTATGTCGGATTGATTGGCCAAAAATAAAACCCATAGAAAGTCCCAACTTCTTATCTTTAAAAACACCAAAGTTATGGCTTTTCCGATCGTTCAGTTATATGGCAGCTATATGATATAGTCGCCCGATCCGGCTCGTTCCGACTTGTATACTACCTGCAATAGAAAGACAACTTTTGGGAAAGTTTCGAGCAGATAGCTTTAAAACTGAGGGACTAGTTTGCGTAGAAACGGACGGACAGACGGACGGACAGACGGACATGGCTAGATCGACTCTCCTGGTGATGCTGATCAAGAATATATATACTTTATAGGGTCGGAAATGTCTCCTTCACTGCGTTGCAAACTTTTGACTGAAATTATAATACCCTCTGCAAGGGTATAATAAATTTAAAAAATTTATTTATACTCAGAAATAGAATAATATTTAACAACTCCAGAATTACGTTTTTAATTTTATGAAAATCAGATTACTATATTTTCATATCGCTGCCATAACTAACAACGGTCTACAAATTTATCGGAAAATCGTCTTTAAGCATATAAATCTAAATATATTATTTAATACTTGATATTACCCAAATGGCAAAACTTTTGTATTGCTAGTTTAAAAATTCAAAATTGACTAATATCTGGCTATGTTTTTCTATGAAAATTTAAAACGAACTAAATTTTTTTTATAATAAAATTCATGAATACCTTAGATCATTTTGTAAATTTGGTCTCAGTGACTATGGTTTTAAATTAGATTAATTTAAGTCCCACCTTAACGTTTTACTTCTACACCCAGTTTTGATTATATAGGATACAACTGAAAGAGTCTTTCTTTTTATTTGCTTGGAATCTTAACAAACTATTACTTAACAGGAAAGCGCGCTCAGGAAATCATATGCGTATACACCTGCATTGGCCTGATGATCATCAACTTGGTCTTGATTGTGAGGCATCTCCGCTTGGAAAGGATAAGTGCGGCATTCCTGTCTGCCTTGTGTGGTATTATTACGGCTGATTTTGCCTCCGGTTTGGTGCATTGGGCGGCAGATACATGGGGATCAGTGGAATCTCCCATGATTGGAAAAGTGAGCAGTAAATCGAAAATCGAATCTATTTAAGACTATAATATACATTTTTCAGAATTTTCTGCGCCCGTTTCGAGAGCATCATCTGGATCCCACATCGATAACGCGCCACGATTTCATTGAGACAAACGGCGACAATTTTATGGTTGGTATTCCAATCCTCGGATATTTGGCGCACTTTTTTTACATTAGATCACCGAGCGAGATTCAGCAACATTTCGGCTGGATAGCCTATGTGTTTCTTTGCTCCATATTTGTGGCCATGACCAATCAGGTAAGGATTTAATTTATTTTGATTTAAATATGGTTTCAAGCCAATTCAATTTAGATACATAAATGGTCGCATACCTATTGGGGACTGCCGAGGTGGGTTCTGTTACTCCAGAGCTGTCACATTATCCTGCCACGCAAGCACCATCGCATCCATCATGTGGCACCGCATGAGACGTACTTTTGCATCACCACCGGATGGCTTAATTGGCCACTGGAACGCATTAGGTTTGCCCTAAAATGGAAATTATTTAAATTTGGCTCAACATTCATTATGTCCCAATAGATTCTGGTCAACATTCGAGCTTATTATTGAGCATTTTACTGGCCTAAAGCCCCGCGATGACGACATGAAATGGGCCAAGAAACTTACATAGGTTTGCTGCCCATCGACTGTATATAGGAAACTTGGACCAAGCAGCCTTATCTTGTTGAAAGTCATCTTCAACTGTTACCATATAATCGAAATGTTTTGCACAACGAAGTAGCTTTAAATGAGAGCAGATTACTTGTAAAGTTAACTGAGCAATGGCATAGTTCTTAGTTGCATGTTTGTTTTAAATAGTTGATTATTATAGTTTAAGTTAGTGTTTTTTATATTTATTATACACACCTGCACAAATCGCACATTAGAGCGCATAAAAATATATGCAGTCATTGATCTCGCCACAGATTAATCGTAATACGAGTGAGCCTTACGTATACCTAAATAATAAATGAAACAAATTACTGAATAACGAGCACTGGCTTGTCGGATAACTTTTTAAACATTTTTACACTAAACAAAGTTAATTACTTGATACATAAGCTTAAAGAGCAACTGATTTTTGTACCAGCTCCGAACAAAAAGACATTTTTAATACATTTCATCATCGCTGCTTTTCGATGGCTATAAAATGAACTAATTTATTTACAACTATATATAAATATATACAAAATACAATTTAACTAGGCGCTGTATGCAATCAAGAACGTGACTTACAAATTTTGCCTTAAAATTTTTTATATGTATATGATACTATTGAAAAATTTATGGAAAAACGGATACAGATATTAGTATGCACACTTTTAGTGGCAATTGTTAAATCTTTTGTAAAAGACCAATTTTTATAATTTATTTTTAAAGAAGTTTGTTATGTGCAACACATTTTCCAAGAATTTCACTAGCAGCTTAAGAATTTCTAATACTCTAAGTCGAACCTTGAAGAGGACTAGTTGCTTGTAACATTTGATGTGTTGATGCCCAACACAGTAGTTCTAAGACAGCAATATTAATTGTGATCTGAATAAAAAATTTAATGCTAATTAAACCCAATTCAATTTTGTTATTTTTATTTATACATTTTTTTCCAAATAGTTAAATTTATTAAATTATATTTAAATTGTTCTTTCTTACACTTCAAAAAAATTTTATGTGCAATTTTGGCCAAGAGAATAAAATGCTAATAGTTATGAACTTACCTTTGAACTTTTTAGTTTGTTTGACTACAAGTCCAGAAAAGTATTTTTTAAAATAAGGTTTTCTGATCCGTTTTAATTATCATTTGTGGTTCTCCTGTTGTCTTTCCTTTCTTAAATTTTTAAAGCAAAATAAATTCAGTAATAGTCTGTAACAGTTCAGAGAAAGTACAATATAATTCGCGTTTTAGGAAGAGTTTTCCCTAATCCAACTTAGTTCTCTAAACCCAATTTCTTTACTAATAAAAAATAACAGTTTAATTAAATAATAACTAATTTAGGTATTATTGCCATAGTCGCTCAATGATGCTGCGATATTTTGGGCTCCACTTGAGATACCTTTTCTGTTTTTTTGCAAATTCGACTGATGTATGTTGGGAATCTTGGCAGATGGCATGGCTCTGGGCGAAAAGAGCACGAAAACGATCCTGGTTCTTAAACAATTCAGCGAACTGCAGTGGTAACCATAATATAATATGTTGAGCTCCAGATACAACAACGAAAACTTGCTTGGTAACTGCACCTTTAACAATTTCGCGAGAAATGTGCGAGTTTTTAGCGTATCCGATCAACTCCTAGCTCAACGCTCGCATCAGCGACTTCTGGAGGAGGAAATCGTTGGCGAAAACATATTGACAATTAACTCAGTTTTCCCTTTAATAAGCAAAAACTTGGTAAATAAATACAAAATAGGCGGTAACAGAAATAATGTTTCGATTGAAATCCTGTGATCCGTCCATACGCCTCTGAATTATCATCCAACCAGTAGAACTGCAGGGAAATGCCAGTTGGACCTTGACTTGGACAATCCATTCGGATGCATCTCGTAACCAGGTCAGTTTTATCAGTTAGCTTTTCCGAAACGGACATTACTTGGATCGTTTGCATCGATGTTTGCCTGTTAAAACATAGGAAAGGCGATGTTTTCTGCATCTCTATGGTTCATGCCATGGCTAACGAATTGGTTCATGTAATAGAGTGGGCGGCACTTTTATATCCATTTAAGCTTTCCAAACTGCAAAGCGATTTTCTCAAAAACTGTGGATACAATTTTTATCGAATTTTTCAGAAACATCACCTAAGCATCCCTACACAGGCCTATATACACGGCATATTGCCCGTGTGAAAAACTTTATTTATTATTCAATTTTTAAGTCCTTTTTTGTATAAGCTGATTCAGACGCTTGCCCACTGTTAAGCGATTTTCTCAAAAACTGTGGATACGATTTTTATAAAATTTTGAGTTTAAGAAAAGCGTGCAACTTGGAACACGCTCTGTGGGTTGAAATATTCTTCAAAGTGTGGGGGGAGTCGAACTCTTACATATATAGTTAGAATTTTCTTTTTTTTTAATATTTCTACACTTAAAAGTTTTCGATTCAGTGCCTAAATAGCGAGAAAATCAAAAAATAAAAACAGCCCTCATGTTCCAAATTGCACCGTTCCGCCAACGCCGCTAGTTTCACGCATATACCAAAATTCATTAAGTTGAAAATAATACGGCCACTCTCATCCGTCAACTGCACAGCCGGTCACACTTAAGTTGCGGGCAAGTGGTTTTTTCGTGATAAAAATTAGGGAAACTACTTCGGCATTGATAAGCGATCTGATAATTGCCAGCAGAGCACTCCACGGGCAGGCGGAGCAGCACCAGGCCTAGCTGGATATAGAATATAGACGCGTAATGCCCCGCCGATCGACTGGCAGAGAACTAGTGCCGTGCAGTAACCTTCTGACGTTCGCTTTGCAGTCGTGGTGTTTTGTTATTGGGGCGGAAAAACGACAAACGAGATTATAAATAGGCACAAAATGTGTGTCGGGAGGATGCAAGTGCAGGTGACGCAGAACCAGTGCGCCTGAGTGTTCTCCAGAGACCACCCATCTAGTACTACAAGTACCACCAACCGTAAAACCCGGGTGAATTTAACAATTTAGGTCGACATTTCGCGCAAGGGTAAGCATATTTCGGATGACTATCTTACTCAAAACGAAATTATTGGTAAAATTGTGAGCTAATTAGTTGGCTGTTTCAATTAAGCTGCATTCGCTGATTTAAAAGCTAAATCAAGCGAACCACGGGCCCAAAGCGGAGTCAACAAAGAAGCGGCCAAGAGAAACGTCGAAATACATAGTTTCAACAGCACACGTTCAAAGTGAAGGTCAACGTCACAACGACTCGAGCGGCAAGTCTGGCGGCCGAAACCGAAAGACAAAGTGATCCACCAAAATCATCGGTAGTCTCCAGATAGCCAGCACCATGTCCACCGCCTCCGCCTCACCCGCATCCCTTGCTTCTGGCCACCGGCAGATTCTCTCCATTCTGGTGGCCCTGGTCATCCTGGTGGCCTGTGTCCTAAGCACGGAAACCACCATGCCCACACAGAACATGTCCCACAAGGAGCGGGCTGAACTCAGGTAAATCTAGCTGTATTCAAGTGTATACACAATTTCTGATCAGGTCTCTTGTGTGTTTCTTAGGCCTGTTTTCAATCCGATAATTACAATTAAATTAAAAATAACAAATATATGACATATGCAGGTTGAATTTGCATAACTTGTTTTAATTATAAATGCATATAAATTAAGATATGGCCGTTTCAAAGTCATCTTATTAAAATCAACGAAAATTAAGTAAAATACGAGTGTAATATGAAGAATAAATATAAATGTCCTTAAATAAATAAATATGAAAATATGAAAATTCAAGTTATGATAGTTTAGTTTCTTTAAAATGCAAACGTAACTGTAATATTAAAGTGTACTAGTCTTTATACCATTAAGAATGAGTTAAACTAGGGTATTTTATCTGATTTTAGGGAAGAGGCCCGTGATATGTTCTACCATGCATATCACGCCTACATGGAGAATGCCTATCCGGCTGATGAGCTGATGCCGCTCTCCTGTAAGGGACGCTATCGCGGAGTGACGCCATCGCGTGGCGACATGGACGATATCCTCGGAAAGTGAGTTAAAATCAATTCGTATTTAGGCGGGAGTGTTAACATTATTTTTACAGCTTCTCCATGACTCTGGTGGACACATTGGACACCCTAGTGCTGCTGGGAGATTTCACCGAGTTTGAGCACGCGGTTAAGCTGGTTATCCGCGACGTTCAGTTTGACAGCGACATTATCGTGTCCGTGTTCGAAACGAACATTCGAATGGTTGGCGGCTTGCTGTCGGCCCACATCCTTGCGGAGTATCTGCAAAAGCATGCGGACACGATGCACTGGTATAAGGGCGAGCTACTGGAAATGTCACGCGAACTGGGCTATCGATTACTGCCTGCGTTCAACACGTCTACGGGCATACCGCATGCACGGGTCAATCTCCGTCTGGGCATGAAGGATCCACAGTTAAAGAAATCACGAGAGACTTGTACGGCATGCGCAGGAACCATACTGCTAGAGTTCGCAGCTCTGTCGCGGCTCACCGGTGATCCTATCTTTGAGGTGCGAGCCCACGCTGCCATGGACGCACTGTGGAAGCTACGGCATCGGGGTTCTGACCTAATGGGCACAGTACTTAATGTCCATTCTGGCGACTGGGTGCGTAGGGACTCCGGCGTCGGAGCGGGCATTGATAGCTACTACGAGTACTTGTTCAAGTCTTACGTCTTACTGGGCGACGACAAGTACCTAGCCCGCTTCAACCGTCACTACAACGCCGTGATGAAATACGTCAGCGAAGGCCCCATGCTGCTGGACGTGCTAATGCACAGGCCCCACGCCAAATCAAAGAACTTCATGGACTCGCTGCTGGCATTCTGGCCGGGTCTTCAAGTGCTTTCCGGTGACCTGAAACCGGCAGTGCAGACACACGAAATGCTTTACCAGGTATGATTCATCCTTTGCAGAGCCACAGATCATTTTGATTTACACAAATATTTTACATTATCTTTCAGGTTATGCAGATGCACACCTTCATTCCAGAGGCTTTTACCGTAGACTTCCAAATACATTGGGGTCAGCACCCCCTGCGGCCGGAATTCATCGAGTCCACATACTTCCTGTACCGCGCCACTGGTGATCATCACTATCTGCAGGTGGGCAAGCGGGCTCTGAAAACACTCCAGCAGTACGCCAAGGTATCTTGTGGCTATGCAGCCGTCAATGATGTACGGACTGGCAAGCACGAGGATCGGATGGACTCGTTCGTGCTCTCCGAGACAATCAAGTACCTCTTCTTGTTGTTCTCCGATCCCCAGGATCTAATCATCAACGTCGATGAGTTTGTCTTCACGACCGAAGCTCACCTGCTGCCCCTGTCTATTGCCCAACTAGGGAACTCCACGTTTAGTAAGTATTTAAACAAAACGTTCAAAGAGGGCTTAGTTTTATTCGTATTAACAAAAACATAAACCTTTCGTCGGCTAAATAAGAGGGAAAGAAGGAAAATATTAAAATACTATTGTGTTAAATTGTTTTTTAAAACCTTTGCCGCGTTAAAAACGTTTTTCTTATCATTCAATTTGCCATAAGTCTTAAAGAGCCCTTGGAGAATTTGAACAATTGATAAAAGCTTATTTGCGTCACAAAGTAAAAGAATTTCTAATCAAATCATTTTAATCTGTAAAGTTTTGGATTGATAAGGCATATTCCCTAAAGAGTAAAGATACAAAATATTTTTTTTTATTCTCGGGGAAACATTTTTTTAAAACAATTGAATAAAACAATTGAATAATTGCTAAAAACTTATTTTCGCCATAAAGTTTCGAATTCTTTGGTAAATAATTTAATATATTACATTCCAAGGATTTTTTAGTTGGAAGCAAAATAATATAGAAAAAATATAATATGGCTAGCTTGTTGTAACATTTAATTAATTCCTTCTTTTTGTAGGCTTTCGGCAGTCCGACGAACACAACGTACTCGACTTCATGCGCACCTGCCCAAGTTCAAATAAGCTTTTTCCTGAAAAAGTACGCAAACCGCTGCGCAACTTCATTACGGGCTCCTGCCCGCGCACCACAGCCGGAAAGCGACTCAGCGCCCTGGATTTTCAGGCAAGCAATGCAGATCATCTGCGAGCTGTTTACGACATGGGCATTACCATGGTTTCGGTAGGCGACCGAAGCCAAGGCAAGGTGCGACTTTTCCATAGTTTTTATAATGTAAGTTTTTTTCTGTTCCGCTTTTTGGTTTCGTTTGCATTTCGTTTGACACAATGGGTGGGCATCTTTGCACTACAAATTTCCTGGATCTTTCGCCCTTCACATTCCTTTTCCCTACCATCATCATCATACCAAATTCCACAATATTCCATGTGTTTGCTTTTATTCAGGCCAAAAGCCACGAGGAGGGCGAAATGGGACTGCAGTTCATGCAGGAGATGTTAGAGCTGACCAAGATGCAGAGCATAAATCAGCTGGCGCAATTGCAAGTTCGTAGATCCTAGAGTAAAAATGGTGAAATAATAATTAACATATATTGTTTTAAATTTACAGGCCGTGGCCTACGCCACTGATGAGAAGGCTCAGGACTGGATCGCCCTAATGGCCGGGCCTTCGCACTTTAGCCCGGAGCTAATCGGCGACCAGTTCGTTCAGGGAGATTTGGTGCTGGCCAAACCGCGTCGCGCCTGCGAAGAGCTGCTGGAGAATGCCGAGGAGGCGAAGGGCAAGGTGCTAGTTGCCGAGCGCGGTGACTGCACGTTCGTGAATAAAGCACGGTTGGCCCAAAAGGTGGGGGCAGCGGCGCTGATTGTCTGTGATAATGTACCGGGCTCTTCCGGCGAGACGCAGCCGATGTTCGCCATGTCCGGCGACGGCAAGGACGACGTGCTCATTCCGGTCGTCTTCATGTACAGCGTGGAGTTCGGCAAACTGTCAGCCGTGATGCAGCGACGGAAGCAACCGCTGCGCGTCCGCGTTATGCAGATGGTGGAGTTTAAACGATGGCAATTGGCCAAGGCTCAGCGGCAAAATCAAACCGCGACGGTAACACAGAAGCCGGAAAAAGAGTTGTAGTGGACTGCTGCTGTTGGACCGCCCTCAGCGTTAACTATTGTTTTAGGGCTACTTACCGTCTTGAAATGTTATCGCCAAAATAGAGATATATTTTCTATATTCGTAAATTGTACAGTAAGCGATCGCAACTAAATTTGAAATTCTTGTACTTTACTAGACATGTAAGCACGAATTAAGGCCGCGAGTTTTTGAACTCTTCAGTATAGGGATATTTGCATTTCGTGGTTGGTTCTCAGGTTAGCGATGGCTTCCTAGTGGCAATATGATAACCGAATAGCATCTGATATCCGCATTCGCGTTCATTCTAATTGTATATTTGGTCCACCTCACAATTTTTTAGACGGATTTTACTCTTTCGTGTAAGTAAAACTTGTGTACATAAAACATTAGATCATAGCAGCAATAAAACACTAATTAATAATTAATTTTAAGAAAAATTAGTTAATAATGTAGCGAGTCAGGAGATTGATCGACAAACGTGTAGTTAAAATTGTTTAGTTCTTATACAAAAATAAACAGTCTAAAATATATGAAAAATAATGAAAAGCACGAAACAATATTCTTTTATAAAATTAAACGGCGATGTTATAACGTTTAGTGAAGACTTTACTAAAAACACTGTAAAGCGGGGAAATATCACAAATATAATTAATGTAGAGTAGGAATAAATCGGAGGAATTTAAATTCAAAGTAAACGTTTGAAAATTATTTATAGCCTCGAATTGCCATAAGAATTATGGCTCGGGTTGCTCTAGACAGGCCTCGTCTGTGAGGATTCTGCATTCGAAGGTGTAATAAGTTACACCCTCCTTAAATCTCATTGTTTCTTCTTTCGCTGACTTTGTCTCTGTTACCTTTTTGACGACCTTTTTTTTCTTGAATGAATCCACTTTATCACAATAATGAGTCCTACGCGTCCTCCATATACCGCGAAGAATGGAATATCCTTCGTCCAACAGAATCGGTAGTGTCACTGCTAACAGGATGTTAATCAAGAGGTCCAGTTCATACCCGGGTGTCATTTTTGGAACCACGTCTCTGACCAGGATAAGCGCTGTGGAAAGATCTTCCCGCTGGATGAGCTCTTCTTTAACCACTCTTACAGGAGAAGAACACTGCCTGGTTACTGTGGAGTTGGCGTCCAATGAGGCGAATGGTAGTTCTTTATGGTTATCTGTTGGCTCCTTCTTATATATGTCTTCTGGGATTTCGTAGCCAATGAAGTAAGATGGTGAGTTCAGTGATGGTCCCGAAATTAGCCACAAACTCTCTTCGTGTACCATTGAAAAGAGCCACAATATGAACTCGAATAATCTCTCCAAAAACATGTTTTGTAAATAAACTGTAGACACTTTTCAAGGTATGTTAAGGCAAATGACAAACCTTTTTCGATTGCTTTTCAGAATAAATCTGAAATTAAATTTTAAGACCTGGAAGAAAATCATTTTTGGCCGTTTTCTCTTTCGCACTTCAAATTAAAGAACACCAATTCTCTTATTGCTTTCCTAATATTTAAATACAACTCATAAAACAAGCACTGTATTTTTAAACAGATTTCCTTTTAATGACATTCATTTGTTTTCATTTTGGTGTTTCCTTTGAACTAAAAATATGACACATCCACTGCTGCAGTTGATATAGTAATAAATCAAATATTTGAATTCATAACTAGGTCTAGAACTAAGTTACCTTAAGCTAGGGTTTTGTTTTTCTTTTAGAAAAAATAAAAAGAACCAAAGAAACAAAAACACTTAATCAATGATAGCGGACAGCTTAGTAAAGGCTTATCGGGTCTGACTAACTAAAAACTTATGCAAAAAATATTATTGGATGATTATGTTGGTAAAGACTACATGGTTTAAGACGCAACTTATTATAGTTTCGAATATATTTGAACTACATGATTTCGGCTGACAGCCAAAAGCATATTTATGGATCTTAGCGTTCACAATAAAGGCGTGTTGTGTCTTGTGGGTGATTTTCAACAGGGATTAATGTGAGAAAACAAAAACTTGGTTCAGGGTCAAGACATTCCACTTTGCAAGTTCACTGGCACTGGCCTACGTCGAGTGCCGCTGCTGGACAGCCAATTTTAACATGTGATTGGCGATGCTGTCTACCGTCAAATGTTGCGGAGACATCTCAATCACTTGGGACTTCTGGCGGGCATAAAACCGCTGCGCTCCATTGTTTTGCGGCGCCAAATAGGTGAGCTGCCTCGGATCCGCAGCACTTATCCAGGCCTCGTCGTTCGATGCAGACTTGATGATCAGATGGTCCCCGGTGTTAACTGCCTCCGTGGCGTCATCGAATTGCGGGGATGGCAGTCGGTGAACCTGCAGCAGGCGATGCGAGGGCGTAGCATGCGATAGCTCGCAGGCAATTACATGCACCTCAGCCGGACTGTTTGGCTCTTTTACATGCTGGTAGAGCACTAGCATACTGCTTTGATCCATGTCGAGGCTGGGATAGTGCATGGCAGCCAAGCTGCTACCCAAAGGACGGCCCAGATCGTAGTTCATCAATGTGTCACCACTGCGATGGTCCCAAATTGTGATCCGCGTCTGTCCATAGCCGATTAGGCGGTCCTCCGAAAGGCACTCGATGTGGCGTAGTTCGTGGCGTAGCTGCTTGAACTCCCGAATAGAGGCCAGCGTATCCAGCGTGGGCGTCAACGAGTACTTGCAGATGCCCGAGCGCGGCTTGCCCATCACCAATTCCTGCTGCCAAGCCATAACAAAGTAGCGCGACTCCGCGATCGTAGTATAAATGACATTCGGCCACTCACTGAAATATTTTTATATTATAATATTTAGAATGTGGAAAAGGAAATTGTTTTAGTACTCACCAGTTAACAGCGTCCAAGTGCACAGAGTGCATCCGGGGCCGTAGTTCCTCTTCGCAAAAGTAGTACACGTTCACGTGCAGCGACGTAAGCTTCACCTCCCGCTTGTGGTGGTCCAACGGCCTGCTTCGCATTTCAAGGTACACCGGCGTCGAGTTGTGCACACAGATGCGGTTGCCAAACGGCGTAAATATCTCCTGTTCTGTAATGGGTTGAAGAAAGATTAGGAAATGAGTAAATGTCTAAGAACCTTCAAAGCGTGTAACCCACCTTTAGTAAGGCGTCGCACTCTTCCCAAGTACACCCATCGCGGTCCAACTTGCAGCTCTTGCTCTGTGTCCTTGGAATCGCGCGAATGCGGGTGGTGGAGCTGTGATGCGGGCAATTTCCTAACGCCATCGAAGAAGGGCTGCTGGCGCGGTTGGTGCAGCACGTTGAACACTTTGGAGAACTTCCAGAAGGTTATGCAGTTCTCTTGTAGCACAATAAGCTGTTCCAGCTCGTAATACATATATAGAACCTTGCCGTGCTTGGCGGAAAGTGGATTCGCTAGCGTTGACGATCCCTCGCTGAGGCGTAGCAGTCCGCCGGGAGGAATGGCCAAGATTTGTTGGGCAGGATCCAAGTGTCCCGCGTGCTGCCGAGAGCGACGTGGCTCCTTAGAATTCAATGGCGGGGATGTGGGCGAAGGCGGGTAAATAAGAGCGGGCTGGGCGTAAGGCGGTTGAGCGCGGGAAGGGGAATGAATGTGGGTCAGTTCTGCAGCCCCAACGGCAGCAGAGTTATCCAGATGTTTGTAAGGTTCCACAAGCGCATTGGGGACTTCTTGTGCCAACTCTGTGATCCTAGGAACGGCGACTGGAGTGTGGTTAGGCACTGCTTCAAGATTACCGGGCAGAGATTTGGCACGTGTCCTCTTCGTGCGCTTTGTCAGTCGATTGATAGCTTTCGTTGCACTTGTCGTGACTGTGGCATTCTCCTTAACGCCCTTTATCTTGCGGGGACTGTTCGGAGGAGCCAACTGCTGCTGCTGCAGGCGATGCTGTTCTGGAAGACTCTTGTCTGTCGGATCGGGTCTCTTTAGGGCCGCCCGTACAATCTTGGGCATCTGGACCCTTTTGACGCCAAGTGCTGTGCCGCCGCTCAGTCGCTTGGCTCGTCCCTGGGCCATTTCGTCCGAGAGAGCGTAGCTCTTAAGCAGACTGACCTTACGGTTTCGCAGCAGCTTTGAATTGAGGTGCGTGGTGGAACGGGTAACCAGGTCGCGGACGCGAGTGTGCTTTCCTGAGCTTGGAGCTCCCACGGTAGTGCGTCTGCGTTTTGTGGCAGTAACTGGCTTGGTAACGCCATGGGTTTTCCTATGTTTGGGTGTTTTTGGCGACTGAGCCGCAACCACAGGTGATGAAAGTGACGATTTAGCTTCTTTAACTGGACTGATCTTTATGAGATTTGTCTTCGCAGGTCGAGGAATCACTGCAGATGGACACGGAGCACCTACATCACCAAAGGCTTCTATCAAGTGAGCGGGTGCCGGTGAAATGCGAGACTCCTGTTTGCCTGGCGATGGTGTCTGCGGCGAGGCATTGTTTGTAGCCTTGATGATGTAAATCGATGGCTTGGTCTCGCGCGCCTGGCGCAAGCGTTGCTGCATTTTCTCCAGCAGCTTGGATTGGGCAGGAGCTGCAGCCTCGTAGACCTTGGCGAACGCTGCCTTAACAGACTGCTCAAGTTCATCCTCGGGCTCTTTGTGTTCCTCTTGCTTCTTGATCCCTTCGCCCTCCTTGGGAGATCTGCAACGCTGCGGCTCCAGTTTCTTGGGAGATTTGCACCTTTCCCGCTCCTGTGAACACCGGTGCTTCCCCGTTTCTTTAGGGGATTTGAGTCGCTCTTGTTCTTTGGGTGATTTGACCAGCGCGCGATCTCCCTGTGCCCGTAAATAGGTGTCGTAAAAGTGGTTCGACTGGCGCTGGTCTTCTGCAATCGAAGCTGGCAATTGGCCGATAAAAGTGAGCTCTCCATCCGCCCCCGGAACGGTACCGGCTATCTGAGGCAGGGAGGACTCCTCTTTATCAGTGCTAAGCTCACTGCTGGTGGTCAGCGGCATCTTCTTGTCCTTATCCTGCTGGCGGTCTCGTTCCCGCTCCCGCCGTTTACCGCGCACATCACTGCGCATCCGGTCCAATTGGTGTTGTGGTCGGACTCGCAAGGATCGTCGGGCCACAGTGCTGTTGGCTAACTCCCGCATTGCAGTAGCTACCGCGTTGGCCGTGGCCAGTTCAGTAAGACCCAGATAGTTGCAGAACTCTTGCTGCTCGTAGAACATACTGTCGTTGGGGCAGCTGAAATTCAGCTCCTGATTCGCGGCCATTTGCAGTGGCATCTCTGCAAAAAATAGTTAAAATTAATAAGTCAAATTAAATTTATTAAAATTCAAGTTAACTATGCAATGAAATTTAATGAAAGTTAATAATCTTAAGACTTCATAAATATGTTAAAAAAATATTTTTTCAAAGTGATTTCGATTTGAGTTTTCACTAATTTTTTGATTATGGTACAGAATTATTATTTTATTTTTAAAGAATGTTAATTTTAACATCCGAACGAAGAACGATTTGTTAAGAACTGGATGAAGCAAAACTAATATTAATATTTTGGATAGGAATGGAAAAACAAGCAAAGTACTTTTGTGAATAAAAACATTAAGGCGGCAAAACATCTCACCTTGTGGCGCCTGTGGCAGATCCTGGTAACGATACAGCTGTTGCTGCTGCATTTTATGTTCGATAAACTGCTGCTGTTGCATTTGCACCTGCTGACGCATAACATCCAGGACAGCAGTTGCCAGTTGCCGGTCTTCTGAAGGCACAATATCACTGGAGTTCGGCTGCATTAACTCAACTATTCCTTCCGAAGCACCGGCACAAGGATGGGCATTGGAAACGGATGCAACCGGATGCAAATGCACGGCGGATGACCCTGCTGTTGGTGCAGCCGCGCTGCTTTCCAAATCTGTGGTGGAAGTTTCCTTGGTAAGGAGCCGTCGCTCAGAGGTTTTCGTCTCCATGGTCTTCACATCAGAGGCATCGGGAATCACCTCCTCTTCTTCCTCCGGTTGTTGATCCACTTGAAGCTCCTCCTCGGGAATCAACGTGGTGACGGAGGCGTTCTCCATGCCCACCACCTCGTAGCAATCATCGTCATCGTCGTCCAGCACTATGGTCTCTTCGGTGGGCATGATATGCAAGTAGCGCCGATGGACCGGCCGCTCCGCTGACTGGGAACTGGCTTGCTCTTGGGTGGACTCGTCGGAGGTCTGCATGATATCGCGGCTGATCTTCTCCAGGTTTCGGGCCAGTGATTCGCGAAACTCAATGAAGTTGAGCTGCTTGAGTGGTGCTGTGGCAGCCTCATACTGGTCGAAGGCGGCCGCAAAGCTCTCTACATCCTCGACGGCCGCACACTCCTCACTGGCCGCCGTCTCCCAACTGGAGACCTTCTCGGCGGGACTCATCTGTGGCTGAGCCTGGCAGATGCTGGCTAGCCTTCTATCCATAGCCTCTCCATGGAGTGTATTCTTCATCAGTGGCGGATACTTGCGCTTCAGTGGAGCCACTTTGGACGGAGAGTGGCCGCCCATTAAATCGTCATCGAATTCATAGTTATAGCTGGCGTTGGGCATGGAGGAGGAACTGACTGGGAACTCCGTGGGACTGCTGTGCTCGCGAGGCAACTTCCTGAGCAGATTATTCGGCGGCGGCTCCTGCCCTTCCATAACGCTGATGTCAATAGGTTGGCCCGGTGTTTGCTGCATCATGCCTTCCTCGTCTTCATCGTCGTGGTCTTCTAATTCGTGATCATACACTTGACAAATGTCGGGGCGTTCCTCTTCCATCGGAGTGTCGTCCAAAAATGTTGCGTTCTCGTTCTCCTCGGGCGCTTCGTCCTCGACTAGTTCCTGATGAACTAGTGGTTGCTCCAGCGCTGCGTCACTGAGGTACACATTGTTTTCCGCCGCCATACGTGCTTCATCCTCACCCAAATCCTCTACCACCTCCTCAATATAGGCAGCACCATTGAGGCACTCATTCGCACCAGTTTCTTCGGGCAACAGACCCAGCAATGCTTCGGCTCCATTCCCGGCCATCAGAATGGCCCTGGCGAACTCCTGTTCGCATGCCACGCCCTGGGTGGCTACTATGATCTCACAGCAGTGCTCCTCCGCCAGCACGACCATGTTCTCTCCATCCACCGATTCGTAAATGACACACTGATCTCCCTCCTCGGCTACCTGAAGCTCGTGATCATCATCATCGTCACCGTGAGGCACCATGGCGAACTGGTCGACATTGCCGTTGGTCAGCAAAATGCCGGGACTGTTCACTACGGCCTGCATCAAAGCAATAGCCGGGTCCTGTGCTGATTCGGGCGAGTCTGTAAAATAAATTAAATTAATTTTTAATGCTCATCAATAGCAGAATGAAAAATGTAAATGTATACGCTTTACTTAAAATTTTAGTTGCACTAAATAGATCATAATTTAGAGTTTGGTATTCTCAATTTAAAATAATTAAATCTGAGACTTGTGCAATTTTGGATGTCAACGATTATATTAAGCACTTTCCTATTGGAAACGGTTTAATGCATGTTTTGTTACAATATTGTTTAATTATTTTTGATTATAAAATTTTTTAGTTTTGAGACTACGATTTAGATATTATATATTCATAGTTGGTATTAGCTCCCTAACCCACCATTGATCTCGATGACCTCATGACTAATGCTCGGACGCTTGGCGGGCGTGCAGGTGGTCCATTCAGGAACTGGAGTGATCTCCTCCGCGGCCATCATGTGCCGGCACAGTCCGTAGATGAAGCGTTCGCCTTGGCTGACGAAACTGGTAGATGGGTGGTCCTCCGCCCAGCCTTTGAAGCCGCTGCCGCTCGAGATAAGGCTGTGGATGTCTGAATCGTCGGAAATTACGTGCAGCATGCTGTCTACGGCAGGGTCCAGGTCCGATTCCGGCGCCGGCTGCTCTGCATCGGATTCAGTGGGACCCGCGGGCCGCACCCGATCCTCTGCCACGCCCGATACGGCGGCTGGAGCATCGACCGCCTCCGAATCCACCTCGTCGCCTTCCAGCGGCGAGTAGCAGTTCAGCAGGTGCTCCTCCGCCGTCATATAGGCCATCAGACTGGCGCATCTCTTGGACATCGCGTCGGGGATTGGATTGGATTACTAGCCCTAGCCCGCACTGGTCAAATGGTCGATTTGTGTAGCAATTGTGGTAGGATTTCTTCTGAATTTAGCACGTGAAATTTAAAAAATATACTTGATGCTGTCTACAAAACAATGCCGGAACTGACTGGCCGTGCATGATTACATTATCGGTGCTTGGTCGGTTTGCTTCGATTGTTATTTTATGAATTTCTGCGTGTTTTTTGTTGTATATTTCTTATTTAGCAGGCTTATTTTTTTTTTGATTAGCTGCCTTATCCTGTGTGACCGTCGCTGGACCGTACAAATATATCAAATGGATCTCGGAAAAAATACCATAGAAATATACTGCATAAGTTAGCACTTACTTTTAGCGCGCGCTTAATCAATGTAAAAGGACCCTGTATCTTTCAGACTTATTTAAATTTTACAAAAAATTCGAACTTATATGGTCTTTTTGTGAGATATTAATTCTTTTGGCTGTACTTTCGAAAAACCACCACCTCCGATCTCGAAAAATAATACGAAAACATTTATATAAAAGAAAAAACAAAATCAAACAATTAAAACGATAGCAAAACAAATGTAAGCATAGATTTAATCAAGCAGCAGGGTTTACGTTTGCAAAAGGCTAGAAGGTTAGAAAATCAACCTTTTTTGAATTTTCCTCGTAAAATACTTTACACTTTAAGTCTTATAATATTAAATATGCAATCCAAGTATTGGTTTTATAGAGGTCTTATTCTAAGAAATAATGCCTAAAAAAAAATAACAGTATTTTGGAAAGTTACACAAGGAATTGAAATTACTTTCAATGTTACGCGAATGGCTTAAAAGCTTTTTGACCATATTAGTTAATATTATTTTTCTCCAAATTATATGGCTTTACCAGCACGTAATAATTTTACTTACTGCGAAATAAAATTGAATGTATATTGAAATAGAAACATTAGGTTTTCACAATCAGCTGTTGTATCTTACAAATGCGCGATAGTTGGTATTCATCGCAGGAAACCGCGTCTTTTGCTTTCCTCATCCATGCATTGCATGGTCACTCTGCTCTCACGGTATTTGCAATTGCGAGAAAAGAAATGAAAGAATTGAAAAAGAGGCAACGGCAACGGCGAACGAAACACAAGTACACCGCACCTACATCCCGCAGAAGTCGAAGTTCCCATGCGCCCGCGCTCTGATAAGGCCTTTCTGAGAATCTAAGAAACCGAATCGGAATCCGAAAACTGAGTAGCTCGGGGAATAAATATATAGCGGGCGTCGTCGTAGCTCAGAACAAAATACACCCAGCTCTCGCAGCGTGAACGTCGTCGATTTCAGTTTCCGCCTTGAAAATCAACTAAACATAAATTTCACTCCCGTCTCTCGTCTAATGTGCGTCTGCTAGTGTTCTAAATTAAAGATTGGAAAATTCAATAGTCAATAAGTCGGCGAAATGGAAGACAAGCGAGCAAATGGCGATGCCACCACCTGCAACGGGCATTCCAAGGAGAAGGACGTTCGCGTTTGGTGCGACGGATGGTGAGTCATATTCTTGGGGAACACTGTCCGGCTTTAAGAATCGGTCGGGTAACGGTTCCCATTGCTTCACGTCACTCGTTACTCAGCGGTAGAGTGTACAGTGAGTCAAATCAGAACAATTCCACCACGTCGGTCTTATTGATTTCATACAATTCCAATACCCGTAATCAGCTTTCGACAGACCCCATTTGGGGCGTGCTAAGAAGTGTTCAGGGTTTTTTTAACTGATTAGCGAATATGTGTGGAACTGCTTTTGGTCAGACGATCAGTTCCCGCTCTAATGGGCATTCATTGCCGTCATACTAATGTGTCTATTTCAGGTTCAAGGTCTCCCCGTACCGAAATATGCATACGCTCTACGGTTGACCGAACATTTTGCATTGTCTTTACTATTTATTTACAATAAATGTCTCTTTGTTTTCCTTTCAATGTAGTTGGAAATGTGTGTTAATTCTTGTTTATATAGTACTTGCACCATTTATCAAACTTCTTTACTGTTGTGAATGACAATAATTATTTTTAATTTAATTTTAAAATTTTTTATAGTAACGAAACTAAATATAAAAAATTTAAAATGGTTCTGAAATTTTATGAAAAAATGTAAATATAGAAAAAGGTCGTAATTAGTTAACAACTAAGGAACGGGGCAACGTGAAGATTTGATCACCGAGGACTCAGATTAATTCAAAAGCCAGCAATCGCGTTTTGTGTTCTGTCAAGCGCTGTCCCGGCTGCAAAAATAATAATATATTTTTTAACAAATTTCGGAGCGCACTCCCACATATGCACACAAAAATCATTTGCACTTGTGTTGTGTAAAACCTATAAACCATTTATAAAAATAGAATAACTCTCCGTTCTTCATCTCCTCCCCCACCAACAAACGTCAAACAAAAAACATTTTTTCGGTCCATATGTCCGATCAATGTATTGTACAATATTTGATATAAACTGCGTTCTGGAGCTGAAATCAACAATATCCAAAATAAGCTGGTAGATTAAATGTTTGCTATTTTTTTTAGAGTTTTTTTTACACATATGTTTTGGGTACATATGTATTGGTCGCTGCCTGAATTGGGTATACATATGTATATTCATAGACGCTCTTAAACATTTTCGATGAACATAAAATTGTTCTAAAAGCATTGCGCTGTGCTATAATAGGTTGATTTTGTGCAATGCATCACCGAGAACCGGTTTATCTTTATCAGGAGTGACGCATTAGACGGCGATATGGATGGATGGCCTACCATAACAAGTTTGTCTGCTCTATCAGACGACTGAAATTTCCTCAATTGTGGCTTCCGCCAAACGTTTTATATATAGAAATACATCTATTGTTTATGTTAAACCTATTTATCCTTCTGTCTAGTTTTCTCTATTTCTGTATTCTCCCAATTAACAATGGCACACGCTTAACTAACAATAATAAAATAAATATGTACACACATGATCTTAATAAGTAAACACAACTGCGTGTTCTTTAGTCATTCGAGAAATCCGTTTTTTTATATTTTTAGTTTCAAATTGGGTCTTACTCATTTTATTTTGGGATAAAGCTTAAAAATTATAAACTTAATATTAATGTACAAAAAATAAATACTAAATTTATACTATATAAAAATATTAAGTGAACCTATTGATATGTTAATGTGTGTATATGTATATGTACATATAATCATCGAACAGCAGCGTCAGCTTTCCTTCCATTCTTTTTCGAGGAACTTTAGATTTTTGAGGGCTGCGTTTACGTGGCCATTGTTGACTGTGGTTACCGGTTGTCCCAAAACATCACGTGATTCAGGCCTGCGCATGCCTCGACGCCTGCCTCACACCCATTGTGCACCACCATCGTCATTGCCATTGCCATCGCCATCGCCATTGACACACAATATACTGCCGTCATCGTCTGGCGGTCTGTGCTTAATTTAATTGGCATTTCGCTGGGCTACCCCTGCCCTGAATTATCGCAAAGGACCGGCTTTTTTAGGTTATTTAAATTGCAGCCGCTTCTATATATCTTCCAAACTATGTCTGTATGAACTAAAGTAACTTGAGATCAAAATTTTTAACAATTTTTTAACTCGTCAAAAATTTGGGCACCACAAAGTATACTCTAAAATAGAAACACCCTATAACTTATGGATGTTTAGGTAATATAGGAACTATATTTAAAAAACAATTTTTTACACTAGTCCGATTACTTATTTTTTTAATTCAGCCATTTAGCCCTGTGAGATATGAAAATTAATATTTAAATAAGATTGGATTGAAATTTATTTAAATAAAGCCACTTTCATGCTTGGTATTTACAAACTATACTCACAGTGCAATACTGAAATCACTAAATTAGTCCAGACACAATCTTTAGTGACCATTTATTTAATTTCTGAATACCTCTTTGATCCCCTAATTTATAGTTTCAAACGTAAATTAAATAATTAGAGGTTAAAACAAATGTTTCCGGGTATTTTTGGCAATCTATTCTTCTCTAACCCCATTGTCAATAGGTGAGACCTTGCCTATGTGGAAGTCCTCAAGCTGAAGGTGATAAGACTGACCGAGAAACCGCCAAACTGAAACCAGATTATTAAAAAAATGATTCCACATCAGCTGCTCCTTGGCAAAAACAAAAAGTATAAACAATATTTTCGTGAAGTCTGCCCATTAACCCAGCAGATGGGAGCACATGTATGACTTGGACCCAAATATTCTAATCAGCAGAGATTGATCATTGACGCAAGCAAGTGCGATCACTTGTCTTTCCCGCACTCGCTACCTCCTTTCCACCAAAGTCAATGAACCTGGTCTGGCAGCAAGTCGAAAAAACAAATGAATGGGGCTCTCGTAACACTGTAAGAGAGCTGGGGCCTCACGCATAGGGTCTACGTTTACCCCTGGGGTCCAACGACAGAGCACAAATTCTATGGAGAATCGCGTGATATTTTTTAATCAGCAAATGGGCGTCGGCGTTGCTGTCGCTTGCGCTGCTGCTTTTTGCCCACTCAATTGATTAAGCGGCCCCTGGGTCTGTTCTACATATAGAGTACAATGCTATATATGTACATTCGGCACAGATTTAATTCTACTGCAAAAATCTCCGGGAGCAAAGGTTTCGCTTCGATTAATGAATGGTCCACGTTTTTATAAGCTGCTTTCTGCTCTCCGGTTTGTTACTATCAGACTTCCTTGCATAATCGTTATTTATTTTTAATAGGTCGATTTGTATGTTCCGATTAGTAATAACACCTTGTTCTTTAATCATTTGCTTGTTAATGTTTGGTATGTACTAATCTTTAATTGGAGTTATCTTATAATAGTTTCCGCTCACCTATTTCATATTGCGCGCGCCATTCAATCGATATCTGTAGAGAACACACCGGCCTGATAATGATGACGTTTTAACTTCTTATCGTAACAATTTAATAAAGTGGTTACCTCTTGCATCATATGTTTTATTTGGTTTATGCGTATCTCATTTTAAGAATTATTAAATAAAATATATTTTTTTGTATTCATTCTTTATGGAGATTGATTACTTCATGTTTAATACACGTTCATTGAAATTATTCAATGGAAAATAAAAAGATTTTATTGAATGATAAATATACAACCAGAAAAAGAAAGTAATTGTTTAGCAATCAATCAATATTTTCCGATTAAAGCAATTTTAATGATTAATTTCTTTAAAAAAAAACAACTTGAAAAAATAAATAACCAATAATTTGGAACGAGTATTCCCCATCAAATTTCATTTAAGACCATGCCCATAATTGCGATTATTTTGGGTGCAAAAATTCCGTTCCGCAGTAAATACGTATATAATTGGTTTTAAATGCAATTTGAGCAGCACCTCACGTCGCTCAGATGTATTATCGCTTTCCCAAGCCAAACAAAAACCAGGCCAGGGCACGTGTGCCTATAACCATATTGCTTAGAATCGACGGAGAATGTAAACAACCTGAATGGCGCTATTTGCGAATATGTTGACACAGAATCACTTACATAGCGGCGTTCATAATTGCAATTAGAATTGCAAAACGTATCCCGCACAGGTTGCTTCATCTCTTAACATTGCTGTTTTGTTTGGCGTACCGACTCTGATGATCGGGTCCAAAGATCAATCTTTACCAATGCTCTGCCAAAGTGGAGCACGAAACCCGCCTGGGGATAGTCACCAGTCGGGCAGCTACTGGTCATTTAGCGCACTCGACCAGACATTGACGCGCTTCGACAGCGGTTTATGTAAATTATGTAAATGGCTTGCTCGAACAAGTTTATTGCTTTGTGGTCTCGGTCATGTGCGGTACTACTTAAGCAAAGGTTTCATCTCGGGTTACCTGGCTTGCACCATTAAGTTTAATTATCAGGATTTCAACTGAGCTTTATTGCAAACCTACATATCTATAAATTCAATTCATTTACTTGTGGCTTTACCGAAATATACCTCTTGCATTTACATGTTAGGGCTATGTTCTCTTAACCTTATTTTTTTGCGTTTTTCATGGTAAATTCCCAGCGATACACTTTTTTTTTAGCAAGGCTCGGTTTCAAGCGGAGGTTATCTCGCGAGACTGCAAATATTTGTCATTTTCTGAGTCATATTAGTACAACCAAGTTCGTTTGCCTTCTGCAACTCGACAAGGACGCAAATGTTAAAGATAGAATCTAAGAACATTTCCGTTGACAACAGCCAGCAACAAATGAAGTTTGTGAACTTGTTCTTCGGGCACGCTTCTGATCTAAGAAAACATTTCCGTTGGCAATAGACATACATAGCTCCCAGCAACAAATGAAGTTTGTGAACTTCTTCTTCAGGCACGCTTCTGATAAAAAACCTTTTAACAACTGTTAGACTTCCAACAACTGTAGTAATTAGATTTCTTTGTTTACAGCTATGATATGGTGCACTTTGATAAAAAACCTTTTAACAACTGTTACCCTTTTGACAACTGTAGTAATTCGATTTTTTTGATTACAGCTATGATATGGTGCACTTTGGGCATGCCAATTCCCTGCGACAAGCCAAAGCACTTGGCGACAAGGTAATTGTGGGCATCCACACCGACGAAGAGATCACCAAGCACAAGGGACCACCTGTCTTCACCGAGGAGGAGCGCGTCAAGATGGTGAAAGGCATCAAATGGGTCGACGAGGTGGTGCTCGGTGCTCCGTATGTTACCACACTGGAGGTGCTCGACCAGAACAACTGTGATTTCTGTGTACACGGCGGTAGGTACAATGATGCCTTATTAATAGAGATATTATTAATCGGTTATTTATTGCAGATGATATTACAATGACTGCGGAAGGAGTCGACACATATCATTTGGTCAAGTCGGCTAATCGCTATAAGTAAGTATACAAAGTCTTATTGAAATAAAGCCTTAAGAAATATATTTTGTTCCATTGGCAAAATTTTCTTCTTTGTGCTTTTTTTAATGTCAGCTTTCTGTCTTTCTTTTTTTTAAATATATACTAAAATTAAATTTTCTTATGCAATCTACAGGGAAGTTAGACGCACTGCTGGCGTTTCGACCACCGATCTTGTGGGTCGCATGTTGCTGCTGACACGCAACCACTTCCGTCAGGGATCCGCCGAATACGATATCGAGAAAGAAGGTAGCTTCAGCTTGTCCCAACGCTTTTTTTAGAATATTTAAGTTTTATTTTAATGTCCCTGAATCGCAGCGAGCACAATTCCAGTTTTGTGCGCCATATTCATAGTTTTTATTTTTTAGTGTCTAAAAATTAACAAATACTAACATTAGAATTTAATTTGTTTGGCACTGTCCCTGTCTTTCATCTCTTTCTGTTGATCTTGTATATTGCTTTGCATGCATGATATATTTAGTTTGTTCCTGGGCCACGCACGCTAAGTTTATGCTTTTATTTAGTTTCCTTTTCACCCGTTTAACTTTTTATTTGCAATAGTTGAACGTAAATAATTCCTTCGTTTATGTTGCTCTCTACAACTTTACTATTTCTCTTCTTTTTATTTCTATGTACGCACTGTTTACCACTAACCAAAATATAAAATAATGTATGAAACCTATACAAAATATGCTAAAACCTCAAAATGCCAAATGTCTTGTGCGTGTGCGCGCCCGCGAAATGAATCCAAAATGCCAAACCCAACGACCAACCTGCAATCAAAATATCCAAATCCGCATCCAAATCGAAATCAAATCAAATCCTAAACGTAAATTTTGCTCTTTAATACACACCTGCTCATTTGTCTGCGTTGCTTTACAATACAAAAACGTAAAACAGTGAACATTTTAAAACGACAAATAAAATCCCATCCAGGTTCTTCGAATATGGGTCAAGACTCTGCTGCCAAAAGTCCATGGACCGGGTGTAGTCAGTTCTTGCCAACTACCCAAAAAATCATTCAATTCAGCGATGGAAAGTCACCAAATCCCGGCGATAAGATTGTAAGTTTAAGGCTTATTGCTGTGAATTATACATGACTGACCCATGCTTTGTGGTTTCAGGTTTATGTGGCTGGCGCCTTTGATCTGTTCCATGTGGGTCATCTGGACTTCCTGGAGAAGGCGAGCAAACTGGGCGACTACCTAATTGTCGGACTGCACACAGATCCAGTGGTCAACTCTTACAAGGGCAGCAACTACCCAATTATGAATCTGCATGAGCGCGTGCTGAGTGTTTTGGCCTGCAAGGTAAGATTGCAGTGGTGGATCCAAAAAGTGTGCACCGTTTAACGCCTGTTTTTCCGCAGTTTGTCAATGAGGTTGTGATTGGAGCTCCCTACTGCGTCACCGAAGAGTTACTAGAACACTTCAAAATTGATGTCGTCTGCCACGGACGCACACCCATTGCGCTAGAAAATGGCAAGAGCGATCCGTACGCCGTGCCCAAGACGCGAGCCATCTTCGAGCTAATCGACTCTGGCAACGAGATGACCACAGAGCGTATTGTGGAGCGCATTATATCGCATCGATTGGAGTACGAGCGTCGCAACCAGGCCAAAGAAAAGAAGGAAATCGAGGCTTTCGAGGCTCTTCAACGCCAAAAGCAGACCCAGAAGGCGGGCTAGCCGGCACTTGATTCCGTCCTCTCACACTAGACGGATGTTTTTATTTGTTTTAGTTGCATTCTTTTAGTTTGTTTTGTTTAGTTACCAGTTATTAGTTATGTTGCGTTCAAAGCGATGCGGTCGCTGTCAGAGATGCCGTACGCCCACTAAATTTCAAAAAGTCTCGGTCCCAGCGTACCGCTCGCTCGTTTTCTAGTACAATTATTGAATAGCTGCGGGTCGCACAGGCGGCTCTTGGCAAGCCTTAATGATATATTAATAATTATATACATATATATATATTTGTAATACCTTAATATAGCATATTTAAAATCTAAATTTTATGTATGTAAGCTCAAAATTTGTAAATTCTACTTTGTATGTGTTGAGAAACAAATTCAAGTCATGATTGAAATGAGAATTGTACGAAATATATGTAAGACGAATAACAAAGATAAACTGTGACATGTTATCCAAAAGGTTGGCAAACATATAATTGTATATATACGGCAATGTAACGAAAGTAGGATGACCGGATCAGGAAATAACTGCTTTTATCCAATGTAATCTCCGATACTTTGTCCTTATTTATTAATACATATACTTAGTGCAAGTTCAAGTTTTATGTTTCAATGTTTAATCTTAGACTAAAATACATGGCCAAAAATATTGCAAGCTCCAAGTTGTCGATAGTTTTATTGTTCTACTAAATCCTTGCCTCGCCGATCACCTTCAGTTCCACGGTTAGCATCTGCTGCCACACATCCAGATCCATTAGTTGTCGCAGATCATCAAAACTGATGAGGACCACGTTGCTGTCCGTCTTAATGAACTCGCTGCAGGGCTGACTCGCTGACCATGGAACGATGGGACGGGCCTTAATCTGCTTGGAGTAGTAGCGTGACGATTTGGTTGGTTGGACCAGCAGACGCAGTGTGATGACCATACCCTGCATAGGCGTGGCCACCCAGATGGCCAGGACCTCTTGATCGACTCGCTTCCTTTGCCACAGCATTGAGTGCGCGGTGCGGCAGGCGAATATGAATAGAGGGCTATGCTGGGAGAACTGGCGGTAATGGGCAGGCAGATGTGTGTTCCGGTGGCATTTCAGGGGATTCAGGCCTGTACGTCGGTAGCCATAAACGCCCAATAGTGTGTTGACATCCTTCTCCAGGCTGCTGAAGTGGCAGGTTAGAGAAGTCACCTTGCCCGCCTCCAGCTCGAAGAACGGAACCCCCATAAACGGCAGATGGTCGTTCAGATAGTGGCCCAACAGGGCGCTGGGATCTATCGAGCAGCGGCATCCTTGGCAGGGACAGGGCACCAGGCGCAGGCGAGCCCACGGCGAATTGCTGGGCGGGATCACGAAGAGCGGGCTCCGCCTGTTGCTGGGCGGCTCGGTTATCGATTCGAAGCGTTTCAGTTGGAGCAGCTGCTCTTCGGAAGATGAAGCCACCAATACAGGCAGCCGGCAATTCGAGAAGTGCTTTGAGTAGAGCAGACCTTGCATTTCCTGCAGACGCTGCTTCCGCCTCTCCTGGCGTTTTCTATTCCTGCTCATCCCATCGCTTGTCAGACTTTGAGTTTTGATGGAACCACCCCTGGAGTGGCTGGATTGGGAGGAGGATGCGGCAGACATGGTCGGAGTTGAGTTTTATTTAAGAGAACGACATAATTTGGATTAGGATGTGGAACTAGCACTAACAAACGTTAAAATACTTTTGAATTAAAAAGCACAAACAAACTACTCCAAGTGGGAAACAAATACTTTGCAATTTTAAAATGTATTATTAAGTTGGGCCGAAATCCCGGCGGTACTGCAATACCGGGCCAACCCGCGACAGAGGTGGAGCAAGCTCCTAGCACTCCGTCTGATTCCAAAAATCAGTTTAACATTTGTTGTCCTCCAATGGAGGAACTATCAGATGTTAAGCTGATAAGAACAGATACTACACTTTGATCTTAGCCATAAGGCCGAGAAGCGATAACTAGAACTGGGAAATCAACAGGCTCTCCATGAGAAAACATCTAGAACCCGTTGGGAATTATAGGCAAGAGCATAGACATGAATAAGGGTGCAGTTTACCTGGCGGCAGTAAGGGAATGCTGGTCCTGGCAACAAAAACTACAACCAGCAAGTCGGAAATAAATGGAATTCATTACTAAATTAAAACAAAAGTCATTAGCAAACAAACCAATTTGTAACAAAAGATGATAAGGATTGGCTTAAAAAGGTATAAACATTTTTTAAAATATACGTGACTTTTAAGATGTCATCTTATAATAATTCTGAAAAAAATAATTATGTGTTTTATTAAGGTTTTTGTCTAAATTTGTAGACTTATTATTTCAAGGCATCACTTAAAACTGTACGATTTAATTCTTTTCACTTTAAGTGCGTGGGCTAAAACACTTAGAATTGTGTAAATAAATATTCTTATAAGTACTTTTAAAATACATAATTTACTAATAGAAATAAGGCGAGGTACGTTTCTTCTTGATTATACTTCAAGGGATGCGATTCTTCTGCGTCTTTTCTTACTCGTGGAGTTCTCAGAGAGGTAGGGTTGATTAAGATTCAAAATCCAGGGACAGACTAAAGTTGAAGTTACGGTGGCTTCGAAGATGTCGGCGGTTTGTCCATGTCAGCTAGGATATACAAATTAATCAGCTGGTAGTTTTAATTTCTTAAGAAAATTCTTACCGCAATGGGACTTCAGTTCGCTTTCACTAATGTCCTTATTAGTGTTATTACCATCTATCCGAACACTGCCATACTTCTCCTTAAGGTACTTTTGCACATTGGTATTGTACTGGCTACGAGGATTAATCTTTCCTTGCTTTACTTCATTGTTCCTAAAGGCAGTGGGGTCATTGGAGGGCAAAAGGTCCGGTTGATGTTCTTCGATTTGCCTGTTCTTATTTGAGCTGCCAGTAGAAAGCGAGAAACTCTTATCATCGAAGTGTCGAGGACTTCCGTCGAGCTTATCTGGGAAAAAAAGAAAAGGAAGTAGGTAATATAACTCCCTATTATAAACATATTTCATTGTATTTTCTCACATTTTTGTTTGTGCTCTTCATTGTTTAAACCCGCATTGTTTGAATAGAGCCCCCGATCCCGCGATGAAGTAGGGCCTGCCTGATTGTCAAGATATCCAAAATAACTATTGGTGTTCAATCTTACGCCTTCAGTTTTTCTAGTTGCAAGGGGATCGTCTAGGTACATTTCGTTGTCATTTAAACTGGTCGCATTGAATAAATTGTAATTTTTACTCGATGTTCCATTAGCATCACACATTGGATCCAACACAGTCTTCTTTTCCTGAATAACACCCGAACTTAAGGCGCTGATCCCGGCAACATCATCACAACCTAATTGCTGGGCAGGATAACTTGTTGGTTGCAAAAAGGCATGCTGACTAGGATGAAATGGTTTGAATCGCTTGAAGATCAAGCATGTCACCAATGACAATAGGATCGACATACTGAGAAATCCCATGGCAATGAGACAAATTATTGCTAAGAGGTTCGTGTCAATCAGCGGAATCCGCTGCAAGTCCTTTTGTACCACCACACTTATTTGAACGGAATCTTTACCTCCAGGATTTTCCGCTAGACATGTATAGACACCCTCATCGGTTTTCTTGGCATTTACTATGGTGAGACGCGAAACAAATACATAATGCCCAAAATTTTGAACCTTTGGTACATTTTCCCGCAACATTTCTATATAAATACGCTGTTTTTGCAGACTTTTTACCGGCTTAGAGCGAGTCTCGTATACTTGATTATTGTAGTCCCAGGCAATGACTGTATTTGGAGATCCGTGCACGCGGCATATAAGCGTGACATTCTCCTTGGAAGTGTTAATGGAAGTACTGAGTGCAGGATACACAATCTTTGGCTTACATGCAAATGCCTCAGGCTGATCTTCGATCCAAAGGCGACCCCGCAACTGCAAAGGATAATGACATGCTGTGGGCGGAGTATACAGATTCATGTCTATAACGAAATCACGGAACATCTGAAGGTCACAGGTACAATTCCACGGGTTCTCGGCCAGCGATAAGGCTGTGAGTTTATTAAGGCTCTGAAAACAATCCACTCTTAGTTTGGTTAGTTCATTGTTGTCCAGATAGATCTGTGATAGCAGCGGCACTCCCACAAAGGCCTGGGCATCGATTCTAACCAGGCGGTTCCGCTTTAGCTCGATCTTGTGCAGATACTTAAGGTTGCGAAAGACCCCTTGGGGAAGTATTTGTATCAGGTTTCCATTTAGAAATATGGCCCTCACTTTGGACAGGCAGTCGAAAACATTGGGTAGCAACTCTTGCAGAAGATTATTGGACAAGTCAAGCTCAATCAATATCTGCAGTTGGGTGAAGCTTTGCTGGTGTATATGTTTCAGAGTGCCATTACGTATCAGAAGCTTCTGCAGATTCTGCAAGTGGGTGGTCGAAAAGGCGTTCTCCTCCAGGTAAAAAATATGGTTGTGTGACAGATCCAGCACTTGAACCTCCGGACTAAGGTATTCTGGTACCCCGCTCAGGCTCAAATTGCGACAATCGGCTGTCTTCTTGCCGGAGTTCCATTTGCAGTGACAGTTTCCACAGTCCATTAACCAGTCTGCACTGGCACTTCGAAGGATGAGTAACAAAAGGAAGGTTTTTAGAAGGAGTAGCGACAAGTGCTTATAGGAAAGACTACATGGATCGAAGCTAAGCTTGATAGCCATTGAGTATTTTTAAGGAACGGAACGTCAATCTCTACCCCAGTTATTCTGGGTTATTGTTGTCGCACATCTAAACGCTAGTATTTAATTATTCCTCATGTCCAGTGTCCGGGATCATTAAAATTTCCGTCTTGCATTAAAATGCCGAGATCCATCCTGTAAAGTGAACATTTTGTATTATTTTGTTTAGCTTGTGTTCTGATTAAACTTAAATAAACAGAAAACTTTTCAGTGATTCCGAGTTTTTGACATGTTATTTTTGATGCTCGTAGATACTTTTGTATGATATCGAATTCCCATGGCGTCTATTACCTTAGCCAAGGGAACTGTAGCTTCAAGGCCATTTTCCCTGTTTTCTTTTTATCAGTACCAAATGAAATCAGTGGAAAATGGGGTGTAGACAATTGACACTGGCCATGACAAGAAAGCTGCACTTTGTTGGCTTACCAGATATGGAAATACAATATAAATTTACTATACTGCCACGCCTTCGGCTGGTGCTTAACGAATTCATCTAAAGACCTCGGCGTATATCCATCAACTGTTTTTCTAATTTTATACTGCCCCACTTACAAGAGGGTTAACAGAGATACTACATTGGCGCATGCCAAGTAGCCATCACACTTTTTTGCTCTTTAAATGTAAATTAACATTAGGTTTATTGTTATTTTCATTGTTTTTCTTTATAAACAAAAAAAGGGTGGTGGTTTAGAAAAAAAACATTAGTTTCTTTTCTTTAAAGTTGTAAAATAAAAATAGCTTACTCTAAAAAAATTTAACATCTTTAAAAAAGAAGGGCTTACCAATTTTATTCAGAATATTTAGCAAATAAACACATTTTGTTTGAACTAATAAACAAAGCCAAAACAATTTCATTAAAACAGACACAAAATATGCCAGCAAATTAAATATTAACTGGTTAATTTTTTAGCTTTAAAAAACAATATGACTTTAACGAATTGGAGTTATTGTTATTTTATTCAGAATACTTAGCAAATAAACACATTTCGTTTGAACTAATAAACAAAGCCAAAATAATTTTATTAAAACACACACAAAATATGCCATTAATTTAAATATCACCTTGTTAATTTTTTAACTTTACAAAAATAATATGACTAACGAGTTGGTGTCCTTAATGGCAGGGCTGTTTTAAACCGGTCTCTGCAATTATAGTATTAGTATAAAATAATAAGAAGAGATTCTTGTTGCCTCCTTGTGCATTACAGAAAACAAAACACCTACCCCTAAAAGCAGGCTACAGCAACGTCGAATTATTTTTCGTGTGCGCATACTTACAATTCCCAACAGGTTCTAGCAGTTTGGTCATGGAGACCCTGTTGATTTCCCAGTACTAGTTATCGCTTCTCGGCCTTATGGCTAAGATCAAAGTGTAGTATCTGTTCTTATCAGCTTAACATCTGATAGTTCCTCCATTGGAGGACAACAAATGTTAAACTGATTTTTGGAATCAGACGGAGTGCTAGGAGCTTGCTCCACCTCTGTCGCGGGTTGGCCCGGTATTGCAGTACCGCCGGGATTTCGGCCCAACTTAATAATAAATTTGAAAACCTTATTTGAAGATATTAAAATAATAATATCTTCTACCAATATTTAGCTAACCATTTTGGTTTGGTTGTGTGGTGGAGGATTAAGTCGATGGCCATATTCCATGTTTAAAAATAAACATGATTGATTAAGAAATAAGTTGAAGTAAATCAAAAACCCATGAAAAGTCTACTATTAAGTTGTTAGTTAATAATTCGTATATTTATTTCGATAATACACCTATTATGAATACAGTTCGCTTTTTTTGATTGTTTGTATTAATTTGCTTTGGTACAGTTAGGGACTTTTTCTCACCTTCTTGCTAAAGATTCTTGTTTGATGGATGATAAATAACCTTTCAAAGTATATTCTTCTATTTATGACAATTAAAATACTTAAAAATGCATTTTCACCACAAATAATTATTGGATATCTAAAAGTGTTCTTGACGTTTAAATGCAGATGAGAAAAGAATTATCAAATGTGCGGACAGCACTGCAATACTGCAAGGCTAGAATATATTTAGTTAACATGAAGATGAAAAAACGCCCCTTAAGTCCATACAATTACAAAGTTCAGTGGAGACACGCTCATCTCAAGGGCTCCTCAAAAATTGTTCCTAACACTCCATTTCGCATTCAACAATAAAATTAAATACATAATTTGAAAATAAACATATAATCGATTCAAATAATGTTCAGCAATTACGATACGTTAATATACTTTTTTCAAAGTGAATGCTTAGTTTTCGGTGTTTGGTTTCGCTTTTATAAAGGACAACTTCAACTACGGAACAATCTGAGGCTGGCTGATTCCTTCGTGGCTAACTATTAGCATGTGTACTAACTGGTGAATAGCTGCGCTATGCTCCCACAAACAACATCAACCGTAACAACGCGCTTACATATCTTTGGCGAGAGACCACTACGTTCAATTAAATCGAAAAAAAGGGAAGAGATTTGTGATGAGTGTAACGTATACAATGCCATAGAGCTACAGTTAAAGAGTGTTTTACGTGTGGGTTATGCTTAAAACGACGACAGATTTTGTGTTTGACCATCTCTGCAGTTCTTAAACAACCACTGCCCCAGCCTCCGAACGGCTAACTGGTAGATCGGGGCAATTTTTCCAGGTGTCCGATAGCGGATCATAGCATTCAACAGCATTGATAGTCACTTGTGCTCGGTAAAAGTTTACCTCACAGGGCTGCAAGAGAAAACAAGTAAAATATTAAAGGTTTTATATTTGAAATTATTGATTTATAACCGCAAGCATAGGAATAATTCTGTTCATTTTCTGGGGCTGAGAAATTGTTACCTGATCACCGCCAGCTACGTAAAGTAGACCATCGGCAGCGGCCACGGCAGGAATGGCTCTGGGAACGTTCAGGGCACAAACGGTCGTCCATTTGTCCTCGTCAAAGCTATAGCGTTCGACAGAACTGAGAATGTCCTGGCTAATACTACTGCCGCCAACCACATACAAATAGCGATCCAGAACAGCCACGCCCATTTGACAGCGGGCCGTTTGCATGCGGGCCAGTTCGGTCCACTCTTTGGTCACCGGATTGTAGCTGCAATGGATGTTATTGATTAATGCTATCATAAAACATCAAATTATATCGTTCAATACCTGATAAGATCCGGCAGATGACGGGTTGTTGTTGTGCAACCACCTACAATGTAGATGAGACCCTCGAAACTAACCACACCCATGCTGAATCGAGGCTGCGGCATGCTGCCCATCAATTTCCAGAGGTCCTGCTCCGGATCATAGCACTCCATGGAGCCGCCTATGTCGTCCCCGATCCAGCCACCCACGGCGAACAGATTTCCGCCCATGGTGCAGAGTCCGAACTCGCAGCGCGGCACAATCATCGGTGCAATCGGTTGCCATACGTCGTTCTGTGGATCATATACCTCGCCATTGGCCAGAATCTGTGAGCCCCGCTCTCCTCCCACCACGTAAATTTTGCCATTCAATGCCGACACACCCGGCAGGATGCGACCCACCTCCATGGGTGCCGTCTCCGTCCACTCGCGCCGAAATATGTCGAACTTGGCCACCGTCTCGAAGATGCAGTCGGCCGAGTTCCAGGTGCGCGGCGTGTCCCGATGAGATCCGCCAATGATATAGATGTTCTTCTTGGCCAATTGCCGAGGGCAGACGCGCAGCGGTACCAATTGACCTCGCTTTGACGCAATGTCACGACAAATGGAGCGCAATGCTATTTTCACCGACATGTCGCGACAGTCGTCCTTTAGAGCCTTGTCGATCACCTTTACTGGAACAAGAGCCATGCGAACATGGGACAGGACATCGAAGACGTAGCAGCGGCGCTGCGTGACATCGTGCTTGATCCAGCGTAGAGCTGCCTGGAACACCTGGGACTCCGAGTCCACACGCAGTAGCTCCGAATTCAGTAGCTGCGAGAGCAGAGTCTGTGGGGTTTCTAGGAACTCATCCTCCAGAGTTATCTGTTCGGAAAACAGTAAGGCCAAAGCTATTAATAATAATATTGTAATGGGTTATACTGATAATAATTATCTTGACCCAGCTCTCTGTTTAATTAAACTTAACTGTTGGGGAATCCACCAAATTATAAAAAAAAAAAAAAAACTGGTGTGGGAAAAAGATAGGGAACTCCGTGGGAGTATCAAAATTTTTTTGATATTCAAATGTTAATTGTAATTTTTTTGATTAATTTTGATTAAAAATAGTTTTAATGTGTGAATTTTTTTGAAATGATGGATTTTATTTTTTTAAAACCTATGAATTGACATTAAATTTCAATGGCTGTTATCTGTTTCAAGAAAGACCTATGTATATGGTTTTAAAGGTTTTGTATTTTTCACCAGACCTTTTTTCTTCGAATAGTATACTAATAAGCCAAGCCTTTTAAGTGCCCCTCACTTACCGCTGGGAAATTGGCGTGGACAAAGTTCAGTGCACTCTTGGCCAACGACTCGCAGTTGTGGGCCTCCGCGAAGCGTAAAATGCCCAGTGCATTGGAGGCGTGCAGCTCGCGGCAAAGGAACTCGCAACACCCGTCGACCACCTCGTTTAGCTGCAACATGTCGGCGGCGGCGAGCAGCTCTTGGACATTGGACTGCAAGGACGGATTGGGGATTAGGGAGCAGGGGGAGCAGGTAGCCAGACTCACCTGGGTAATTTCACAGCGACCCGTGTAGATGAAGTCGAGCAGGATGTGCAGTATGTCGCCGTCTATGGTGTGCAGCACCACGGACTTCTGCTTGACCTCGTTAAGCCCCAGTTCGGGTCGGAACATGGCCTCGAAGTAGGCACTGGCCGCACTTAGAACAGCCCGATGAGCACTTAACGTGGCCATTCCGGCGATGATCTCCACGTCGCAGAAGCGCGACTGCTCGCGCAGCTGGTTGAGATTGGAGAGGACCTTGAACGGATACTGGGCGTTGCAGTAGGAGGGTAGATTTGTGCGCTGGCTGACCGCCGTGGCTCCCAGTCCCAGATTCTGGCCAAAGAAGTCACCATCGCCGCTGGTGGGACTCTGATTGGCGTTCTGATTGGCATTCGCATTCGGACTGGGATTGCCATTGTATTCGTGGTGTATCTGGTATGTTTTTAACGGTGGCATTTCGTGTGTTCTGCGGCTATGCTGCCTTCACTTTTTAGGGACAGATCGGAACTCGCCTTAATAAATGCACTTTTCGGGGGCAACAGCTCAGCTCAGACTTTTCACATCCAATTGTTTGGCTTAATTAAACTTAATTGCTGCACTCTGCACAGTTCATCCGTTGTTGTTGTCCGTTCATTTTTCTCCAATCAGAAAGCGAGCACACACACCCACTCCGCAACACAGATGCCAGCAGGCAAATGGAGTTAGCATTTCACGAATAGAAACAACCGAAATCAGTTTTTTATCTCTTTCCCCATTACAACGAAACAGATAACTTAACAATTACAAACTGGCATATTTCTTTAACTTTTCAATGCACTTTTGTATGTGCTGACCCAGGTAGTAGAGCTGGGCTAACCACCCACCAGAATATCGATATCGATAAGTTTCAGTTTCGATAGTACGCGATAGCGGGTAACGGAATATATTGCTTTTACAAAGTTTTGTATGACTCTGAATGTCGATATGAATGCGCATTTAAATTGTATTTTGGTATACTTATATAAGAAATGTATTCTTAAGCCTTTTGTTCGTTTATCCAAGCTGTTTTGCAAAGCTGCCTTCTGCTATGAAACAAAAAATTAATTTTTGAAGCATATTTTGTTAATTTTTTTGCAAAATGAAGAAAATGTTCAAAACACACATTATATTTCCTAAATTGACAATCTATTGAATATTTTCTTGAACACATCTCTACCAGGTAACGGTGTGACCATTGCTTGATTACAGGAATATGATTGCCGATAATTTATCGGCCACCTCTAACTTGTTGTTATTTAATTTTTAATTTTACTGGATTTTCAATGAAAAATCTCATAAAATGCTGACGCGTAAATTGCTAAACCTTCGTCTCGGCCACCTGGCACGCCGGTGGACAAGCACAGACCCCCTAAGCATTCAAAATGAGAAGCTGCAGGCATATTTGGAGTCCTTGCGCCAGGAATACTATGCTGTCCGTGTTAATGCCGCTGGAAACAGCAAATCTTACGCCCGTCTCGCTCAGTTAGAGGGCGTGGTCAGTGCCTTGGAGCAACGACGAGTCCTAGAGCGCCACATTACGAGTGCCAAGGACATGGAACTAGAGAAGGACGAGGATATGCGCCAACTGATGCAGGAAGAGAATGAAGTCTATGTGGATCTGCTGGGCAAGCAGGATCAAACTCTTCTGCAAGAACTGCTCACCCTGTCAGATGACGAAGTGTATACGGCGCTTATCTTCGGCCTGAATGCCGGCGCCGGTGGCCAGGAAGCCATGCTGTTTGCCCAGGAGCTGTACGATATGTATACCGGCTTTTTCGAGCACATGGGCTGGGAGTGGGAGGAATTTGCCAGCGAGTCCACCGACATTGGTGGCCTGCGTCATGCCAGCCTGATGGTGACCGGCGAGGACGCCTTCCGCTGGTTACGCTACGAGGCGGGCGTGCATCGGGTGCAGCGCGTCCCGGCCACCGAGAAATCCGGACGCATGCACACTAGCACCGCCTCGATCACCGTGATTCCGCGACCAGCTGACATCCAGGTGCACATCGCGGAGAAGGATCTGAAAATCGAGACTAAGCGGGCGAGTGGCGCTGGGGGCCAGCATGTGAATACCACCGACTCGGCGGTGCGGATTGTCCACCTGCCGACCGGTTTGGCGGTGGAGGCGCAATCGGAACGCTCCCAGTTAAAGAACCGGGAGCTGGCCATGAAGCGCCTGCGTTCGCGACTCGTGCAACAGCAGCTGGAGAGCACCGAGGCCAGTAAAATGGCCACTAAGAAAGCACAACAGGGAAGTCTCAATCGAAACGAAAAGATTCGCACCTACAATTTCGTCCAAGACCGGATCACGGACCACAGGGTTCAGGGCGGCACGCTGCACAACCTCGATGGTTTCCTAAAGGGCGGCGAACAACTCAGTGGACTCATAGAAAAGCTACAATTAGAGCACCGAAAGGAACGACTGAAGGGCCTGTTGGAAACGTGGCAGCCGCCAAAGGAGGCTATTAAGAAAAACTAGAGCTCCATGCTTGTTATTACATTTATACGCTTGCGATTTAAAAGTAAATTACGTCTGATTAGACATACGAAATCAGAGAAAAATTCATATCTATCAGCTTTTGGTTTTTCATACTAATATTTTTTGAACATAATATTTTATGGTAACTTACAAGATTGAAGAAAAATTCGAATGATTTCTAAAGTTCACTCGTTCGTGTGACTTGTGAGTCTTATTTGTTTGTAAAGGGGAACAATAGAAGAACAATGAAGTCATGGAAGGAAACTACTACTTTATTTCAACAAACTCTGGCCCAATCGGCTGCACTGCCCATGTGTAGCAGGTGTTCCTTGACTGCCGCCTCCAGTATATCTCGGATTTCACGGCAACCGGCCATCGCTGTCTCGATGACGGTCTCCAAATGGTCAATGTGGAACCGCTCGCTCATCTCAAGAAAGGCGATCTTCTCGGCTGTGGGCAAGGCAGCTACGGTCAGCTTGGGTCCGCCGGATACCTCTTCAAAGTGCGAAATGTCCGTTAGCGGGATGTTCGACTTGCTCAGTGAAGCTGTGCAGGCGACAATGAACTCGTTCAGGCATATTCCGGCATCGATCAAGGCCAGAGTGGCCGCGTTCAGGGCCACCGCATAGTTGGCTCCGTCGGCCTGGAGCACTTCCACGTATATGTCTATCTGGGAGCGGGGATACAACTCCGATTTGATAGCCGCACTGAGTGCCTGCTGCAAATACATCTTGAACTCCAGAGATTTGCGATCGCCTCGCGGCCGATTCTTCCGCTCCGCCGTGGAGAAAGTGGCCTGGCTGTATTGACAGTTGATGATCACATCGTTGGATTCCGTTTTTTTGCCCTTGGCTTGGTGAGGTCCATAAACGGCGGCCAGGACCTTGGTGTTGCCCTGTTCCATGTAGGCACTTCCATCGGGCTGCTCAAAGACGCCCAGTTTGCACTTGATGTGGCGCAGCTCATGCGGACGACGTCCGTCCAGTCGCAGGCCCTGCTCGCTAAGAAGCTCAAAGTTACTGGCCATCTGGGGCTTTAAAAATTAAATTATTTTCAATATAAATAAATAACACACGTGTGGAGCGGTTTGTTTACAATTTTCGGAGTGCTGGAAAATGAGGAAAAGTCAATACATTTACAGTGATGAAAATACCAAAATATTACTTTCTAGGTACCTACCTTGGTAACATTTTTGAGTACACTTTACTTAGCCTTTTAGTAACGCTGTATATATATATTTCACTTAGTAGATTTGTTTACAATAAATTTTTACTTTAATCGATTTTCTACGTTACATAAGATACTGTTAAAAAATACTGATGAATTATATTAAATTGCAAATGTTTGTATTAATTAAGCTGTTTAAATTCGATGAGCACCCCTACTATTATACTTTTGACATTTAACAACACTTGTAAAAATCGTAAGGTAATCGATTTTCGATTATAGCACAACGATAATTGACCGTATAAGTGGCAACTCTAAAAAATATATAAATAGCTGCGAGTGCAAAATATCTGTATTTATGGGAATAAAATAGTTAAATATTAGCTAATTATTGTGAAAAAGAGTGCTTGCCAGCACCACAAATCCGCACAATGTCAAAGTCAAGTGCAGGTGAGTTAACATCTATGTCAAAAAGCGCTCAAACAGAGCAGACGCTTCCGAGTGATCGCAAAACAAAAATAAAAACCCACAAGAATTCTTTGAAAATAACCGATTTATTTCCGAATTTCGCAGCACGCTGGGTAAAGTTCTTCAATGCTGCGGGAATTCCATCTCCAGCGGCAGCCGGCTACGCACACGTCTTCGTGGAGAACCGCATCCAGGACGACATGCTGCTGGATCTAAACAAGGAGTATTTGCGGGAAATGGGCATCACCCTGATGGGTGACATAATTGCTATCCTGCGGCACTCAAAGACCGTCTGCGAGCAAAATGCCCGGGATCAGGTACTCACCACGGATGTGGTCCAACCAATTGCCCGACCGGTGTCGCCAAAGGTCAAGACGCCGGTGGCCACCAAATCGAAAGCTTCTCCGCCCGCCAAACCGGCGAGACGAGTGCTTCCTGAACACGAGGGCAAGTACAAGGTGACACTTCCCTCGGGAACCACTGAGCGCAGCAAACAGATCCTGGCCAAGCGGGAGAAGCGTAAGATTAATGTTTACCCAACTTCTAAATCTGAAATTAACTCTTTCTGGTAAACTTTTCAGTGTACTCCGATCGTGTTAGCAGCTCCAAGAAGTCGGACATCTTCTCGCGACTTCAAACTGGCGAGGACGAGTCCCAGGAGGGTATCGTCTCTAGCTCCGGCGAGAGCAGCGTTCGCGTGCACATCACTGGAGTGTCAAAGGTGGCAGACACCTCTAGCAACAATTCGGTATTCGCCCGACTTGGCGGCAAACAGTCTAGCTTGCCTAAGGATTTAACTCTAAACAAGGAAATTAAATCGATCCTTAAGAACACACAACGTTCGGTGGGCGGAGGCGTCACCAAGAACTCGCCCATTGTCAAGGCCAAGAAGGTGGCCACATCCGCTGTGCCGCAGCAGAAGGTTATGCTCGTACACAAGGTACCTCTAAAGCGAGGCGACGATGAAGACGACAGCATGGATGATTTTGGAAGCGATGAGGATGACTACGCCTCCACAGGGGAAAGCGAAGACTTCGAAATGGGGTCCGGCGAAAAGATCGTAAAGTTCGCCTCAACAGCGGAGGTTCGTGAAATAGCACCCGAGACGTCCTACAAAGCCAGGAATGGCAAAAACTTTGCAAACATAAAATCGAGGCTGGGTATGGGTATGTTTGAATAAAAACTCCTGAGTAGTAATTAATTAATGTATTATCACATCCTTAGTATCCAAACTTCATGCCACCAAGAAGACCTACAACTTAAAGGCATCGCCATCAAAGAAGCCGCAGGGTCGCCTTAGTCCAGTTAAGGGCAAGGTCATCCGGATGCGCAGCGACGAGCTAATGACGCGCCAGGACACGCTGCCCGTCCACAAAAGGCTGGGCAGTAACTCGTCTTCCGCCCCCATCAGAGCTCCGCCAGCAGTACCGCACCGTCAGCAGCGACTAGAGCAGCGACCAGAGCAGCAGAAGAAGAAGTATATCCCGCCAAGGCGGTACAATAGCATGAATGCAGGCCATAACAAGCCACGAGATCAATCTGGATCCGTCTTTGACCGCCTAGGCTTCAATAATTCAATGTAAAATATAATTAATGTGACCCTCATAAATTGTTTTAAGTTCAAAAGCCCCTAATTAACTTTGTCAGTAAATGTTCGAATTCAATCAGCAATCTGTTTAAAATTTATAAAAGGGGTAGAAAATGGTCAGTAGAAGTTTCTAGAATTTTAAAAAAAAAGTTTAATTTTATAAAATCGACAAAAAATTTATTTATTTTAGAACTTAGGGAAATGGGGGAAAAATAGTTCAGTTGACTTTGTGTCAATGATGCCAGTTAGAAATATAGTACCAAGGTTTCTATTTAGCACAAAGCCCATTTGCTTAGTTCCCCCTGTATGCATGAGAAACTATAAGCTTTAAGTTTACGATTTAAAAATGATTTATTATGTTTTAAATTAGAGTTATGTACAATTACGCTAGGACTTTGATTTCGTTCATAATGTACAATCTGTCGGCGGTTACTTAAAGGTCTATATCACTGGTTGCTAGGCAAATCACTCCGTTCAGAATCTATTCATTTTCTTTGTCAGTCTTCAACACGATGCTTATTTTTGTAGCAGCGCCTGGAGGGCCTGTTTCCATTCCAGGGGCCAGGTGTTGGCATCCGGATTTATGCTCAGTAGTTGGCGCATCTGCAGCACGGCCCGCTGCTTTTGCATTATGTAGGCGTAGGCCTGGTGATTCAAAACCGGCGAGTGGGTAATAGGATGTTGGGTAACCGAATATTGGGTAGCCGGAAGTTGTGTCATTGGAATTTGGGTAGCCGAAATTGGATGTTGCTGCTGCTGTGGTGGTGTTGTGGGCGGCGTGGGAGGCAGTGAATGGTGGTGCAAATGCTGGTGCTGCTGGATTTCCCGCTCCGTCTCCTGGCGACGTTTTCGGGGAGTATTCTCGCTGAGGGCGTATGGTCGGAAAAGAGGCGTGGCTGCGGCTGTGGGGGCAACCTCCTTTCCGCTCTTCTTGCCAAACTTTTTGTGCGTATAGGCCGAAGTCTTGAACTTTTTGTGCGTGTAGCTCTCGATAACTTTTGAATCGTTGTGGTAATCCATGTTCGAAGGTGCCATGATTGCTATTTGTAGATCTCAAGTTTGAGTTTCGTGATTGTAAAGGTGTTTTCTCGACGGCTGTTAAGGCTCGACTGTTGCTCCTGCCGCTGCGCAACCCGGCTTTTATACCCTCGATATCAGATGTCCTACCTGAAATTATCATTAAGGCCCACTGCGCCTTGTTTATGGGAAAATCTTCGTTGACAAAAGGTTAGCATTGCCGTAAGGAGAAAAGGATTTCGGCAACACCTATACTACCTGCGACCGACTACCTGCTCGCCCGAAAGTCCTTTGTAATTAATTTTTCATTTGCTGCAACGGGCTCGCACCTTCTTTTGTCTCTCCCAGGTCTGTCCGGTTTTTCTTGGAATTTTCCCCGATGCGTTTCTCGAGAACAATCTTATACCTCGAGATCTTCCAGCGCCTGCGCTTGCCATTCTTTGATGATGGTCGCAAGTTGCCTCGACGCATCGGAATTTTAAATCTTATCTCGCTTACCGCTAATCTGGCTCATTACGTTCTGGTCCTGGGTATTCGGGGATACCTTCAAGCAAATGCCAGCCGCTTCTTAGTCACAATGGTCATTGAATGGAAATTTATTGGGATTTTCCCGAACTGTTGCGTGTGTGCTCGCTCTAGTCCGTCAGAGGGATTTATTTCGTAGTATCGTATAGCTTCTTTTCACGTTTATTTTATTTTCCAGCTTGAGTTCTTCATCATTTATTGATCTACGCGATTAGACAGATTCGATTTGTTTTTTCTAGTTTCATATAATTGGTTAGTCATTAATAAATTGATCAATCAAATTATTTTACTAACGCATGTGTTTTCATCCAATAAAATAAAATTTTTTAATTCAGTATTAATGGTCAAATGTATTGTGAAAATACATTCTAAAAAAGAAACAGAGAAGTAACAAAAGTTTTGAAATAGTCTTGGTTTTCAAAGACGCGAGTCTTTTTTTGTTTCTCAGAACTAGATACATCTTATAAAAATAAATCAAATTATAGTATTGATATTTAATTTAATTTTATGGAGTTTGTTTCCCATGTCGCCTGTATTTTGTATTATTAAAGCTATATGTAAGTGATTGCAGTTTCCCATCCACCAAACTGTTGATTCAATAGTTTTCCATGTAACATATAATTGTATCACCGGTGAAAGCACTTCCTGGTAGGGTATTGTCAATTTTTTACCAAACTAAGGTCATTCCCCCTGCAAAAAGGAAACACCTTCGAGGACCCCATGCAATCGATTCTTTCCGTTCCAGAACAGATGGAAATTGATCAACACAATAAAAGGAAACAATCAAACAATGCGACAATCTTTCACTGTAATACTTCAACTGAACAAATATCAACTCATACTCCTGCTCCTGCTTATTGACTTTGGTTTTTCTGAGGGCTGGTCTCAAGCCCACCTGAAATAAATCCGCTTAGGCGGAGGAAGGTATCGGTGAAATGTGAGAACCAGTCAGTTCTATATACGTTCTCTGACTGCATAAATCAATGGACAAAAGGCATTGAATGAAACGAAAAATCCGACATAATGCCAGCAGACACGAAACAGCCATCAGAAGGAGCATTCAGTAATTGCCGGGGTTCTAGGATTTGGACCGACCCACAGAGACAGTTTTTCAGCTGGCCGAACTGAAGTCATAAATGCTTGTTTTTCGGCACTGCGTGTCTGCTATTCAGGTGCCACAAAGAAAGCCGAAACAAAAGCGGGCCGGCAGACAGCCTGGCCGAATTGAGCGCCAGGATTACAGAGATCCTGGCTCGAGATCCCTTGCTGACGCTCCGTTCTCAACAGGTAATTCCGCCGAAAATCTCCGGCCATGTAAACAGACGGAGGAAGGACAACAACTGGTTTATGACACCCTCGAATGCAATAGAGCGGACCGAAAAGATTGCCAGCCGGCGGATTAGGGACTCCCTTTCTCAATTCAGGTAACAGATCGATTAGTTCGGGCCAACTCGCGGGAATGAATGAACTGCGTTGGGGAAATACCTGTCCCAGGTACCTGGTGGAAATAGCTCATGGTCCTTGGGATTTTGGGCAGCCCGTTTTGTGGGAGGCTGTGTGATTACCTAGTGTTGCATAAAAATGGTCGCCAGGAGGAGGGGCAGCACAGTCGTCTCAAAGACAGCAAAGCAAACACAGCTCCCTCACAACAATCAATTAATCAGAGATAGAAGAATGGATAACTATAGCCACAAGAAATTCACCGGAGCACTGAAGCGGAAGCGCAGCCAGGATGGGGATTCCGATGATGATGTGGTCTTCGTCATGGAGCAACAGCCAGGTCAACGTACTCCGGAGCAGCCCCAAGCCAAGCGTCGCTTCTTCCGCCCCTGGTTGGATGAGTCCGCGGAGAAGGAACAGCCACAGCCGCCTCGTAAGATTGCGGCCACACCCCCGCAAATGGATGCCACCTACCACGCCAATATGGTGCGCAATCATCACCAGCGTCGCCATCGCAGTCCCAAGGAGCAATTGCGTCGGGATCGGAACACGTTGGCCAGTCTGCGCCACCGGCGATCCCAGCAGCAACAACAGCAGATCATCGAGCAGGAGTACCTGGCCAGTCGGATCCAACATGAGGCCAAGCTGCAGCAGCAGATCCGCCTGAGCCTCTACTACGTGCGCTTCCTGCAGCAGACTATGGCCTCCATGGAGCCACTGCCTCCCACGCAGCCAAAGCAGATGCTCCCGCCCCAGAAGACCACCACCCAGCATCCTTGATGGGTGACCCCTCGACTTGGCGCCGTCCAAGCGCTCTAAATTATTGTAAACTAGCAGAATAGCCTTGTGATTACTTTTAAAGTTATATTTATTTATTTGGTTGACTAAACAATAAACACAAAAATTGTTATCAAAATTATTTTATCTTTTTATTGAACAATGATTTCATCGCTTTCGGGGTACTAAGATTTTTCCTTTATTCTATTTTTTAACTTGCCAAGTATAAACAGAATCTTAAAGCTGCATGAAAATTACATCACTACGTCTATCTTTTCTCTTCAATCTCGTCAATCTTCGTTTGAAAATCCCACTAGATCGGACGACTTAGCTTTAAGATATATGTATCTGCCAAAGACCAGGAACAATTAATTCAATATTCTTATGCTTGATTTGTCTAATATGTTATGTTCGTACCTGATGGTTATATTCACTATGGTCCAATACACATTAACATGCAAATATTTATGGAAGCAAATAAAGTTGTATCGATTGACGGTATCCTATGGCATAGTAAAAGAATAAATTTGAACTTTATTATCTGAATAATCATTTCATAAAATGAAAAATCATTTCATAAAATGTAGGTTTGCCATTTTAAATCTTACAACATGTAGATTTCATAATTATTCATCGGAATAGAAAGCCTCGAAAAAAGAGCAACGTTTTTTGTAACGGCTATTAATGTTTTATTTTAAAAGTAAAAATAATCAATTTTAGGATCCATTTCAAGATAATTGGTTAGATTGGTTTAGTCCTATTAGCAGAATAAATTTTTTTAATTGAAATCATTTGCTTGATGCCGATTTATTATGGACCGAAATTACCGGAAGCAGAGTCGCACAGAATTACTTCACTAAGTTCATATACATTATTCAACACACAATTATATAATCAAATTCTTGGAAGTGTAATTAGCAATGCTAATTTAAAATAAATACTAAAGTAGATATAAGTACACATATGTACATGAAGTAATGCAAGTGATTCATACTCAGAGAAAAATGGGTTTCCAATAGATATAACTCAAGTGTCATAGTATAGGAATAATATACCTATTTATTTTAGATAATTTCTATTATTTAATTTATAATCAAATCCGCATTGCAAACAAAGTAATGTGATAATAAGATCCGCCTTTGTGGATTTACAAAAATGAAATCATCCTATTACGAAAGTGATGAAAGCTGAGATTAGTGTTTATTGGAAAAGAAAATAATTAACCCTACTGATTGATTTAAGCTGCGGTTACTTGTCCTCCAATGTAACTATTTTCATTAATACAATTCACAAGTCACATCTGGCAGGAGTTTCAAACGGCATTTCCTAACCAGGGATCAGGTCATTTTTCTTGTCATTCTTCAAGGAAAGTGTTTGCAAAAGGACCCTCGAGAATTTCCAGAGAACTAAAACAAATTGTGGCAGTGAAAATAGGAGCCATGGGACCACACGCACACTCAACAAATTGTGTCATGCAGGTCAATAAAAAACCCTTAGTCTGCATAACAGTTGTTCAGTCCAGAACTTTCCTGTTCCGGTGGCTACCCTTGGTCGATAATCCAGGTAATCCACAAAAAAAGGGATAATGAGGCAATGCTGCGACGGCAATTAGTGCAGGTCATAAAATAGTGCTTAATCCACAACGATTACCTAACGCGGGATGCGCTAATCCCTTTGTTGACAGACCCAAACAAACGGATTCCCCTTGTGGCTACCTGTGATGCCAGCCTATATGTCCATATAAACAGGATATCAATCCCAGAGCCAATCATTCAGCAAGCGATCGTCCAACGAGTCACTTCATTAGTGAGCAGCATTATTGCAGTGATATTAGTTGAGCTATAACCAAATATATACCATTAATTACAAAATGGAGAACACACCAAGCTATACCCACAAGAAGTTCGCTGTGAGCAAACGCAAGCGGGATTTCGACCAGGACAAGGAGAACTTCACACATCAGTTGGAGCAACCGATAACCAAGCGGCGCCAGACTCAGGGATTCTTCCGACCCTGGTTGGACAATGAGCAGAACCAGCAGCAGGAGGCAACCCCATCCGCCCCAGTGCAGAAACCAAGTGGCCAAGGATCCCCAGTCAGCCAGTACCATGCCAACATGGTGCGTCGCAGCCAGACGCAACGCCAGCGAAGCCCCAAGGAGCAGATGCGTCGGGATCGGAACACCTTGGCCTGTCTCCTCAGTCGGTGGGCCAAACAGGCGCAGGAGGAGCAAGTGGGTCGGCAGTACGAGCAGTACCGTAGCCACCATGCCGCCATGCTGGAGCAGCAGATCCGCCTGAGCCTCTACTACCGCCAGATTCTCCAGCAGGCGGTGTTCCAGCGAGCCATCACCCCGGCACCTGGTCATGTCCTGCCCCAGCAGCAGCAACAGTTCCTCCAGCAGATGGCCCTGTCCCAGCAGATGCTCATCTTTGGTGGCCAGCACTGACGCCCCAATCGAACATCATAATCAGCGACTATGGATAGCCCAAACATGTGATCTAGTTTATTAAGCCTTTACTAATTTATTGTTGACTTTGAAATAAAAATAAGCATTTAATGAAAATTACCAGTTTGTCGTCTTTCTGTATTTGCAACTTCTAATCAAAAGATCAGATTAATATTAATCTGTTTAATATGTATTAGAAAATGATAGTCATTCAAAGTGTTATTGTGGTATTGCCCAATACTCGTAACATTATGATAACCACAAACTTTTCAGGTTTCTTATTTTATAAGCCTCTTTAAAATCTTGAGTTCATTTTATTCAAAACCATTTTCTCGCAATTTGAATGACATTCATTACTATGGTTAGGCATAATAGTTAACTCCATAAATCTTGGAAACGCTTTACAATGAGTAGATTACCACCCCACCCTTTCATGGATATTTCCCAGAAAAGCCAGTACCCAGCAAGGTTCAACTAATTGATGTCTAACTAATTTCCATGGCGTTCTCGTTTCGCGGCAGTTTTCGCCAAGGTTCAAGCCCACACCCAGAACAATATTCTTTGACTGGGTCGTGCTTTTGCCATCGCCTTCAACGAATCGGGCAAATATTGACAGAGATCGGATGTGGAGATATAGCCGAAGTCCGACAAGAGATTTTCGAGCTCGCCAAAGCTTCAAGTTCAATTGGGCAGCGAAACAGAGTTTTGCAACCGCAAAACTTAAAGCGTCGAAGTGCAATTTTCAATGTTAGGCCAGCCAAAAAGCCAAAAGAGCTGGCCAAAGCAGAGTTAAAAAAAAAAACTGACAATTAACTGAAATTGATGTTGGCTGTATGGTACAAGTGCAAAGTGGTTTACTGGGTTGTAGTGGCCGCGACGGAAATTTTCTGCACTTGGATTTTCCATAGGAAGTTGGCCCGCCGCAGTACTATCAATGAAAATTAAAAGTAATTAACTGCGCTCACAGCGATTGCGCAATGGCAAAAGAGTTAATTATGTGGAGGGGAATTCCCCTTCAGGCCAAACAGTCGAATTTAGTAAAGCTCTTGTTTTTCACTCACTGATTCAGTTGGCTGCACTTTCGGCGGGAGTGCTCAAAGCCAACATAAGTTTTGTCCATGCCTTTATGTTTTCTGCATCTCTACAGGTGAACTTCCTTGTAGACCGTTGATTTTCTACTTGGTTAGACATTATGCAAGTTGGGTTGGCTGAGTTAAGTAGAGTGAAAGCATTGGAAAATACCGAAGACTGCAACTTAGTTATGCTAGCAGAAAATATTAATTGTACCCTTAATTGGTTTGACCTCATTCTTTTAAATTTGTGTATTTTTGAAAAGCCTCAAAACAATTCATCACTTTTTTTCCGTCGAAAAAACCAAATGTTTTTCAACTGATAAATTTATATACAACAATGTATAAATATTGTTATGAAAGACTTCAGAAATATTTTAAAAGCATTGGGAAGGTCAATAATTGTTAAAAGTAGTTTCAAAAAAATAAAACTCTTTTTAAGTTTAGCATACGATAGCAATCATAAAAATATTATATTGATCTCCAATTCCATTTCCAATTCCATTACTTATTTTGAATTAAAAATTTAATTTTGAAATATTAAATTTATAAATAAGATCAATTTGCCAATACTTTTAACTCAACAAAAACAAATCCCCTTACTATCATTTATTAAAGAAATTCTTTCAAGTACGTTGACATATTTATAAGTATAATTTTAAAGCCGAGTCCCAACGATGTTCCGGAATCAGTATGACAGCGATACGACGGTGTGGAGTCCGCAGGGCCGCCTCTTCCAGGTGGAGTACGCCATGGAGGCAGTGAAGCAGGGAGCGGCTACGGTGGGATTGAAGAGCAGTGACTTTGCAGTGCTCATCGCCCTGTGTCGCACATCGAAGGACACGAACACGCTGCAGAGGAAGATCATGCCGGTGGATGCGCACGTGGGGATGTCGATATCCGGATTGACGGCGGATGCCCGCCAGGTGTGCCAGTACATGAGGACCGAGTGCATGGCCTATCGGCACTCCTACGACTCGGAGTTCCCCATTCGCCGTTTGGTGGCCAATCTGGGCAACAAGCTGCAGGCCACCACCCAGCGATACGATCGGCGTCCCTATGGAGTGGGAATGCTGGTGGCGGGCTACGATGAGCAGGGACCGCACATCTTCCAGGTGATGCCCACGGCCAATGTCCTCAATTGCAAGGCGATGGCCATTGGAGCACGTTCGCAGAGTGCCCGCACCTATTTGGAGCGGAACATGGAGGATTTCGAGGGCTGCACCATGGACGAACTGATCTGTCACGGGATTCAGGCCATTCGAGGATCTCTGGGCCACGATGATAGCTCCAATCTCACCATCAATGTGGCCATCGTGGGCAAGAACCTACCCTTCAAAATGTTCACGGATGCCGAGAACCATATCTATCTTACTATGGCCAAAGTATTGGGTCAACCTTTGTCAGGGGAGCAAGATGCTCTATCTGAGGGCGGAATGAGCGATGATGAGATGCTGGATCAGGGACCAAGTGGCAGTGGAATGCCGGGCAATGGTGCATCCGATGCTGACATCAATGCCTCCTCAAGTGGCCATTAGGCACTCTAATCAGATTAGATTTCGCTTAAAAAGTATAACAAATTGTTTGTTTTGTTAAAAATATTATTAAAGTTTTCTGGGCATTATCAATATTATTATACTTTTTTTTGGGATTCTTAGAAATAATTTTATTGATTGATCGGAAATGCCATAACTTTGGTGTTTGTAAAGTTAGGAAGCTGGGATTTTCTATGGGTTTTATATTTGGCCAATCAGTCCGACCTACCAAATTTTACCAACCATTACGGTAAATTACGATTACCGTTTTATTTAAACGTCAACTTTACCGTTTCATCACCTTAAAGCATATAAATATAAGAAATAAACTTAATTAGCAATATATTTATTAACTAATTTATAAAATCATAGTTCACCAGAACCTTGCTTCGTTAATTTATAAAATATCTGATACGACTGGGGTGTAGGTATTTCTTTGGGAATACTGATACGAGTTACGTTTACTGGGTTACAATAAAAGATAAGAGATTGAGGGATAGCCGTGTAACAATGGTATTTTAACTTAAATGATAAATTGCATAGTTATTACATGAATTTAATCCAAGACTTGACGGATCTGAAAATCCTCTAGATTTTCTTGTGGAATAAGGCGCAATTTCTGATCGTTGGCCAAATGCAGAACTGCAAGAAAGGCCACTGATGGTGACAGCGAATCGGCCACTTTGGTGGTTAGTAGGTTGGGAAGCTTGGTGTACACCTCCTGGAAACTTGCCACACCCTTTGAATAGTGTTCGTTCTTTTTCTTTGGATGCGAAGGTATCGTCTCCTCAGGGACATCTGTTAGCAATTGCTTGTGTATGAGAGAATTGCAGCACTTTTTCAGGCTCTTCATGTCTATCACCTTGGCTCGCTTTGCGAATGGAACAGTACCTTTGGAAACCTGAGAAGGCGCACCCACGAACTCTGTGCCAATCTCGAAGACTGTGTTATTGCAGGTGGCATTCATTTGGGTAAGACCCATCTCGCCCGCGTCCACATCCATCATGCCTTCGGCCCCTTGTTCGGCGGCAATCGCCGCAATAACGCTCACGTTGGCGGGAACGGCGTCGGTGAAGTGCTCGTTGTTGAATAGCTCCTGATCGTTGTCTTCATCGTGATAGATGTCAGCTCCCATGTCGATGCCAAGATCTCCGCCCTCGTCCGAATCAGGCTCCCCCGCACGCTGCGATACCTTTATGCTAGGCGCCGATTCGTATTTGAAGAAATAGTCTGGGTCCAAGTTGAATTTGGTGGGCAGTATCAGTTTGCAAGAGTCCCACTTCTTCTCGAAATTTACGCGGCGCTGCCTAATCGATGTATCCAGTGGTTGAAAGAAGTTCTCCGTCACATTGCCGTAATCTACTGCCTTGGCACGACGATTGGCGGTAAGATGCGTCGATTTCTTTGGTCGCTGACTGCGAACGGGCTGAGCATCCGCCTGACCAGTGGTCTGGGTAAATGTACTGTGCGGTCGGGTGCGCTTGAACTTCCAGTGGGAGGGTCCAGCCCAAAACTGGGAGATCTGCTCCATTGGCCTGTATGAGTACTCCAGCTTGGAGTTTCCATCTACCGGTCGCAAGTCCTCGATGAACTCTGCCTGCTTCCCCAGTCGGCGGCGATTGTTGATCACCATTTGCTCCTCGGTGGTGAGCTCTTCGATCTCATTGGAGTTCACCTCCATGACCAGGGGCGGTGGTCCATCCAAGTCCGGCATGGGTTCACTCTCGGCATTGATGTCGAAGGCCATGGATATCTCATTTATTTCATCATGCTGGTCGTCATCCAACGTGGGCCTTGCGGGCTTGTCTTTCGACGCCGTAGGATTAGGTGCACTTGTGAGGATGTAGCCCGTGTGCAGAGGGCGCAGATTCAATCTTTCAGCATTGTTCAGAGGTTTGCGCATCCAGGCGCAGCCCACCAGCGCCTCAGCTGGCCACTCTTCCATGTCTGCGTTTAGAGTAGTATGATCCTGGATCTCCTCGGTGGACTCTTGACTGTCCCAGAATCTGTAGGTTGTGCGCAGACGCAACTCGGAATCTAAACTGGGTAGAATATTGTGCATCAGGCGATTTGATGCGTTGATGGAGCCCACTGTAGAGTTTAGTTTGCCAAAGACAGGATCCTGCAGAGGTGCCGTATCCAGGCGGCTATTCAGCGTGTCCTTGTTCTTCGTCACGGTGGACACATTCTTCTTTTGTCTTTTTGGATTGGGTGCAGCTTCTTTTTGGGCCTGTTCCGCCGCATTTTGCCCTTCACCAGCCGTGAGAGTGCGGGCACTTAAGCCAGCTGAAATGCGCATGGCATCCAGGTAGATGGAGTCCACCCGCAGTCCGTAGACCTTGGAAGAGGCCTCCAGCGAAGATCCCGCCATCTTGAAATTGCCAATCCGCTTGTGATGGTGCTCCAGTAGATTGGCTAGCGAATCGATGAGCGTAAGGCTCCAGGCGTTGTCCTTGCTCAGCTTATTGCCATTGTATATCTCCAGGCAATTGCGGATGGTTTCGTTGTCCTCGATGGACTCCTGGGTACTTTGGGTCATTTCGATGGATTCCTTGGATCAACTTTCCGGATAAATGTTAGGAAACAGGAAATCCGGAACTTCTAGCAAAGAAAAATAAGGTTAGTGACTAGTGTTTCTAGGCCACCCTGGTCAGGAACAGGTTTCTTTTAACAGGCAGCGAAATTTTACAATTTTCGACAAACGTTCGTTTTTTCACTATATCGTTATTGTTATGCTTATTACTTTAATTTATTATTAAGGTATAATATTATTTATTTCATTAGGTCGACAAAAACGTATGTTTTCGGGCAAGAATTCTCAGAATGTTAATTCTGTTGCAAAAGTGCAAAGTCATGGCAGTTTCAGCCGATGTTGCCACATTGTTCTTTTTATACCCTTGCAGAGGGTATTCTAATTTTGGTCAAAAGTGTGCAACGCAGTGAAGGAGACATCTCCGACCCTATAAAGTGTATATATTCTTGATCAGGATCACCTCCTGAGTTCATATAAGCATGTCCGTCTGTCCGTCTGTCTGTTTCTACGCAAACTAGTCTCTCAGTTTTAAAAATATCGAATTGAAACTTTGCACACACCCTTCTGCCCTTTGCACGCAGTATATAAGTCGGAACGGCCGGGATCGGCCGACTATATCCTATAGCTGCCATATAACTGATTGATCGGAAATGCCATAAACTTGGTGTTTTTAATGTTAGGAAGTTGGGATTTTTTATAAATTACAGAATATTCTGCAAGGGTATATATCAACTTCGGCTCCGCCCGAAGTTTATTATTGTAATAATACTATTTTAAATATTCTTACATTCCAATAGAATAAAATCTTTTTTATATACATATGTATGTATGTAGGTGTTACGCAAGTCACAGCCTTAAGCGTGATGAATTCGATTATAATGGCTTACAAAACGCCGTAGTAGCAACTAGCTAAAGTGACCAGTTAGTTAAACTTTAAGTGCGACGATGACAGGTGAGTGATGGACGGGAATAGGAGTAGTGGTAGTTAACTTTTAAGCTCTCATTCCCGTAGTTGCGGTTTCGATCGGCTTACTGTTGTGCCAGTGGTTTGGCCCGGGTGAAGGGTTAATCCCCAGTGAACTTTATCCGGCGGGCTGGCCCGCCCGTCAATATCCCACGGTGCTCCACAAGGCGATTGTGGATGGCGTTTCCAGTAATGAAATACCCGATGGCCTGATGATCGCCCATGACACTTTGACGACAGCCTTTGGTGTCCTACTGGCCAGTTCCAATGGCTCCACGGCGGACGAGATAGCAGAGGCCATGACGGTGCTCTCCAAAGTGACGGGGATCGCGAATACAGAACTAAGTCATCTAAAACCTGTTTCCGATAAGTTCAAGGAGTCCAGCTATACAGGTGTTTATGTACCGCCCCAACTCTATATAAGGGCGGACTATGCGGACAAGATTCGGGACATGGGCGTGGATCTGGTGCCTTCGCTCCCCAACAGCACAATAGAAAGTCTATCGGATAAGCTGTCGACCATTAGCAACGATCTGAAAGACACCACATCTTCCGACGATCTACCTTATATCCTGGACCGGCAGCCCGAAGTCTTCGTTGTGACAGCCGCATCCTTTAAAGCTGTGTGGGCGGATGCAGATTTCCACAACGAGAACCGTCGGATGAGAGAGTTCAATGTGGACGAGCGACGACGCACCTTTGTGGACACACTGTACAGCCTGCCAAAGCAACGACATATAGCCCATCTCCATAAGCTAAGAGCCACCATGCTACTCCTTCCATTGAAGTATAGTCGGGTGAAGTTCATGGTCATATTGCCGGATCGTATCAATGGACTGCATCAAATGGAAAAGGAACTGGAATTTGTGGATCTGCGCAGCTTGCTCGGTGTTAAAATGGACCATGGCAGGTATGATGTTCGGCTGCCCGTGATGAATATCGTTACCAACATTGAGCTGGCCGACAATCTGGGCTTTCTGGGCATCCGAAAGGTTTTCAATCCCAAACAAGCCGATCTCAGTCGGATCACAGGTCAAAAGCAACGCCTTCGGGTGCGCCGATTTCCACATCTGACCCATTTCGAACTGAACGAGCAGGGGATTAATTTTCGGAACTTTGAAATACGTAAGTCGAAGTGTTCAATAAAGTTCTGTGTATTCCTTATTCGAAAAAGTTTAAAACACTATAAGTATCTAACATTTCTATACTGCCTAATTTTCAGAACAATTGTTACTCTAAGAGTAAGAATTGAATTCTCAGAAAATATTAAAAAAAACGTATTTAATTGTTCTACTTTATTTCAACAGAAACTCGAGTTCGACATGATGGTGAGACCCATAACCACTTTTATGCTTCACATCCATTCTTTTTCGCTTTGGTGGACGAGTACAAGGTCTATGCAACTGGTCGATATGGCCAGTTAACTGTTGACCCAGATGATATGTAAATATAGCGAATTATTGTATAATGGTGAAATGCCATTTAAAATATACTTCAAATAGTAAAGGTAAAGGCATGAGATCCAGCTCATGAGATATTGTGCTGGGACTTGGAGGAAACTGGGTATAGTCACATAAAAGCATGATGAAAAGCGATCAACCGCAAACTTTAACTTATATCCATAAGTTAGGATTCATTTGAGACGTTGTGGTACTGACCTATGACTGAGCAGTTTTTCGTCACGGAGTTTGGATAAAATTACTACTAACTTTTTAGAAAATTTAAAACGCATGTGTCTTTTTCTAAGTATCAGTTTTATTTATTAAGAAGTACCTGCTTAAACATAAAGGGCTTTTAAATATATTTAGCATTTTTCGGCCTTAAAATTTCTTGAAGAAACTTAACAACTTAGTATTAAAGTAATACTTAACTATATAATACAATCGTCAAAGGAGGCGTCTTTAAGCGTGCTCCTGCTTAATCCCACCGATCAGGTAGTCGATGCTGAAGTTGTTTTTCGGAGTGGGCTGCGGGTGGTCCTCCTGCTTGACCAGCTCCTTGAGGTGATTCAGATAGACCCTGGCCCGAAGACTCTGCTCGGCGATCTTTAGGTGCTCGCTGGAGCACTCCTTGTACTGCTGTTCGACCTGGAGGTCATCGAACTTCTTCTTCCGCCGACTCATCCGGCAGGCAATGGTGTTCTTGTTCCTGCGCTCCTGATCCTTCGGCGAGCGCTCCTTCTTGGGAAACTTTCGCACCATATTGACGTGGTATTTGAAGATATCTTGGATGGCTTCGGTGATGATCGGGCTGGCCGAATTGTAAGAAACGCTTGAGGATGAGGATCCCAAGCGACGGCGTTTTGGCAGAGGAAGAAAATCGGTGTCTTGGTCACTGAAGCTCTGACTGATGGACTGATCCGCTACGTCGAATGGACTGCGACTGGTGTAGGGTGTGCCGCTCCGGGAGATTAGCTCTTCCTTGAGGAGCAGCTCCTCTTTCTCAACATTTCGACCAACATCGAACTTCTTGTGGCGATAGATCGTTTGATTCTCCATGATAGCTTATGTGTTTTCTTCTCGAAGTGTCTGGATTGACTGCTATCCTGTGGCCTGTAACACTAGTTTATATGGGGAAAATCTTATCTGGCTTCGCTTCATAATCCGCCAAAAGATTTTATTACTTTGTTTACACAAATCGACGCCGAATTTCCTTTTTGCAAAACGAAAACAAAACCATAAAACCGCTTGATTTGCCTGCGCACGCGTACACGCCACCCCATCTTTACCTAAGCCCACCCGTTGGGCATCCCAATCCCAGTTCGAATCCCAATCTGCTCGTCATGTTTGTTCTTGCGTGCGTTCAGTTCGGATCTTCAAATTTACAGACACAATGCCATCCAAGTCAGTAGGTGGCGAAATACGCCCCTATCGATTGTCTGGTTCATTCAATTCGTGTTTGTTCCTCTTTGAAAACTGATAATCTGCAGTCTTTTCCAATGTCGCCGTCTTTTGTTAAAGTCATGGGCTTGGGTTGCTCTTGTTCAATTGGGTTCCATCCCAAATTATTTTGCGGCCTCATTTGTCCAACTCCATTTGTTCACTGCCGTTGATAAGGTGTGTGTGGCACTGATCTTTTGTTCTTCAGTTGTTTTTTTTGTTCTTTATGATCTCGGTTCCTGGAACTTGGAGTGCCAATCCTGGGTTTGCAGTATAGTGCCTAAGATGTTGATAAGATGACTTCTATTTGGGGTTGCAAAAGGGCACTTTCCTCTGCACAGTCTACGTCTTCTGATAAGGTGCGTTTATCTCTCTTGTGCCAGGTCTAGTGATAAATCAACGAATACGTACTTTGTGTATTCATCTTGGCTTGAAACTGTCTCCAAAATAGATTAGATTTGCCAACCGCCTTAGGTAGAAAATTCATTATAGCCCTGCTTGAAATAAACAATCTATTAAATTTTGTATCCCAATGTACACGATTAAATGCTCGTTTGCCTTCTTAAAATGTAACTTCTTAAAATACGATTTGATTGAATTTAACACTTTTCCCTTATGTGTAGAGATGAATCACCTGAAGCGGTTTAGATCTTGTAGTGTCATCGTAGATTGCTTACTAGACACAGGTTACTAAGTAACCACAAATCAAGCACTTTAAATATTTTTGTAAAGTGCACAAACCAGAATTAGCATTATAAACTTATAGATGTTAACACTGCTGGGATGACTTGAAATGTTTGATTTATTTTGTCATTAATCAGTTAAGGGTGTAAACCCGATTTTAGAAAAGCTTATAATTTTCTTTATATTTTAATTCATCGAATTTAGCATACTGTGTAATTTATGAAAAAATAGTATAATATTATTAAGTAGCTAAATTAAATGGAACACAAAAAATATCCTTACCCACCTATGGATGTATATATTATTAATTAAGTATGCTTGTATATATAATTATAATCCCGCTGAAATCCTACTAAGCTATGGCCCCCCTATAGATAAAGTTTGCATCTTTTGTCTGCAGTAAAGAATAAATAAAAGCTATAAAAAATGTTAACCAAAATTTGTATAAACAAGAAAGGAAAGCTAACTTCGGGCGGAGCCGAAGTTGAAATACCCTTGCAGAATATTCTGCAAATTATATTCTCCAAAATTATTCATATGATGCATTTTTAATACTCATAAAAAATCCCACCTTCCTAACTTTAAAAACACCAAAGTTATTTCATTTCCGATCAATCAGTTATATGGCAGCTATAGGATATAGTCGGCCGATCCTTATGAAATTTGGTAGGTCGGATTGATTGGCCAAATATAAAACCCATAGAAAATTCCAACTTCCTAACTTTACAAACACCAAAGTTATGGCATTTCCGATCAATCAGTTATATAGCAGCTATAGGATATAGTCGGCCGATCCTTATGAAATTTGGTACGTCGCATTGATTGGCCAAATATAGAACCCACAGAAAGTCCCAACTTCCTAACTTAACAAACAGCAGAGTTATGGCATTTCCGATCAATCAGTTATATGGCAGCTATAGGATATAGTCGGCCGATCCCGGCCGTTCCGACTTATATACTGCGTGTAAAGGAAAGAAGGGTGTGTGCAAAGTTTCAACTCGATAGCTTTAAAACTGAGAGACTAGTTTGCGTAGAAACAGACAGACGGACAGACGGACAGACGGACAGACGGACATGGCTATATCAACTCAGGAGGTGATCCTGATCAAGAATATATATACTTTATAGGGTCGGAGATGTCTCCTTCACTGCGTTGCACACTTTTGACCAAAATTATAATACCCTCTGCAAGGGTATAATAATTCTAGAAGTAATGAATTAGACACTTAGAATTTATAAAGATGATTTTTAAAATTATAGTTATTGATGGTCGAGTATACTTCCGTACCGTCTTCCACCTTTTAGTATTGTCAATATACGATATCCAGATAATTAAGTGTCCCATTTTAATTACCCTACTGGGAGGAAAACCGGACCAATATCTGGGCACGTTTTCGAGTCACCAGAGCCAAGACTAGGAAACATTTAAAGCGGCTTGGAGGAGCACTTGGGACAGCTGCCGGTAGTAATAGGTAAGTCGGGTCGTAAGTTGGGGTCGCGAATAAGTCAAATCGAATGGCTGGGTGGCTTCCACTTCACGACTCTATGGTGGAATTTAATAATGTCGTTTGTATTTCACTGCTGTCTATTGACTTTTGCATTTGCTTTGTTTTATACAACTGCGACGGCGACGTACTCGTCATTAGTTTCAAGCTATTTTTGTTTTCCGCCCACCGCTCCGCCCCAAAATCCCTATTATTTGCTGATGCCGAGCATCTGTGTTTGCGTCTCTTTTTTTTGCGTTTGCCTTTGCAATTTCGATTTGATTGGATTTGTTTTGTTTTCTTCCCATAAATAAAAGGCCGGCACCCATCGGAGCTCTCAGACGTTGATTCGCATTTGCATCAGCCAGGTTCAACTACCTGTCAGTTCGTAGATAATTTCCCCAAAGGAAAAGTCAATAAAAAAATACAATTTTAAACTGATAAAAATAAATACACATTATTAAAATGGGTCGAATCTTTTGCGCTGTGGTCTTAATTTCAATTTCGGGCCTAAGTCTGGCAGCAGATATTGGAGCTGAATTGCCTCCAGTAGAATTCAAGCCAGTCCGAGAATTGCGTGAGTGTTGACAGTCATTAAACATGGAAAAAAAAACATAATTAATATTAAAATTAATAAATCTAAAAGTTATAGCAACAAAAAAAATGGATTCGAAATTGTAGTGGCTTAATACAAATCATTTGATTGTATTTTGAAAGCATATATTTTAAAAGAATATATATTAAAATCGTATCCAAATGAACCCACTTATTTACAAATAAACATTAATAGTTAATATATTCATCGTATTTAACGATGGTGTAACTTTTAAAAAACGTTTAAAATCAAATTATTTATTTGTCACTTTAGTAGATTTTTGAAACGTATCTACTTAATTAGTGATATTATCAGCTAAATACAAAATTGAAAAATACAGAATAGACTTCGTGATAACAATAATCGTGCGAAGCACGCTATTTTTGTGTGAATTTTATAACAAAGCAATTTAACCATTTTATAGTCAAAGTTCAAACCCAGATTTCCGTAAAACAATAGCATTGCACAATGTTTAATTCAGTGCAATAAATTTTGCCAAATTGCTCACAATCTCTTTTAGAATAAATTTGAATTTAACATGACATATAGTTGCCGACGTTTTTAAGGATCTTTTAATGGGTTGTTCAACCCATATTTAGAACTCTGTAAGTGAGTCGTATAATGAAACAATTAATATTCTACTCTTCAAATCATAACAATAAATATCTCCGTAAGCGGACTAGAAATTTCGAATTAATTCTTATTTATAAGTAGTTATTGTAGAATTATGTAAGTCAAGTAACCTAAAGTACTTTTTTCAATTAAAACAAAGCTATTAATCACTTACTAATTAGGATTTATATTTTTTTTTTTTTTGCTTACTGATTCAAACGTGTTTAGACAATTTAGACCATGACAAACATAAAACTTGGATTGTCATGCCGATAAGTTTTGTCTTCAAACAGAATTAACCAAAAATAAACATAACATAGCCATTTAAATTACCTCATTGTCAAAGCAATAATTGCAAATGCTTTTTTTATACGCAATTTGGTGAGCGAGTCATATATTTTGATGTAGATATAAATACAACATTTTTATGGGGGAATATAAAAATAAAAGACAAGTTTGCTGCTTCAGTCTTTTGTCCGGATTTGTCACTTCCGCTAACGACCTACTCCCAAGGTAGACCAATGGGAAAAGTTTTAATTGCCAGCGTATTCAAACCGAAACAAACTTGAGACGACAGTACAAAACTCTTTTAATTAAATGTAGGAATTTCTGCTAAGCTCGTTGATAAAATCAAATCTAATCAACAAATAAATTGTGCATGACGTTGACAATTATGTGAGCAGCAAAACGTTTAAGCGAACAAAATAAATTCTGAGCTACACACAAAACAAAATGTTGTAGAAACTAAACTATTGTTACATACACTCCAAGCTAATAAGTATGAAAATCAACAACACAAAATAAAAAGAAACAAAACTCGTCGGCTTAGAAATTAAACTATACGAAACTTTTATAACTCAAGCCACTAAAATACGTTTGAGTATTGGAGAAATGGAATTTTAAATTACTACCTATAACTTTAGTTTTTTGTAAAAAAAAACATATTTTTTCGGTGTAGAAAAATGACACGTTCTGAGCATAGGCACATCGATCGTACGCGATATGACTGACGCATATGCTGAACCAAATATATGTCAGGGTTTGTGCGCACTAATTTAATTTGTTTGGCATTCGACAGCTAACGATATACCGACCTGTCGGGAGGGCGACATCAACATCAGCGAGTGCATCAAGCAGGGCCTCCAGCAGATAACGCCACGCATGAAGTACGGCATCAGCGAGCTGAACATCCCGCCCCTCGATCCCTTCGAGATGGGCAAGAGCTCCTATAGCTACAATTCTGGCCTACTCCAGGGACGCATCTCCATGAAGAACGTGGTCGTCCACGGCCTCAGCGAGGGCATCGTGGACAAGGTCGACTTCCGGCTGAAGAACGGTCGTGTCCGCATGGAGATCCTCTCGCATGTCCCACAAATGTTCGTCGAGGGCTTATACAAGGCCGACATCAAGCTCAACGACCTCAAACTCAACCCAAAGGGAAGCTTTAACATTACAATGAGTAAGTAAACCAGTAGAACCAAGAGCAAATTCGTTAGGCTTCTGTATTTTCTAGGGATTTATTAGGGTCCGCTTTTTAGTCTTATACAATCCATTAAGAATGTACGTTTTAATTGTTTTTAATTATTTTCAAGTTTTCCAATGCAATTTGACTGTGTCTACAGATTATTAGGCACATTTGTAGTTGATAGGAAAATTCCACGCGGTTATATTTATATTTATTCACCAAGCGGTGACTCAAGAGTAAACAAGAAAATACCTTTAGTAAATCCAAACCGTCTACTTGGTTTCCTTTCATTTTCTTGACTGCAATGAACATGGTAATATCAGGTATATTGCAAAATCGAAGATATAAGTTAATTTAAGACCACTTTCATTTGATTTAATTTACCTGCAGCTGATGTCACGATGAGGGCGAGACCCATTGGCGAGCTATATGAGCGTGATGGTCACACCTATCTGCGTTTGACTAAACTGGAGACTGAGCCCAAGGTGGGTGACCTGAAATTCTACGCCAACGGACTGGTTCCCGATCCGGTGCTAAGTAAGTGCCTGTCAATCTCGGATATTAATATTCCAACTAAACTCTTAATTTCTGTTTAGACGATGTCATCTTGGATTTCGTCAACCAGTACTGGCGTCAGCTTTATCAGGCCATGCTCCCCGAGACTTTGGCCACCTGGCAGCCCCTGATCTTGAAGTCCACGAATGACTTCTTCGCTGCGTTACCATTCGATATGCTTGTCACCAAGAATTGAGATCCCTGACTTTAATATTGTTATATTATTTATATCCTCCGGATCCATCTGTTTTACTCAAGGTGTTAACATAGTTTGTACCAAAATAAAGATTAAATTACTTAAATTTTTAATGGAATTCGATTTTTCTAACTGTTAAATACAAAACTATCTGACTAAATAATTAAATTATATTTCGATACATTTATCTGCATGGGTTTGTTTGGGCTATATTGTTGGAATGTTTTATATCCCTTTTTTGAACAAATTTTAAAAGTCAAGATTGTTAAATTGTAAATTATTAAAGATAAAATAATTAAAGTCTTGATTGTTATAAGATATTTCAGAGCCTAGGAATAATAGTATACTAACTTTAGTAGTACAACTTTTACTGCATATGAAAACTTTGATCTTCCGTTTAAAATAATTTTCCATTTTATTGAACTTAAGAGTAATCAGTTAGTCTTTTTCCCAAAGGCAATAAATAAGATCATTGGGGTTAACCTGAAATAAATGTGTGTGGTTTA